CTCTTCTCTGGGGAGCAAGACGCAGCCTAGCTGCTCCTGACAGCACTATTTTTAGCGGTCCTGTGGCTGTCAGCTCTGGGACGAGTTTTCTGCGTGTTCCCCGGAGATGTCCCGCCCTGCTGTCGCTCTCAGGAGGAGGGAGGATGGCGGGAAGGCAGCCTGCCTGGGTCCCTGTCCCAGCACACTTTCCCGAACGAGTCAGTAGCACAGGGCAGTGAAGAGCTTTGGTATCCGAGAGCTTAGGCTCAGATCCCAGCCGCCTCAGCCAGCCCTGAGACCTCGGGGAGCTAGCTTGCCTTCCCCCAGCCTCAGGATTCCTTCACACGCACCTAAGTGCTTAGCGCTTGGCCTGGCCTAGCACCTGACCAATGCTTTTTTTTTTTCAGCTCCCTTTACTTCTAGGGCCCTGCTACGAGGTTGACCTCACAGCCCAAGGCAGGTCATGCTTCGGAACAGGGGCAATGACCCTGGTACCTCACCCCAAAGGGGGGTCAGTCTTTACAGGTGACCTCTGCATGCCGAGACCACAGCCTCAAACCAGCTCTCTCTTTAGTCCTTTCAGATGTCATCAGACACTTCAATCCATCTGTCCTGAGGCCCATCTGCAGCCCTGGGAAGGGAGTGGTACCCCATAATGGTGCTGAGTAAGCTCTTTTTCTGACACTTTGCAGGGTTGTGCACTCCTGTCAGTCCTGGGTTTCTAGATGGGAGGATTTGGGGTGGCGGGCTGGAAGAGTCAGAGGCTTAAAACTAGAGATCTGTGTTAAAGCCAAAGCTTACCTCCTGCACTGATTTGAGTCTGTCTGATGGGCCTAACTTAAAAGATCAGGTCAACGTCTGCCCTCCAGAGCCCAGGAGTGATGCAGTGCAGACTCCAACTCAGAGACCGGCATGTGGGCTGAGGCAAGGGGCAAGCTTCCGGCCCTCAACCAAGTGGTATTTAACTGATTTTTCTCTCTGCTTCCCTCCCTTTGTGCAGAGACTTGTGGATTCAGGCAAAAGAGCTGGTGAGGAGCATGAAAGAGAACCAGGTAAGAATCCATCCGGCTCTGTTGGGGGCCATCTGTGTTTGCTGAGAGGCAATCAGGCAGCCGACGCCCCGGGGCCATCCTGCCCTGAACTAGGCAACCAGTGTGGCCTGGGCCCTCCGAGACTGCCTTTCCCCTGGTGATTCTCTGGGGGCCAGTAAAATCCAGGGCCACTTCTCATGTTCCCAATGGGGTCCTGCCGAAAGTCAGCAGGTGGGCTAAATAAATTCCTGCTCAGCAAGATGGTTGACAGCTTGGGTTCCAGAGGGAGACCGGTTTGAGTGGGAATCCTGAATTTCTACCTATTAGCTGTGTGACGTTGGGTAAGGCGCTTAACCTCTCTTAGCCTCAGTTTTCCCACTTAAGAAATGCGAGTAATAAAATGACCTGCAGCACAGGGCTTAGGGTGGATTCAATGAGCTGTTGGATGTGCCTGGCACACACAGAGGCAGTGCTCAGTGCAAGCCTGCAGCTGTCATGGTCACTGAAGTGGCCACTGCTGTCGTTATTAATTACGATACCCATTTTAGTTCTTGGGTGGAGGCTTCTGTAACATACATGCTGGGGCCCTGGTCTCCACTCTTCTAGCAGTTCAGACACTCTTTACTCAGAAACTCACATATGGACTTGTAATTAGCCACCTCTAATCTTTTGTGCTCTCCTTATGAGCAAGTATCAAATCAAGGCAAGCCTTGCTACCAAGCTGGCTCTAACCAGGGTCTCAGCCTGGACCCCTGGAACCAAGGGAAACCACTTTTAAGGCCAGTCACTCATTCATTAAAGAGTTCAGGCGTTCAAGCCAGGTCATTCCAGGTTATACAAGGACGGGGACAATTACAGGAGTGATGCCAGAAGTTTATTTTTTGTTCCACATAACCCATGTTCATTAGAGGAAGATCAGAAAACACCAACAGAAGAATATTAAAATCATCCTTAAACATGATGCCCAGAGAGAATTACTGTTCCCAACTTGGTGTACACTCCCTTCCACATTTTTTCCAAGCACGTTTATCTGTCTATATTTTATAAAATAGGGACGTTACTAGATGTAGAGACTTTTTATAATCTGCTTTTCTCGGTATCCTATTTCCCATGACAATAATTACGTTTTCCAGCATCGTTTTAACAACTACATGGTGTTTTGTCTTATGAGCATTCCACAACTTACACAGCAGTCCTCTGTTTTAGACATTTGTATTGTTTCCAGTTTTTGACTCTTATGAACAAGGCTTGGATCGAATGGTAAGCCCTTTAAAAAAAAAAAAACAGTTTTGATAAGTTTTGCCAAACTGCCTCGTAGAGCAGTTTATACCACTTTAAATTCCCACCATATACACCTCCTTTTGGGGAAAAAAAAAATCCATACATATGGTTTTATGGGGGTGGGTGTATGAAATGGAAAGACATGCAAAGAAAGCAGTTCTCTTGGCTTCAGGTTTCACCACCGTCTCTTTTTGATGCTATTGTCCTTTCTTCCAGCAACTTGACTTTCAGAATGACTGGAAGCTCATCACCGTGTTCTTCAGTAACACTAGCCAGTGTCACCTGTGTCCCTCCGCCCAACAGGTAAACCACAGGCTGGGCGGCAGAGGGATTGCAGTTGCTGGGGTGGGTGCAGAAGGAACTAAACCTGCCTGATCTACATCTGGCAGGCTGGGCCTGATAGCACCTGTTTCAGAGTTAGGACAGGCAGGCAGGTAGAGAGACAGACAGATGTCTAAGGGCTCAAGGAGACATATTGAGGGAGAGGTATTTTTAACTTACCATCCTTACCATTCAGGAAAAGGAAACCATGGTATAGATAAGCTGAGTCAATGGTCATTCTGCACCTGAGGAAAATCCGCTTCCTAGTTCAAAAATCATTTTGCCTCTTTTAACTCTGATTTCATTTGAATGCTGAACTTAGGAAATAAAGCAGTACTTTTGATAACACCTCTTGAACTCTAGCTCACCGTGAACCCTAGTTTTAGTGGGAAGTTGTCTAGTTGTTTATTAGGTAGACTACATCTTCCAGGCTCTTTGGCGTTGCCAGGAATGAGATATGAAACATGTGACTTTTAAAATATTTAGGTGGGTGACTGACTGTGACTTAAGTCTTTATTGACAAGTGTCCAGGTTAGGATCAACTGAAAGTGAGAGGGTGGCTTAGAGGCCTAGGCTATGGTGACGTAAATGGCACACAGATGACCCTTCTGGAGCCTGAAGCCTAATTGCCACCAAGCTGGCCCTGCCAACTTACGGCAGTTCAAAAACCTGCCCACTGTCCTTTCAGCAGCCTTCCAGGGCCTCCACCAGGCCATGGCACAGGCAAGGGTGAAGTTTCTTGAGATGCTGTCCTCTTCTTTTCTGTGCCCCTCTCCCAAATACGTACTCTTGCCTTCCTCCAAATGCCCCATGACCCCTGCTCCACCACCAAAATCCCCTCCCTTTAGTGATGTTAGGCCCTGGGAGAATGCTGACAGAAGCCCACCTTCCCTAATCAGCTCTTTTTTTTTTTTTTTTCCTTTATAGTTGATATAGATTTTATTAAATTTTAGTAGTAATTCTTACAGCTCTGATAACTCTAACCAGGAAGATTTGGTTCTTCCAGAACTATTATTTCTTTTGATATTTTATTAATCTCATATATCACTGAAGCACTCTGTTCTTAGCAAAGTATGAAGAGGTGGGATTGGGTACATTTTGTGCATATTGGGTACATATCCTTAGTGATCTGTAATTACATCTTTATTGGAGTATAATTGCTTTACAATGGTGTGTTAGTTTCTGCTTCACAACAAAATGAATCAGTTATATATATATACATATGTCCCCATATCTCTTCCCGCTTGCGTCTCCCTCCCTCTCACTCTCCCTATCGCACCCCTCCAGGCGGTCACAAAGCACCGAGCTGCCTAATGAGCTCTTGTTAAACAATATTCCTGCAGATCTCCTGGGTTTGTGGCATATAGATCTTGAAGCTTATTCTACTTCACCTCTGTTTTCTCTCATACCAAGTGAAATTTCCATGCCCTGTTTATTCTCTGCACCACCCCCTGCACTTTGGCCATTACGCACACCAACATTTACTCATGAATTTACACATTCATGCATTGAAATGCTCGAACAAGCATTTAGGCATTGCTGCATTCCTCTATATATCCACGCATCCATCCATCCATGCATCCATCCATAAGTTATCTATTCACGCATCAATTCATTCTCTCTTCTTACATGCAGGCACACATTATTGTATTTATGATGAGTTTGTTCATGCTAGCATTTGTTTGATTTTTTAATATTTGAATGTATTCATTGATACTTACACTCATTCATGATTTCTTCCATATATTTTATCTTGTGTTCGAGCATTCCTATGTGAATTCTTGCATTCTTTCGTGTATTTATTCCTTCAATACATTACATGCATTCTTGAATACATACATGATGTATTCCTGTGTGCATTTATGCATTATTTATTTTTATTAAATTTTAGTTACACAAGCAACGCACAGATGCTTTCTTCTTTTAAAAAATGAAACATTATAGTTAAAGCTAAAATACCCTTTAGCCACCACCTCCAATCCTCTCTCTCTTTTTATTTCCAAACTTTTTGCATATTTGTAAATCCTAGTATTCCTTTATGTGTGTGTATATAAGAGAGAGATTTAACATAAATAGTATTATATCTTATGTACCACTGAACAATTATTTTTCACTAATCAAGTGTTTTTGAGATCCGGTCATGTTGATACATATGGATTGAGCTTATTCCTGTTACTTGCTAAATAGTATCCCACTGTGTACATTTACTACATTTTATTTCACTATTTCTGTATTGATGGCCATGTAGGTGTTTCTAGTTTTCCACTAATATAAACAATCTTGTTCATTTACTTGAACGTGGTGGTTTTCTAAATGCAGTGATTATATTTCATTGTATTCAATTACAGTGTAATTTATTATATTTCAGATTATAGATTGAAGTATATTAGTGGGTCAAAAATCAGTTTAAAAGATTACAACCAGAAATTATAAAAAAAGAAATAGACTAGGATCAACTATAAAATATTAGAGTTCATTGCATGTAGTAAGGTAAGTGTTGGTTCATGATTATTTTTGCTTCATTTATATAGATATGTGTGTACCGGGTTGTGATGTGAAACATATCTCACACTGTGGGTCATGATCAAAGCAGTTTGAAGAAAGCGCCTTGAGTAGATTCGTAAACGTAGAATTGCTGGTCATCAGATGCATACACTTTAAGTCTTAAAGGGCTGCCTAATTGCCCTCCAAAGGAGCTAAACACCTTTATATTCTAATATCCTGAGACCAATCCCCACATATAAGGGGCTTTTCCACGCCACCAAGCAATTCTCAGACACCGGCTGGGTGTCCTACAATTCAGCTCAATTCTGACACGATCTACCTGGAGACAGCGTCAGATCCCACAGGTTAGGAGCTCAGTCCTGCAAGACTGTCCCCACCCCCATTTCAGATGCCAATCCCAAGTCCAGGTTGTCACCTGAGCTTCTGCCCAACTGGCTATAGATTGGAGGTTCCAACAAGCCCCTCGTTGAGTTCAATTAATTTTCTAGAGTGGCTCACAGAACCCAGGGAGACATTTTACTTACTAGGTTCTTGGTTTATTATAAAAGGATATAATTCAGGAACAGCCAGATGGAAGAAACGCATAGTGCAAGGTATGGGGAAAGAGCGAGAAGCTTCCATGCTCTCTCCAGGTGGGCTACTCTCCCAGCACCTGCAGGTGGTCACCAACGGGGAAGCTCTCTGAACCCATCCTTTTGCGGTTTTATGGAGCTTCGTTACATAGTCAGGATTGACTAAATCATTGGCCAACGACAATTGATTCAACTTCCAGCCCCAGGTTGGGTGGTGGTTGTGGGCAGGGGGACTGAAAATTCCAACTCTCTGATCCCAGGGTTGGTTCTCCTGGCAACCAGCCCCCATCCTTAGGTGTAGTCCCAAAGTCACCTCATTAACACAGCAAAATACACTTTTATGCTCTCACCACTTAGGAAATTCCAATGGTTTATGAGCTCTGTGCCGCAAAAGGGGACAAAAACCAAATATATACCTCGTATTACAAATGAAAATATCACATATTCTCACCAGTGTCTGAGTGCACCCATTCCCTACAACCTTTCCAACACTTGTTGTTATCAAAGCCAATGATTTTTTGTCAGTATGTGAGATTCCCTCAGGATCTAGTCATGTTGATACATGTGGATTAGGTTTATTCACACTTAGAACCTCACACTTTTCATTGGTTGTACACATATGACAAAAGTAGCCATGCTCCACTCCTGATTTCTAAATGGCTACATACCAGTGACTTAATCTCTGTAAACTGAACTCACTGAAGCGATGTTTACTATCATACACTCATATTCCCACTGTATTGCATTTTTCCTTCCGTCTTGATTTTCCTTTTGCCCAAAGACCACCGAGGCTTTGGAGCCTAGAATAAATCCCACCTGCACTTCCATTTCCCCCAAAGGACATTGTGGCTCATGGTTCTGGCTCTCGACCTCCTTGGCCTGGGCTGGCTGGTTCCTCCCTTCACTCTTGCACTCTTGCTTCTGCAGCCCAGACCCAGCCCTCACCTCCTAGTCTCCCTGATGGCGCTTCTGGCCACAGCTAACCAGGATCCCCCATCTGAGAAGCTCTTACACAGCACTTCTGCATCCCCAAAGCACATCCCAGGCATGGCCTCTCCCTCAGGGGTTGTTCTGCAGAGTCCCAGGGGCTGCAGGAGGTGCTCTGAGACTGTGGGTTCCAGGCTTCCACCCGACCTCACAGAGCAGCTCTGCCTTTAACTGTGGCATACATATAGCAGGTTTCCTGAAATAGTTCATGTGAGAAAAAGGTATTTTATTGTTAAGAAGAAATGTTAAACTCCGGTCCTGCCCTACTTAGGACCTGGAATTTTCCTCCCCTAAGAGACCTTTGGGCTCCTTTCATGGGGCATAGACAAGGGCTTGTGTCCACATGTGTTCTTTAGGGATTTCTTAAGACCAAAGCCATAAGAGAGTAAGACCAGGAACCATTCGTTAGGCAGTGATGGTGCTTCCTCAGGGCTGCTATGGTGGATGCAGCAATTCGAAGGCAGGTGCTTCAGAGCTAACTAGTAACCTGGCTCATAGCAGTGACACAGGGATGCTTTTAGGGTCTGGACTCTTGCTTACTGCTCTCCAGTTAAAGTCTAGTTTTATGGAGTAAGAACAAAATTGCGAGAAGAGAAAAAATAAAGGAAAAGAAAAACAAAAACAAAGCCTAACACTGCAAAAATCTGTTACTGAATCAAGTTTCTTTGCCCCATGCATGACAGGCCAAATGCTGGGACACCGAGGTTTGCAGAAAGAAAGGATTTATTCACCAGGCAGCCAAGTGAGGAGATGCGAGAACAAATCTCAAATCCACCTCGGGATATTTATGGGATAAAGAAGCAGGGCAGTCCGAGGCATGGGGAATGTGGAGGATAGGTGATTGGAGAGAAGAAAAAGGTGAGGTAATCGTTCTGAGCAGGTGCAACTAAGCTACATGCTTCTTCAAGGGGACACATGCTTCTTCATGGGATGCATGTTCAGAAAATGGTAGTGTTAGAATGTTCTGAAGGTGGAGTTCTGGGCCCTCTGACGTCAGAAGGTCACTGATGGGACACTCAACACACGCCCAGTTGGAGGCCTCAACCAGTCTTGTCCAGTTGGAGCTTGAGCCAGTGAACAGCTGACTCCAAGTTCCTGAAACACAACTAGGGCAAACATCTCATTGTTCAGGCCATGGAATGCTTGGAGAACATGCAAGTTTTTATTAAAACAATTAAAGGGAGCTTGATCAGTGAAGGCAGGTTACAGTTCATTATTTATTAAGCAAGTTGTAGTTTAAGGTATCTAATGGTTGACAACACTTGGTTTCAAAAATATACCCATTTATTCGTTGCAGAGGCCTTTAGAAACAGGTGTCAACATTTTGGAGGACACGCCGGCAGTATGACTCAAGAAACCTAAAAGTGTTTGTGTCTTTTGACTGAATAATCTTACTTCTTGGAATAAATCCCGGATAAATAACTTGGTAGAAAAAGTTAAGTCTGGTTGTAGGCACATGTTTGGTAACAGAGCATTCTTCTGATTCTGGGGGCAAGATATGGAAATGTGTAAGTTCTTTTGAAGAAATAAGCTTTTTCCTGACTTCGAGTTATGGAGGAGTTTATCACGTGTGACCTTCTAGGCAGGGGACATTTTATAGGAGCATCATGTCTTCCACTAAGGAACAGGGACAGTCGGTGCCCCAAGGACAGCCATTCAATACCTGGAAAGCCTAGGTGGGCCCCGATTCACTCTGTAGCAGTGAATCAGCACCTTGACTAAGAGGTTTCTAAATCAGGGTTTGCAGTCTGAGGAGACCCATACAGGGATTCCCCGAGGAAAGAGGGATGCCCTGCGTATGATACAGGCAGTGAGGACCTTTCTAGACCGAAGTTCCTATGACTCCTGAGAAGGGAAAGTGTGATGCTTAATGTCATGCTCAGGGAGAGAAAAAATGAGACGAGAGGCTTTGTTGCTGGCTATGGCAGCAGACTGGGCTGGACTGGCTTCCAGAGGACAGCCTCGCACCAAAGCGGGGACGCAGGAGCGGGAGGCCGCCCTCCACGCGGTCCCAGCCCGACTGATGGGCAGCAGTCTCCAGAGTCACCACCTGTGTCCCCCCCAGGAAACAGAACGGCTGCTAGGCCTGCTTTGTCTTCCTGTCTGAGCCAGGTCGCCTCAGGGGACAGCAGGTTTGCAAGCAGCTTAGGAATATGTCTTGTTGCAAAGTTTATTTTTGTTTTGTTTTGTTTTTACACTGAAAAGGTAAACCCGGGTCGTTTTTTGAAGTGCTCTCATTTGTTTATTTTCATTACCTGCAAGGAATTGGGTGGGAAGAAGGTGTCTTTAAATACTCAGTGACAGGAGCCCTTTTCTTGGGGCAGATGTGGCAGGGAAAGGTCTGATAAGAGTGCCGTGTGGAAGTTCTGAGGTTCATCTGGGTCCTTAAATCCAAGCGTTCCCCCTTTGGACCTGATTTTCTTCAGGTCAGAGTGATTCCATCAGTCTTTGGGAATAAATCTGGTCTCATGTCCCTCATGTGAGCTTTAGAATTGCCTTGGCCTTGGGTTTGCCCTTCCCTGACACGGAACTTCTCATTTGGGAGAGTTTACTTTTTTCCTGGTGGGTGACGTGTTGGGGAAGTCAGAGAATGGACAAAAATCCCAGGAAGCTCTGGGAACTCTACACTTGTGTGTGGGAAACTGGGGTCTAGATGGGGCTTTTGTTACTATCATCTCTGTCGAGGGGGGATGGGGGGTTGGGGAAGGGAAGGGACAGGCCAGCGTGAGCCTGGGCCTCTCTGCCCCGTGTCCCCCGTCCCCACCCACACTCAGAACATTTCTCTTTCCACAGCAAAGACACGTGACGAGCAGCATGGACCAGCTGACGAGAATGCTGGACTGCCTGCATCAGGAGGTGAGGTTGGCAGCTCCCTCAGCTTGGTGGGACCACGCGCCCGGAGCTCCCTCACGGGCACCTGCAGCAGCCGGGAGAAGCTGCCCTTCCGTGGGGTGGGGGGACAGGTTCTGGTTTCTTTCGAATGGCTTCCACCAGGACGGGAAAATGGACTCCCAGGAGGGAGACCAAGACCCCAGGGAAAGGGAAAGCTCTGGAGTGCTTTTGATGAAAACACGGGTCACAGATAGACCTCTTCACTCTTGCAAAGGATATTACTAAGAGCGCCCCCTGGGGAGGAGGGAGGATACAGCCCTCTTCCCCACTGGGGTCTCTGTGACCCGCTCCTTGCTGAGGCCCGTTTCTGACTGTGTCTGGGGCAGTGATGGCCTGGAGCCTGCAGGGGACCTTGAGAACTCTCAAGGCTTCCCTAAGTGATTAGTGTGAGCACTGCAGGTCCTGGAAATCCCAGGGGAGCTCTGGGTTCTCACCTTGCCCGCCTTTCCCTAGGGAGGAAGAGGGTCCACAGTCCCATTACCACTGGGTCTTGCTGCCCTGTGTTGGGGAGGTGCCCTGCCCACCATGAGGGGCGGTGAATGACACATTTCTGGATGGCGCAGCCGACAGAGCTGACAGCTTTGAACTGACCCCAACCAACCATGTCCCAAAGGGCCTGCCTGTTTAACCAAGGAGAGTCCCGTCGTGCTCAACCAGACCCCAAACTAGGCTCAAACCAGGGGTTCCAGAGAGGCCGCAGGGCAGCGACAGCGACTTTGCAAATGCTCATCTTGCCCCTCGTATCCCCCTAGGTCCCCAAAGCATTTGTGAACCTGGTGGATCTCTCCGGGGTTCTGAGGGGCTCGCATTGGCATCAGGGGACTCCGCTCAGGTAAAAAGGAAAGTGAAAAGGGACCAGCATTTGTCGACTGGTGCCACGTGCCAGGCACCGCGTGGGGCACTTCACGTGCATCAACTGATCCAAGGCGTGGAGTGGGAGAGAGACAAAGCGACGTGTGTGAGATTACACAGCAGCGGGGGCAGAGTCAGGCTGCGGAAGGGGCCCTCTGCCGCATCGTTTTGGGGACTGAGTTAAAGGATGAAATATGCAGCCTGGCTGACGTAGTGACAGGTGCCCCAGCCCCACCAGAGTGACTTGAGAGTTTAAAAACCAGCTTGGGCAAAACAGCTATTAGCCAAGAAGTATTATTTCCAGAAATTGGAAAGACAATTTAGTCTAATTGTATTTTATTTTCACACAACTTGATTCCCATGTATTTCTGAGATTTTTCAGAGAATTTAAACTTTCTGAACCCAGATCCTGAGATTTCTGGCTTGGCACGTGGAAAAGGAGTTCACGTGGATAAAGTCGGGGCAGGGGCGTTGTAGGTGGTGGCAACAGAAAGGAGAGGACAGTGCAGAGAGGATAGGGGGGTTTGAAGAGGAAGAAAGGCGAAGGAATGGCTCAGGGTAGCGGAGGGGAGAACAGGAGGTGAGTTTCTGGGGGAGGAGCAGTGAGGGAAGCGGTGCATCAGGAGATGAAGTGAGAGGCAGCGTCTCCATAACGTACCCTTTTTTTTTTTTTTTTTTTTGTGGTACGCGGGCCTCTCACTGTTGTGGCCTCTCCCGTTGCGGAGCACAGGCTCCAGACGCGCAGGCTCAGTGGCCATGGCTCACGGGCCCAGCCGCTCCGTGGCATGTGGGATCTTCCCGGACCGGGGCACGAACCCGTGTCCCCTGCATCGACAGGCGGACTCTCAACCACTGCGCCACCAGGGAAGCTCCATAACGTACCCTTTTTTCTCCCCGATGTGTGCTTCCTTCGTTCCTTCTCCTGGGCCGTCTAAGACTTCCAGTTTCCCCTTCCCCGGCTCCCAAAGCAACTCCCAGTGCCCCCAGCCCCACCTTCCTCCAAGAGGGAGTCTAAACGGCCCCACGCGGCATCCATGCTCACTTCCCGCTTGTTTTAACCTGCAGTCCCACGGCCGAGCCCTGCAGGTGCTCAGGGGAGACCTCACGGCTGTCCAGGGTTGCGACCCAGTGGGCCTATCAGGTGAGCGCACTCTGGGACACTGCCTGTTGGCTCACAGGGGCAGGTGGTCATGAGAACAGGGATGGTGGGAACAATTAGGGCGCACGTTTGCTGATGTAGGACCCCACCAGCTGAAGTCAGAACTGAGTCAGGAGCGAACGACAGCAGCTACTCTTGCGTCGCTTCCAGGTGCTGACTTGATCTTCCAGCACGTAAAGTGGGAACTGCTGTACTGGTTGCGGGGAGAGTGGATGGAAGTGGAGGGTGGTGGTGGTACCTACGGTAAAAGATGCTGAAGAATTTTGCAGATCGTTCTGAGATGCTTTTGGTCATCAACACCCCTTCTGCCACTGCATCTGTGGCTGGTGGACTGGTTTGCCTGGACTAGGCTTATGCCCAGACTGCAGCCCGGACTACGGTCTGGCTCCTGAAGATGTGCATCTAGTTTACAGGAGAGACCCCAAGACAGTGTGCGTGGCTCAGCGGAAGCCTCCATCCCCACCAGCAAACAGTGCAAAGCACGGTCCCCACTGACATGTGTTAACATGATGATTTTTATTTAAGAGGCAGTTTTGTATAAGAAGTTTTCTATATGAAGCTGTATGTCATTTCTCTTGCTTTGGAAATGACATTTTTTGAGTGGTTAATAGCACATCCCTGTACAGAACTCAGCCCTTGAAGAGCGAGTGGGGACCCTAGCTACATACTGGGCTGGCGTATACTTCTTGAGCTCCCAGAGAACAGTTCTCAGGTCTTACCTGATGCTGGACCTCAGAGGAAAATGAAAACCTGATTTAGTGAATCAAAGGTCCCTGAAGTGTGAGATGAGAGGGAGCTTCCCAATAGCATGTGATTCAGAATAGCATGGGTGGGTGATTCTGACCGGGGGGCTGCTGGGAACTCCCTGGTGTGAGGATGGGGCAGGCTGAGCCTCGCTGATGCTCCTTTCTTCAGGAAACCTGGGAACAGCTCCTGGCCTCCAGCAAGTACAATGAGCAGAAGTCCTTCGCAGTGGTTTTCCAGCCTTTCTTCTACGAGGGAGCCCTGCCGCCACCCTCGGTGAGTGAGGGCATGGCCCACACCCTCTCCCTCTCGCTCCTCTGCCCTCTCCTCTGCAGATGCCCCAACACAGTTGAGCTTCACCGAGCCCAGGATGTGTAGTCTCAGGGGGAAATGCTGCAGTGTTCTCTTATACTTTTTAGACAACTTCCCCGTGGGGTTGGATAGCCCCGTGAGGAAGGTTCCAAGAGGCAGAGCCGCCCAGAGGTAAAGAGCATGGGCTCCAGCCAGACGGCTTCTGGCTTTGGAGTGGGCCGGCTGTGTGACCTTGGGCAAGTTGTTTGAACTCTCTGTGCCTTGGTTCCTCATCTGTGAAATCAGGGCCGTTATTAACATTCCGCCTGCTAGAGTGGTTGTCAGGGTGATTAAATACATGTGAGGAACTTAGAGCAGCGCCTGGTTCTTAGAAGCCCGCAGTATCTCTCAGCTATGGTGACTATTCAGGATGGAATTTCCGGGCACCACACTGCACTCCTCCCCCTGCAGGCTCCTCCACATCTATCCCTGCAAGGGAGGGTACTTTTGAGTTGTTTCCTCACCCAGGTCACTGGGCAAACGCCCCTTACCCTGGGGGTCCTGCAGACCACAAGCGCTGTGGTGGGTGCACACGTGCTCAGCTCAGCAAGGTCTCTGTGCCTCTGGGGCTTCAGCACTGTACATCTGGGACAGCCCCTCCCTCCAGGCTCCTGGCTCCTGCCATTGGAGTCATTGTGTCCCTCCAGGACATCAGTGATGTTTAAATAGTGGTTTAGTAGGAGGAGGAATATTAGTTCCCGTCCCCCCCTCCTACTCAGACCATACCTGGATCACTTCCCTGTCACCCCCTTCTGCTGTTGAGTTCAGTCTGTACAACCCCACAATGCGGAGGAGCGGCCAGACGTGTGACGCGCCCCTACAGGCCCTCACCTCCGAGCCTATAAGTCCCCGCCATTATTGATGGGGAGGGACTGAGAGATGGAATCTGGGTGCATCAGGACCCCCATCTCTGCCGGGAGAGCTTCAGAGTGCGCGGCAGGGCTGTCCCATCCCCGGGGGCACACGGGACTTCTCATCTGGTTCTCTTTCAGGGGGAGCGACCACTCCAGGATCCCACCGTCCTCGCCTTGACTCTCTGGAACAGCATGGTGAGTGGCTGGGTGTCCCGGGGCACTGCCCTGCCAGCCTGGGGTTTAGTCTATGGAAGGAGAAGCAGGGCCTCTGCCGTCGTGCCCCGTCTGCTCACCGCTCTGATGGAGGGGTTGAGGGACAGGACCCCAAGACGATGATTCTGGGCCATCAGGGGTCCCTCCCACATCCAGTGACAGCCCATCTGGGACCACCTGTGAGTTTCACCTCCTCTTGCTGGAAGCTGGGCTGCAGCCCTGACAGTGAGCACGGCTCCCTGGGCAGCCTCAGTCCTGCTCTTTCCGGATGCGGGAACGTTTCCTTGGCATCTGTCTGGGAGACCTCACTTGGAGTGGGGCACTAGGGAGAAGGCTCGCGTAGCAACCTGGTCCAGCTCTCCCTCATTTTACACTTACGTTTCCAATGCCCAGGGTGGTGCCTGGGGTGAGTGTGGGGTGATGAAGACCTGGGTTCAAAGCTCTCACAAGCTGTGTGAACTTAGGGTCTCAGCTCCCTTTCTGCAAAACCCCTGAGCCAGCACGTGGAGAGTGTATAGCTCCCTCCCGGCCCACAGCGAGTATTCACCCTGGGTGGCCCTTCTTACTCTGACTGTGACGGGCTTCCCCCAGACTCTGAAGGTCCCCCGGGGCTGTCTGGGATTAGTCAGTGGATGGAATGTTCCATCAAAACTTTGAACCTCTCCAGAGCACCAGACAGAGACCTGATTTTGCCATTTATTTTTTTCCCATCCAAACTGTCCTAGAATTCCAGTGACGGCAACTTGGTTTTCTTCTTCCTTGCATTAGAAAAATTTCTCTCCATCTCCTCAGACTGAGGTGCTGTGCTGAGTCCTATGAGCAGCTGTAGTTGGGTGTGCAGTGGCCGGTAAGACAGCAGGGAGGGCAGGGGCCAGCCCAGGCAGCCTGGATTGATGGAGTCACACTAGCCTTCGGAGAAGCCATTTGATTTCTTTGAACGAGGACCCTCGTTGGTGGGCCTGACCCCTGAGCGGTCAGGCCCCAGAAAACCACTTTGCTGTTCATCTCCTTCTACCCTCTCTCTGGCGGAGGAGGGCTGATTCTTCCAGCTCAGCCAAACCTCTCTCCTCCTCTGTTACCTTTCTCCCAAGCAACAAAAGAAAGCCTAGAGGGTGCCTACCCTATGCTGGATCCAAGGAAGATACAGGAGACACACCAAATGGCCTAGCGAATAGCTGGAAGGGCACAGCAGGAACAAGGTCATGCCCTGGACAGAGCACCCAAAAGGGATATGGGCAAGAGGCCAGGACAGCCCCACGAGGGTGGGACTGGAATTGGCTTTGCCGGCATGGGTTGGGGGGAAATATGTCAGAGGAGGTGGGGCTGGCATTCCCAGGCAAGAGGAGCTGTGTGAACAGAATAAAATGCACTAGCAAGGGGTGGTGGGAGAGGAACGGGATAAGGAGGCCCCACGAATGAATGAAGTGCCCTGTGCAATCAGACAGGCGCACGGCACGCACAGCGCCCTGAAACCCACTCGAGGGTGAGGATGGGCAGGTGCCCAGAGGGGAACAGAAGGTCTCACACTCAAGGCCAAAGGTCTGGGACCCAGTAGATGTCCCAGGGGCTTTGGGGAGGAGGCAGCTTTCCTAGGTGGGCAGTTACCTGCCCAACGAACCAGCAGTCGTTTCCCAGGGAGAGGCCTCGAGGTCCCTGTAGCCGAGCCAACAAGGAGGGAAGCGTGTCCCCTGGCTTCCTCTCAGGCAAAATGCCAGACCATCCCACGGCTCCCGAACGCATGGACAGCTCCTGCAGGTTAATTTATGAGAAATTACGAAGGTAACAGGTTAGGGGAAACGGCACTGGGTAAGGAGCCAGAAAACCTGGGTTTTGAGTCCAGCTGTGCATTTGGTTGTTTCTTGAGGTGAGTCACGTGGTCTTTCTGGGCCCCATTTTCTCTATTTGCCAGCCTCAGAGGACCTTGGGAAATATAGGAGCAGTTCACCCTTGGGTTCCCTCCTGCGTCCTCCCAGGGACATGGGGAGTCCAGGAGCCTCCCTGCCTCCACCTCTGTGTGCCTCTGTGGTGTTGGGCTTAACTGCGACTACAGAGGTAAAAGACAGCTATGTCCGTCATGCCCACATTTGCAGACACACAAGAGCCCCGAGTGAGGGCCACCCTCTTACATGGGGAGCAGAGAGGGACCAGCAGAATCGCTGTGACCAGAGGGGCCCAGCTTCTACCGCTTCTCTGCTTGGCCTCGACCTAGGACACAGCAATGGCGGCGACTGTGCAGGGCCACACAGTGTCTGCTCCCCGGGCCAAGTCCCGAGGTGCGCGTAAGCTCTGAGGGCCAGTGAAGGAAAACCCCCCACACACACATGCAGTCATCGTGAGCGGCCCTGCTTCGGAAACACACCTGGCTGCATGAGCCACCCAGACGGAAAGCGGAGCTCCTGGCACGGAGCAGAGGAGGGTTTTGTGTTTGGGATGTAATTCATTCCCTGGGCCCTTCCTGCCTCCTCAATAACTTCTGATGATTCTTATGTAACAGTAGTGTTGATGAGACCCACCTGTGGGGACTCAATTGCCAGGTCCCACAGTCACAGCCCCCCACCTTATTCCCAGCCCTGCGCTAGCGCCAGAGGCGCAGGGCGAGGTGAGAAGGGCTCACAGTCAAGCGGGACTCTTGAGAGCACGTCTAAGGTCATCCCGCCACCCCTGCCACGCTCCAGTTCATCTCGGGGGCAGGGAAGCTGTGCAGAAGAGATGCGAGCAATTAAAGGGCTGAAGGGTGGAGTAAGAGAACAGGACCAGCGTCCCCAGGGTGCGTGCGGGCATGTGCAGTGCAGGGCGGTGGATGGAGGGACACGCAAAGGGTCATTTGATATAGCCGAGTCATTTTCCATCCTGAGGATGGAGGGTCAGAGCGTGTGTAAAGGGGATTAATGGCAGCAGGAAGGACGTAGGTGACTGATAAAGAGACGTTTAGGACAAGGTTCTTAGTGCAAATGGATTTATTGGGAAAACCTATGAATTTTCCTTTGGAGTCCTTAAAAAATTAGGTTCTGTTATATCCATTCAACTAAAATTATCACAACGTGGCTTTCTCAACATTTCTTTCCAGATTCTATTATTGATTAAATTCTTGAAAGATTGGAAAAGAGAAGTCAGGCCACTTCGACATTGGGCCACCGACTCAGGCCCACTGAACACTCCCTTTCAGAGCGGCCCTGAAAGTTCTGGGTTGGAATCCCATACTTAGGAGTGTCCACCATCAGAATAAAACTGAAAGGAGATGGGGAGTGCAGTTCCTCCTCCAGCCCCTGAGCAAAAGGTTGCCACTCATTTTACAGAAGGTTAATTGCACCCTCTTATCTGACCCTGTCCGTTTGGGTGAAGGAAGGTTACCTGAGAAGGTAAAGTTCTTCCCCTGCTTCTTGTTTGCTGGGCACAGATGCCGGGGCAAGGTATTGCTGAGGAATCTAAAGGGCTCGTGGAAGATGGCAGAGCCCGTGACTGAGCCAGATAGGGGGGCTCCATCCTGTAGCCTCCTGCACTTTTGTACCCCGTCAAGGTCTGTGGGAGGGGAGAGGAGGGACCGGGTGACCTAGGAGGCCAGCTCCTCTGGGCAGCAGGGCTGACAGCAAACGCGAGGTCCCCAAACAGTAGAAGACGGTGCGTGCAAGAGAAAATCTGTGATCTCTCAAAGCCACTGTATTTTTCTGTTAAGTGTTTACAAATGTATAATGAACATTTAAAAATAACAGAAGGAACTTAAAATCCTTGCTCCGTTGAATTCTCCAACTGCCTTCATTTTTCTGTCTCCCCTCCGATGTTTTTACCTGAGCCGATCTGCTGCTGCTTTCTCTGGCGGGTACACCATACACTTTTCATCTATGTTGTTAGATAGGCTTCAGTTATCATTCAAGTAGCTGCCTCTGTCAGCCACTGGTACCACTATCGCTGTTCCTGAATGGCTAGACACTCTAGTTGTTAGCGTGGCGCCGTGCTATGTCCCATGTCACTGTACCTCTGTGTCCCAGGTAAAGACATGGGGCTTGCCAGGTGACAGGGTTTCATTCATTCCCTGCTGGTTTACACGAGAGCCATTTATTTGCCCTTCCTTCCCATTCCTACTCTCCTCTCTGAGGGAAATTTAATCAGGGAGCCGGCCAGCAGCAGGGCAGCAAGGAGGGAGACGCGACATCAAGCTGAATAACCGGCTCCTGGGTGATCAGGTAGCCGGTGACCCTACGAGAGCGATTTGGTTGAATCTGGACATCCATGTCCTAGTGTCAGCTCAACCTCCCTGGTGTTCACTTTCCCCTGTAGCAGGAGGGGTGGGCTGGGAATCAGTGGTTCCTCTCCCGCAGTGAGCCCTCAACTTGAGCGTGCATCAGAATCCCTGGAGGGCTTGATAAAGCACAGGGAGCTGGACCCCACCCCAGAGTTGCGGGCTGGGAATTTGCCATTTCTAACGTGTTCCCAGGTGACGCTGATGCTGCCCGCCCAGGGTCACACTCTGAGAAACACTGAGCTAATGAGCCTTTCTCAGTGGTAGTACCCTAGGGTGCTGCCACCCGTGTAAGACTTTTCTGTTCTAAACATCACCTTCTTTTCTAGATGGAGCCAGCAGGACAGAAAGATGAGCCATTCAGTGCAAAAGAGAGAAGGCCAGTGAAATGTCCCTCTCAGGTAGGCGAGGACTGGAGGGGGCGGGGGTCCGGGGGGCGGCACCTCCTGCTGAGTTGGGGAGAAAGGTGGGGTCACAAAGCAGGGGGCTTTGCTGTGAAGTGGGTCTTACCTGGTTGAGACATTAGCCCGTTAGAGTCTCGGGTCTGTTCTTCTGGGCCTGGGCACACCTAAGGTTTATACCTGTGGGCCAGGAGAGCTGTTTTAACAGAACTGAGGCCCCTTCCGTGCTTGTAGAGGGCCCAGGAACAAAGCCACAGCTCACATGGCCCCAAATGCTAAGATGGGTCTTAAATGTGTGCCTAATAAATAGCAGGTATAGAATTAATGTTGCTGAATAAATTAATGAAAAAATAGCTGAATGTAAACGAACAGAATTCTTTTTTATCACTTAATGCTAGTCAAATTTTTGGCTTTATTGATGAATTGGTAAATTTTTGTTACCAGGCTGTAAGAACTGTATAATTCACCCTCTTTTCCTCTTTGCCTTGGCTCTCAGGAAACTTAAGATTAGGTTCTCTTTTCATGGAAATATACCTACTTTGCCTGTTGGCATGGACCTCGGGTAGAGAGCAAAAGATGCTGACTGCTGCAAATGGGAAATTTCAAAATGTTAATGAACTCCTTCAGGGAACTAATGAGCAGTACAGAGAAGAAAAGCCAGAGAATGTTTCTCTCATCCTTTAAAGGATGGTATGAACGTTTCAGATTGGCCAAAGGCACTGCTGGGTGATAAAAGTTGATGATTATAGGATACAGATTTCTGGATCGTGGTTACAACGCATTGCCTTTCTCTGCAGGAGAATCCCTACCTGTTCACCTACAGGAACAGCAACTATTGGCCCAGGTTGCTGGAATCCCGTGCGAAGTTAGAGGTATGGAGACGTTTTTCTTTGATTGACAAACATGCAAATGAACCAGGGGCCGTACCTTGCTGAGTCTTTTGAAGCTTCCAGGGCAGTTCTTTGTGTCCTGGACCCCATGGGTAGGTTGGGGAAGAGTGAAGGAGCACATGTGTGGCTGTCCCCTTGGTGCTTGAAGCAGGGCTGCCCTCCAGTTCCATCTTTAAAACGGCCTCAGCAACCAGCATCCCATGGCTTCAAGGGATGTGTTGGGGGGCTCAGCACTACCTGTCCCCCGTCTATTTTGATGCTAGACAAGAATTTCAGGCCCTCCCCAGATCTCTGACAAGTCCTTTAAAACTCATCTGAGCCCTTAATCTGAAGAGAAAGTCCAGAAAAGGCAGGGAAATGGGGTGAAGTCTGAAAGCTGTCAGCATGGAGACCGGAAGGCCTCAGCTGTCAGCCACACCTTAGGGGCCGCCTCACACATGTCTTGCTTATGACTTATCTCTTGAGTCTCTTTCTGATACTTCTTGTCAAGATTAGATAGGGCACTCCGCACTCCTCTGAGGATGCAAGAAACACTTGAAGGTTGTCTCCTTCTCAGAGGACTGGGGACCAATATGGGTTGAGACGAATTTGGTGGTGGTCCCAGCACCACCCCTGCCTCCCTATTGGATAAAAGAGGGTGCAATTTACTCCCAGGGGTGTAGGCAAAGCTGATGGCCTGGGCCTGCACCACAAAGCCCAAGAGATACGGCGTAAAAGACTTGATTTATCAGCTTGTCCCATGCTTTCTAACTAATAACACAGCAGTAAGGATACATCTGAGAGGCACCGTGGTGCCGCGATTTGAGAGAGCTGGCTCGGGGTTCAAATCCAGACTCTTGCACTTACTGGCTCTGTGTCAGGGGGACTTAACCTCTCTGTGCCTTAGTTTTTCAAATCTGGGAAATGGTGATAGGTCATAGTGCTACCTAACAGAGCTATTAAATTGTAATGTTATTAAGTATAAGGCACATATAACAGTATCTGGCATGCCATGAGTTTTATAGTAGAGGGAGCAATGCATATCTTCAGGATACATTTACTGAATACCAGCTGTGTACCATTAGGATGCAAGCTCCATGGGGGCAGTGACTCAGAGCAGGTACCTAGTCACTATTAGCCGAAAAACTAAATGGGTGGGCAGGTGGGTGGGTGGACGGGGACCAGGCATAGGAGATAAAAACACAAATACATTGCTTGTCCCAAGGAACTCAGTCTAGTGGAGCCAACCAGCAGTGACAGCACAATGTAAAAAGTGCCGTAAGGTTGCCACGGGGTATTCTGGGAACACAGCGGAAGAACAAATGACAGGCAGGAGAGAGTTGAGAAGGCTTCCCCAAAAGTACCCATGACCTCAGCCTGAGGATGACAAAAGTCAAGCCAGGTGTGTGGGAGTGAGGGAAACAGAGGGAGGGAAAGGGAAAGGGAAAGGGAAAGAAAGAGCAGACGTAGGTGTTCGGACGAATATGTGGAGGGACAGAGAGTCAGGTGGATGGTCTGGAATGTCGGGGGCTTCCTACCCCGTGCTGAGGAGGGTGGACTTTATGCTGATGTTAGTACAGAGTAGAAATATGCTTATTCAACCAACAAGTATTTATTGAGCATCTACTGTGCAGCCTTCTAGGCTCTGGACATACAAGAAGCAAAATGGATGAAAATTCCTGCTTTCACTGAGAATTTGGGCAAGGGAGTGATTTTTGTACTGAGAGAGAGAGAGTCCTCTGAATGGATTCAGAAGGCTGGGGAGGAAGCCCACAGGCCGGCAGCAGTGATGATGGTGAACAGGGCCATGTTCCAGGAAGAAGGGACAAGGCCTGAACTTAGCCTGAGGCTGAGGGACTAGGGAAGGGGGGCCGGCTTGGGAACATCTGGAAAGGGTGTTGTGGACGCTCAGATGTGAGTGTTGAAGGAGAGGGAGAAATCCTACATGATGCTTAGGTTTCTGTACTAAGTGATATCTTCCAAAATAGAGGCCCACTTCTCACCCAGTTTCTTAGGTTGCAAGATCCATTTCTTCTTATTTCTCCGTGTGTCTCATTTTAGGTGAGAGATGGAATGGAAATCAGGTGTCCTGACAAGGATCCCTCTGACACGATTCCCACATCAGGTACACGGCTTGAGTCAAGTGATTTTTAAAGTCATTTGAGGTCTAAAACCATCCATGTAAGAGCAGCCTTAAGATGACGGGCTTTCTACACAATCTGAGATACACCTGAGAAGTTTTCAAGGCCATACAGCTCTGTATGTATGCTTGTAAGTTCATGCCTGTGTTTGATTATTCTTTAACTAAAATATGATAACATTATCAGAAAGCATTTATTGAGCATTAACTGTGTGCCAGGCCATGCTCTGCAAAGGGCCCGGTGTCAGGTGAGTGAGCTGATGTCATTGTCCCCGCTGGGAAGCCTCGATGAGGTGAACTTATTCTCTGAAAAATAAAACTACCTTTAAGCAGGAAGCAAAAATAACCAGTCCAAGCTCCCGGTCAGAGCCATATGCAGAGTGCACTCAAACACTGTAAAGCATGCCATCTTACAAACGTGCCATTTTCACTGCTTCTCTGTGTTTCCAAGATGACTGGTGCTGGGCCATGAAAATGAGGCTCATGGAACATTCTAGGCAGAGACCTTCCCAAAGAGGGGCTGCCTAAGGGCTGAAACTTTTCCTCCAGGTGAGCCAACCTCTGAGTGATGGCTCTGTGCACATGATCATGGGAGGTCACGGGAGAGCCGTGCGGTGGCCCACGTGACTCACAACCTCAGCCCAGGAGCGTTTCTGCAACAGTGCGATAGGTTCTCATGCTTGGTCCTGGAGGGTGACTCTTCTGTTCATTGATTCGTTCACTTGTTCACTCATCTATTAGATGATTGTTGAATGCCTCTTATGTGCCTGCCAGGATGGAAAGCGAAGTTTGAAGATGTCGCGGTGTGCAAATCTTTGTAGTCACATTGTCTCCTTTCTCTGAGTATTGGTAGAACAAGTTTAACTGTCAGCCCGCCCTTCATGCCTGTCTTAGCTCTGCACGCTCAAATCTAGCCAAATGACGGGCAAGTAAGTTAAAAATCTTCTCACCAAAACTTCGGCGTGTAACTGGTTCTTGACTAAGTTGCAGAATAATGGAATAGGTGATAAAAGTCTTACAGGTCTTCCCTGGTGGCGCAGTGGTTGAGAGTCTGCCTGCCGATGCAGGGGACATGGGTTCGTGCCCCAGTCTGGGAAGATCCCACATGCCGCAGAGCAGCTGGGCCCGTGAGCCGTGGCCGCTGATCCTGCGTGTCTGGAGCCTGCGCTCCGCAACAGGAGAAGCCACAACAATGAGAGGCCCGCGTATCACAAAAAAAAAAAAAAAAGAATCCCCCTGCCAATGCAGGGGACACAGGTTCGAGTCCTGGTCCAGGAAGATCCCACATGCCACAGACCAACTAAGCCTGTGTGCCACAACTACTGAGCCTGCGCTCTAGAGCCCGTGAGCCACAGCTACTGAGCCTGTGTGCCACAGCTACTGAAGCCCGCGTGCCTAGAGCCTGTGCTTCAAAACAAGAGAAGCCACCACAGTGAGAAGCCCACACACCTCAACTAGAGAAGGCCCGCACGTAGCAACAAAGACCCAATGCAGCCAAAAAATAAATAAATAAGGTAAAAGTCTTTTAAAAAAAAGTCTTACACACACACACTTAGTCTTTAGACTTTTTCCCCCATACTTAGTGACAGCCCCTTCGTATTGGTTAGTTTACTAGCAGAACTTCAGTAGCAGAAACAAATTGTTAGCTTCATATGTAGGCCCTCCAACAGCAAAACCTCAAAGATGTATGTATGTATAGAGAGAGGAAGGGGGGAATTTGAATGTTTTAATAGCCATACTCTTTACAGTGAAATGATATCCATCCTCTTTTAATCTTATCATTCTGAAAGGATGATGTGTAAAGATTTTGCAATCTGTCTAGATTATGTTCCCATCATGACAGTGATAACCAACCAATCCATTAGAGCATATCTGAACATCTGAAAGCCAAATAAAATGTGAATCTCTTCTTTATTCCTTGACCCTGAAGATTATCTTGTTTTTTGGCACTTGAAGATGTAAGCACAAGAAATCTCGAGACCTTGAGATCTCAGATACTCTGGTGACAGAAGCTGTTTGGATAAGCAGATGGATAGATTTACGCCTCCTTGATCTAACCAAGTGGGCCTGGGACCAAAACATTAGCATTGGCCAACTGGGTGGCAGCACTCATGGGCTAACGTTGGGCCTGCGCCTCTGAGTCCCCCTGAAAAGTGTCTTTAGAAAAATGGCAACAACTAACTGGACAAAAACAAAAAACACATTTCATTACTGCGCTCGATCTATGATTGGACATTTTAATCATACTTGTGGCTGTCAGGGTGGGAAAAAGACTTAGCACAGGGTCACGTTATTATTACCCTTGATAATCGTCGTACTGGCGAGGTCATTCACTCTTCTGGAGATCATGTTGGCAATTTCTAATTGAGATGAAGGCCTCTGATACATACTTGTAAGAGCAGATCATCTTATCTTTACAACCGCAGTGACTCAGCACATGGTAGGAGCCTGATGAATGATTGTTGAACTCATCTTAATTATGGAGTATTCCTACTTCCGCAAATCAAAAATTCCCAGAGTTGAAAACGATCTTAAAAACCAAGTGGACCAAAATGCCTTCCGTTAAGACAACTTTTCACTAAGACTCTCTTATAAAATAACTGTTTTATCTTCAGAGTTGTTTTCAAAAATCTTCTTTGTAGTCCCCTTTTCTAGTGTCTCTCTCAAACCAACCCACAGATACACCTAGCTAATGAAAAGTGATAATTTCAAAATAAGATACTGCCTCCATCAACAGGTCACGGCCCCTGGCAGCCCGGGTGCCTCACCCTCACGCCATTCAGAGCCCACAGGTGATGAACCTCTTCTACTGATCCATGGGGCTTGGGATGAGATATATAGAGCTGATGTAAGTAATTTTTATTACCAATCGCTATTTGGTAGCATGAATAAATGAATGCACACATGCGTGCTTCCAATTTTTCCCTTCTGGTCAGTGCATACATGCAATTTACTGAGTGCTACCTCCTGTGAACTTTATAACTTCATAAGTACTTACATCATTTTATATTACTTCATGGCCCTGTCCCTAACATAGTTGGGATAACTAAGAATAATATGCTGGGCCTGGTAGATGACTTAAGGTTCTCCCAGTGAGAAAAGGAGTAGCATTTTGTAAACAGAAGAGTGGCAATAAAGAGCCAGAGGGCACATGGCTCATTGCCTGTCCATTGAAGCTGGCTATCTTGAAGTCAAGCTGCTCATTCCTTGCAGAGGGGAAAACTCATAGTATTTGAAAATAGGAGTCCACCAAGCTAATTCTATGCCACTGTCACCAGTAGTATCAATTGGAACAGTTCATTTATTTTAAGCTATTGATTCCTTTCTAAGTCCCTGATGTCATTTATTTTACCCATTTGGCTAAAATGAGCTATTCAAGCGCTGATATGAAGAATGCCCAGGTTGCAGGCACTGGGTGACCGCTAGGGGTGTCACTTCATTGTGAATCAGCTGTGTACGGTCCAGTGTACGTCCTGAAACCGCCTCTATAGTCACCACCTGCTCATGAGTCTTGTGGCCTAACCTAGCCTGTGACTAGGAAGTAGTGACGCCCCACAGGGAATATAACAGCCTGCCTGTCCCCTCGGCGTGACCAGCCTACTGGACAAGTTCAAACTCACCCTCAAGACACTCAGATGAATGTATCTCCCTTCCCTGCAGTTTCCACCGTTTAAAGCTTTGAGAGCTGTAGTCTCTGACACAGAGCCTCTTCCTTAGCCTTTAATTCAACTGAACACATTTCTTGAGCTCCTACTGTGTGCGGGGCACGTATTTCTTCATGTAAACTTAAGCCAACGCACTTCAAAGACAGAAACAAGGCCCAGCCTGTGCCAGCAGTTTACCACCATTGCAGAAGTCCTTACATAAGTCCCTAAAATCTGAGAGCAAAAGGGTTGGGCAGCCCTAGCCGACAGTCGAGAGAAAGTTGGATTTTCAGGTTATGGCCCCAGGTTTAAGTCGTTGGGTTACACAAGACAAAACTCCCAAGCGTCAAGTCTTTTTCCTGCTGTTCCTTTTCGTGTCCAAAGGGCAATTTCCCCTTTCTCTACTCTAGTCAACGATTTTCTGTCTATTCATGATCTTTTATCATAGTTTGGATGGCCTTCTGATAAGAGGCCCCTTCTGTAAAAATCTTGATGAGTGAATGATGTGTTTATCAACTGCTTTCAAGGTGGTGGACAGTTTGTACCAGAAAATGTTTAGCTAATCAGCCACACAAATTTAATCTTATCTCTAAAGAGTTCTTTCCCCAAGGAGAGCAATTGCTAAAGTGCTTTGCTGTGGTTCCAGGCTGTGTCTTTATCATATACGATAATATTAACAAAGCTCAAATCAAGGTCTCCAGAATGTCAAACCAATGAAATGTGTGTTGGGTTCTATTTGAATAAGATCCCAGATGAGTCAAACTCCTCCCATCTAGACTTGGTTCATTTGGTTTATTATCTCTTACAGGTCATTCCTTACAGAATGACCAACAGAAAACCACCCCTCCCAACATACCCACCAATCTACACGTATACACACACGCGTAGATGTGGACATACACGAGTGCACGCATATATGTGGGTTTCCTTTCTGCCTGCTACAAATTTAGGAGACAGGAACGGTCAGTTTCAGCTGCCCCTTTAGCAAACTGCAATGTGCTTTCAAAGCAAATCTATCCATCTCTTCCACATTTTACCAGCCCCAAAGATTTCCCCTAGCCTTGACACGCCAGTTAGTGTTCACAGAATTCACTGTATTACACATCATGGCAACAAGAATACGGTGATTGACTGTCGCCATCAGGAGCTAAAATAAACCGTCTAGAGTTGAAGGGAGGAGGTCTTATTTTCCATTTTGTTGCCTTTTTTACCCAGAGCCTCATTTCTTTGAGAAGAGGTCATTTGAAAGTTCTCAGGCTTGGCCCATCGATGTGTGCTAATGTGTGCAGCTGGCTTTGTGATTTGATAATGTTCTTCTAACCACATAGGATTGGGCCCACCCCAGACCTACTAAATCAGAAACTCTGAGGGTGGCAACCAACCATCTGTGTTTTAACAAGCTCTCCAGATGATTCTGATGCATGCTCGAATTTGAAGACCACTAATCTCTATATTTTGCATACACACATTCACAGCTATGCATGTGTTACTTTGCATGCTGTCATAGGGAAGAGGCAGGGACTTTTCCTTTTCCAATGAGAGGATATCCTCAGTGGGAGCAGCACTTCCACATCTGCAGACGGCATGGAAGTCAGGTAGACAAGATGTCTCCATGGAAGGAGGCAAGACCTAGGGATCTCTCTGAACATTGATCCCACTGACTGTTAACACAGCTTCCCATGCCGGTGTGATTATACACCATGATTTGGATGTTGGTGAGTGAAGCAGGCTCTATGTAGCCTGCTGCTGTTGAAAGCATCTTGCTCTCTGTGTTTTACTGCCCTCGTTATAGAGTTACTTGGTAGAGAAGGGCTGTCGAGAGAGCCTCCTGGCAGACAGATTTCAGTTTATCCATCTTACGCAGTGGTCCACTGAAATGATGGGTTTCTTTCCCCACTGAAGTAGTGGGTCACCCCGTGGTACAAATGCTCTATTAGGCTTCTTCCAAGGCTGAAAGCTAATTGACAAGTTACTGCCGCATCGCGCCGCTAGAGACCATGAAAGGCACATCTGAGGAAAGATGGAGCTGTGTCAAAGTTGGAGTGACTATGGGAGGAGGTGCCCCGGGGGAGTGGGAGGTGAACTTGTGATTTGAGGGGACAGAGCCACATATGGCAGAAGGAATTTAAGTGTGATTCCCAAAATGCACTTGGATTCATGTTCGTATGTATATAAGGTAAAGGGGTAGATAGATATAGGACAGGCGTATATATGCAAGTGAATATATATATGTATATGTATGTGTGTATGTGTGTGTATATATGTGTAATATTCATGTTAAGCTCCTAACTTGTTAGCCAGGCATAAAAGGCCTTTGGCTCTAACATACATTTCCAATGTTATTTTTTTTTTAATTGAAGTATAGTTGATTTACAGTGTTGTGTTAATTTCTGCTATACAGCAAAGTGATTCAGTTATACATATATATATATATATATCGATACATTCTTTTTTTAATATTCTTTTCCATTATGGTTTATCATAAGTTATTGAATGGTCCTCTGTGCTATACAGTAGGACATTTTTGTTTATCCATTCCGTATATTGTATAATAGCTTACATCTGCTAACCCCCAACCTCCCACTCCATCCCTCCACCAACGCCTGCCCTCTACGCAACCACAAGTCTGTTCTCTATGTCCACGAGGCTGTTTCTGTTTCGTAGATAGGTTCATTTGTGTCATATTCTAGATTCCACATATAAGTGATATCATGTGGTATTTGTCTTTCTCTTTCTGACTTACTTCACTTAGTATGATAATCTCTGGTTGCATCCATGTTGCTGCAAATGGCATTATTTCATTCTTTTTTATGGCTGAGTAGTATTCCATTGTATATATGTACCTCATCTTCTTTATCCGTTCATCTATTGAAGGACATTTAGTTTGTTTCCATGTCTTGGCTATTGTGAATAGCGCTGCTATGAACATGGGGGTGCATGTATCTTTTCAAATTAGAGTTTTGTCTGGATATATGCCCAGGAGTGGGATTGCTGGATCATATGGTAATTGTATTTTTTGTTTTCTGAGGAACCTCCATACTGTTTTCCATAGTGGCTACACCAACTTACATTCCCACCATATGTATGGGAGGATTCCCTTTTCTCCACATCCTCTCCAGCATTTGTTATTTGTAGACTTTTTAATGGTGGCCGTTCTGACTGGTGTGAGTTGGTACCTCATTGTACCATTTGATTTTGCATTTCTCTAATAATTAGCGATATTGAGCATCTTTTCATGTGCCTATTGGCCATTTGCATTTCTTCTTTGGAGAAATGTCTATTTAGGTCTTATGCCCATTTTTTCGACTGGGTTGTTTGTTTTGTTGTTGTTGAGTTGTATGAACTGTTTGTATATTTTGGAAATTAAGTCCTTGTCGGATGCGTCGTTTGCAAATATTTTCTCCCATTCTGTAGGTTGTTTTTTCATTTTGTTTATGGTTCCAGTGTTATTTCTTTTTAGTCTCCTTCCCATGCCCTTCACTTAAGTCAAACTGTACAACTATCCATTCTTTATGGACGTCACACGATTCACCACACCGCATCCTTATCTCATCATATCCTGAGTTCAAAAATGACCTTCTCCATGTAGCCTGCTCTAAACTCTCCTCCCCCACCACACACACACCTCTGAGCGTAAATCATCCCTCCAGCTCCTGAACCTCTTATCACTTTATTACCTCCCATGGTATTCATCAGCCTATAAGTTATTATAACTATGGATGTTTCTCATTCCCTGCTTATCCTGCGAGCTTCCTGAGCACATTCTCCACTTCTGACCACGGTTTTGTCCCCAGGGTCCCCAGCCACTGCTCGGTGGCCAATATGTTTGTCATACAAGTAGGTAGCTGCTTAGCCACATCATAGCACGTGCCTAAACTCAAGAGAGAAAATAGTAGCAGGCTATGGAAAACAGTTTGGGGTTTCCTCAGAAAGCTAAACATAGGATTATCCTATGGCCCACCAAGTTCCACTCCTTGGTATATACCCAAAATAATTCGAAACAGGCATTCAAATAAAGACTTGTATATGAATGTTCATAGCAGCACTATATACAATACCCAAAAGATGGGACCAACCCAAATGTCCATCAACAGATGAAGGAATAGAAAAATGTGGTGTATCCACACAATGGAATATTAGTCAGCCATAAGAAAGAATGAAGTACTGGCACCTGCTACAACATGGGTGAACCTTGAAGATATTAGGCAAAGTGGAGGAAGCCAGACACACAGCTCACATTTTATGATTCCGTTTACATGAAATATCCAGTATAGGTAAATCCATAGAGAGAAAGCAGACAGTGGTTGCCATGGGCTGGCAGGAGTGAGGAATGACCGCTTAGTGGGTACAGGTCTCTTCTGGGGGTGATGAAAACGTTTTGGAACTAGATAGAGGTCATGGTTGGGCAACATTGAGAATGTACGAAGTGCCACTGAAGTGTTGACTTTAAAATGGTTCATTTTATGTTATGTGAACGTCACCTTGATAGTGGTTGTCATAGTGTTTTTAAGAAACAGTAGTATAAAGGCATTTCCCTTTTCCCTTGATAAAAACCGAGCTGATTTTTTTCTAATAAGATGGTATAATATTTTATCCCAACCATCAACAGATCCTAGAATGGATGAAGTATGGGTTTCACCTCCACCACAATCCCCTCCTTACTCCCAGATCATGTCGCCAGGGGCTGATTCACGCTCTGAGAGTAACTGCCCACCTGTGGCATCAGGTTCACCTAACACCAGCAGACACCTCTCCGAAAGTGGGGCCACCTTCCAGCTCCCGAGCCCTGTGTCCAGGCGCCCCACGGAGGAGACTGGCAGTCAGGCTCCACGGCTGCTACTGCTGAGGTTTAGGACAAGGATGGCCTTTTAATATCTTTGCCCAAGCTGAATTGTTCTACTTTGTCTCAGTTTTCCTGGAAGATGCTCCTTTGTTTTCAGAGGAGACAAGAAGCCCACCTTCTGTTCATCTTTGTTTTCAGTTCACAGGCTGAAGCTGGCTGACATCAAGGTCATCGGAGCCCTGGGTGATTCGCTCACAGTGAGTTACTGACGGTGGAAGGAAAGGGCAGGAGAGGAGACGATCTTGGTTAATAGGAGAATCTCACTCCTGGACCTTAAGCGTTGCCGTCTCTGGTCCCAACCTCAGTCCCTCCCCACCTCCATGCCCACCCTGGAATCCAGCATTCCCTGGCCCATCGTGTTTTCCCACCTCCATTCTAACCTCATCCTTCCTCTCCTAACATGGGAATGAAGGAGAGAGCAGGAAGTGGGGGGACCCCAGAAGGAGCCCCTGAAATGAAAGTAACCCAGCCCAAACCGCACAGCCTGTCGGTGGTGGGGTGTAGGGCCCCTTCAAAGACCCGGTGCTTTGTTCTGTCCATGTAGGAAGGCGAAGGGAAGGTCCCAAGGGCAATGGGATGATGGGACAGGAACGAGTACTAATGGGGGAGGGGTGAGAAAACCGGGGTCAGTGGAAAAGACAGAGGTACTAACGATGACCCAGCCTATGTCTGCAGGTGGCTGTGGTGACCTCCCAGGCCCAGCAAAAAGCTATCCAGAAAAAGCAGAATCAGGTCCTTAGAGAGCCAGGGTAGGGGGGCTCTGAAGCTCTCGAACTTCAGGTCCACAGTGACTCATTACAGAGGAGCCCAGCCGCTGTTCTCTGGATCAGTAGAATCGAGGGCCAACAGCTGAATTTCCCCCCAAATACCAGCTGACACCTTTCATGTCTGTGGCCTCTTCACATTGATATGATCTCACTCAATATCCTCAACAAAATCCTGGGCCATATGACTCTCCTCAAACTGAAACGACAAAGGAGGTGAAGCCGGTTGAAGCGAAGTGAGTACCGCAGCCAATAGCTTGTAACTGCTGGGTGAGGACAGGACTCCCAGGTCCTGACTCTGAGGCCAGAATTCTTTCCCTGCCCTGTAGCCGTCTCCTCCATGACCCCTCAGGTACTCTTCACCCCGAAGGCCCTATGGCTCCTAACCTTCTGGGAAGGACGGGCAGCACGGCTCATCCCAGCCACTTCCTGCTGGGTGTGGCCTGACGCAGCTGGAAATGCCCTGGCCATCCAGTGGTTAGGACTCAGCGCTTTCACCACTGTGGCCCAGGTTCTATCCCTGGTCGGGGAACTAAGATCCCAGGAGCCGCGGCGTGGCCAAATAAACAAACAAACAAAAAAAAAACAAACAGAATCAGCCCAGCTGTTCAGGACTACCTGGGGAGGCAGCAAGGCTCCTCTCCCGGAGGCCAGCCTTCCCCACAGGCTGCCTGGGAGGCTAGCCCTTGGCATGACCTTTGGAATGGCTCTGCTGGGAAATAACGTGCTTTAGGCAAGGGACGTGCACCTGCAGAGTGTGTCAGGGTGTGGTTTTAAAAGACCCCGCTCTTTCTTTAGCTGAGGAGTAGGTACGTGGCGTTTCATTTTAATTTTTCCAATTGTACATATGTGAGACCTATTCACATCAAAGGATTACAGGATACTTCCCTTTCTGATACAGTTCACGACTTTTAAAAAATGAGGAAAATGGGGCCCTGAAATGTGTCCTCTGGGAAACTGTACACTGCAGTATAATTTTCAGAGCGCTTCTGCCAGCCTAGGGTCCGGGCAGGGTTTCTTAGAGTGAGGCTGCCCTTGGAGGGCCCCAGAATTCCCAGTGGGAAGTAGCACTCGTTTCTGACGAGGCAGAATGCAGGTCAAGACGTGGTGCTCTCAAGACGCTAGATTCTAAAGTGCCGGACGTTCCGGCCCGGCCAGGACGAGAACACAGACCCTCTGGTGAGCAGGCAAGGAAATCACCCCCTTGTGGTTCCCTTTCAGGCAGGTAATGGGGCCGGATCCAAGCCTGGGAACGTCCTGGACGTCTTAACTCAGTATCGAGGTCTGTCCTGGAGGTAAGTGCAGGCGTGGCAAGGCCCAGAGACGCCCCGTCGCAGGGCAGGGGAGGACCCCTGAGCATGTAGAAAACAAGTTCTCTAGCAGAAGGATGAGTCAACCTAGTGCTTTTCCATGAGAAATTTCTAGGTTTAATTTAAGGAAGGTATTTATCAGCTTCCCCAAACCAGATATTCCCCCAAAACAAGCCAGGACCTGAGCAGGAGTTTAGGGGAAAAACTACTCAGACGTTTGCGTTGGAAAAGTTTGGGCTTGCCTTTCTCCCTCTGGGCAGTCACCTCAGCAGGAGGCAGCAGCCTTCAGAACCCGGGTTGTGTAGGAGCCCCAGCTGCCCGCTCTGTGTGACCTTGGGTAAGTTATTCAACCTCTCTGAGCTGGTCTCATCTTTGACGCAGAGACAATAATACTGCCTTAGCATTGTCGCGAGGCTTACAGAGAATTTAAATGCCCAGCACAGTGCCTGACACAAAAGTAGGTATAAATGGTAGCTGGGATCATTATTAAAGGGCCTTCATTTTACAGATGATGAAGCACGGCTCAGAGAGGGCAAGTAACCTGTCCAAGATCACACAGTCAGATGGTAAGAGAGCAAAAAGTAGAGTGGATGACTCCTGACCCCTAATGCAGCACATCCCCCATCATGTATATTTTGTGCAGGCTTGTTCCTGCTCTGCCTGTAATCAAACCCAGGCGGCCACAGGCTGCGGTGAGCAGCGCTCCTGCTTCACCTCCGCTATGAAAGCCCAGCTCATGCCAAGCGGGAGAGGGCAGGTTCGGTGTTCCCTCAACCTGGAATCCAGCATCTCTGGCACCAGCTTGAACCTGAGCGTTGAATCCCTGGCATCCTCCCTGGCGATGCTACACAGAGTTAAACCCCAGACGTTTTGAGAACCTTTGAAACGTTCCCAGACGTACTTGGCAGAGAATGAGGGGATATGGAAAAGTAGGGAATCCAATCAACTCTGGAATGCTGCTTATTTTCATGCCTAGAAACCCATCCAACTTTGATTTCCCTGGAATTTTAGAAGCGGCTCAGAAGATGGGTTGCTCTCTAGAAGATACCCTTTAAAAACCGGGTTTTCCCCAAGCCAAACAGGACGAGAAACATGAAGGCAAACTTTTTTTTTTTTTTTTTTTTTAATAATAATGCACAGCTGCAGTGTCTAGTCGGCGCTGGGCTGGGCTCTGCATCCAAGGAAGGGCCATTTCCCCTTTGGAAGATGGGGCTGAAGAGGCCCACTTAATTCCCCTGCCTCAAGGTCAAAGCTCAAAGTTAAAAAACAAAAGTCAGCCATGACGGTTTAAGCCAGTTTTTTGTTTGGACGTTCTGGTTTGTGGGGCAAAGGAGAGAGAAGTTGCTGTATTCTGGTTTTTCAGTTTTTATACAAAAATAATGAGGAAAGGGCAAGCCCCAAGCCCCCAGGCTGTTTCTCGGAAGGAGCAAGGTCTGTCTTGGTGGTGTCTGAGGTGTTTCAGCGTCGCTGGCCGTTTTAACCTTCATTTTCTTTTTTGTCCCCACGACGACGCAGCGCGGGCGGCGATCAGAACCTCAGCAGCGTCACCACCTTGCCCAGTAAGTACGCGCTCCCGGGGGTCCGGGGCGGGCTCGCCGCCGCCCTGCGCGTTTCTGCAGCTCCCCCTGGCGGCGGCCGCGGGCTTGGCAGGGAAGGATGGCAGGAGACAGCAGCGTTCGGCAGGGGGCGCTGCCTCCCCGAGGCGGTCGCCCTGCTCTGTTGCTTGAGAGCGATTAAAGCCTTTTTTTTTTTTTTTTTTTTTAAGAGAAATTGTATTTGTCCGAGGAAGGAAGAGAGTAAGAGGGAAAGAATGCTCAGGCCAACCCTTAGTGCAAGTTATTATTAAGAAATGATTGAAGAAGGAAATAAAGGAAACCCGTGTTTGCTTTGCCTGTCATTCAGAGCAGAGCACCTTTCGGGGAGGCGTTGATCTAGGCTTGGGCTGTATTAGGCACCACTGCATACAAAGACGTTGAATTCCTGGTGTTGGTTTAGGAAACGCTGTTATTGCAGCAGTGATGATGAAATTACCTTGTTCAGGCTTTGCAAACACAGCCATATTTGGGGTGCAACCTTTTCTTTAAATTACTTCATCAGCAACCAGTTCGGAATGATTTTTTTTAAGCCTGACTACATGCTTTGAATGGTCTTATTCATCTTTTTATTCTCCTTAGTGCATGCACAGTGCTTGTTCTTAAAGTACGCGTACAAAAAAATGTTACAATTGAATTATTTTCCCTTAAAATCTTCTGGCTAACGATTTTGCCTGAGAGGAATTTAATCGGTCCCATTCTCATTTACTTTCTCGTAATTATCCCTCTGTAATATATCTTTAGCAGCTAAGAAATTATTTGAGCTTTAAGTCACCAAGACTTTGATGATAAAGGTGGTTTGATCGCCACATGGGCAGAACTGGTTGGACTTCATGCGTGTTATCTGTTCTTGCTATTTGCAAATCCTGTTGATTTTAAGTAGATACAGTTCTGTGACACGAGTACTTCCCATCTTCCTTATTTCTAGGTCCACACACAAGAGCTATGAATAAGCTCTGCCATCTCTAGGAGATGATTTGGGTTGCTTTTGTGAATGTAATTGGGCTATGAGCTGGGCCAGCATACACAACAATTTGCTGGGCTCTCTGATTCCCACGCTATTGTGGTTGATAACATGATTGGAAATCATCTGACTCAAGATCTTTCACTAAAGTGATTTATAAAATATTAAGACGCCCCGACACGCTTAGCCCAGCAGTGGAACATTGCCTGTTCAGACTTCCTTACTAGTGTTGTGAAGACAGATTGGCTGTAGGGACTGGATAATCCATGGAGAAATAATCACGTGGCAATGTGTCGGAAAACTTATGAGAACATGGGGTCAGAACAGAACCTCAGTTCAACTCCCTATTCAATGTAATCCAGCAAATACACCCGTGCTGGGTGCTTGGGAAACAGGAGAATGAGGTGAGGTCCCTGCCCTGATGACATCACTGAAGTCTCTTTAGGGACACGTCTCCCTAAAGACAGACATGTGTACCAATAATTATAGCCATGTACAAAGTTTAGGGGAAAATAAATAAGAAGGCTGTTACCCTGCCTTTTGAAAGAGGGCTTTAAGAACTGGAATTCATCAGATAAGAAAAGGGGATTGAATGTTCCTGGCAGAGGTAACTGTGTGCACCAGCAAGTTCTTGTCCTGTCCAATGAGTAGTGCCTTCTGTGACATTCCTGATAGGTACCTAGCTAGCCGGTGCTGGATGCTTCCAGTAATGGGGAGTCTGGGACAATCCCTTCCGTCTTCAGATAGCTCGAGTGATCTCGCAGCTCTTCCTTCTGTTGAGTAGATCAGAGTGATTGCCATCCATTGGTACAGTGTCCCCAGAGCCACAAGGAATGAGTTCAATCCATCTGTGTTGTGTAGGCCCTGTAGCAGTGCTTGGTTGGAGAGAGTGCTCTGCTGGATGGCGTGATGCCTGAAAGTCCTGACCGATACCTAGCCAGTTCCTTTCCCACATCCTAGTAGATTGTAGGTCTGGGGAAGGTACCCTCTAACATGAGCTGAGAGATCAGGTTCTGGCCTAGGATTCTATTCTTAATAATGTATGACTTTTAACAGTTCTCCTAACCTTTCTGAACTTTCAGTTATTCTTAATTCAGTCCATAAACATTTATTGAGCCCATGCGAGGCTCAGGGGTGTATACAGACCCTGCTCTCAGGAGTTTTCAGCCAAGCTGGGGGGGGATTGCAGAGTGACAAGTGTAGATCCAGCATGGTAAGGGCATTAGAATGTATGAGATTGAGAAGATGAGCCAAATCAGCGAGCAATTAGACTGACCAAGGTGGATGGTGGGAAGAGAGCCTAAAACTCAGAAATGAAAGAGGAGACATAAGTATAGAAATAAAAAGGATTATGAGAGGGTAGTTTGAACGGTTGTATCCGTACGATGGAATATTATTTGCCAGTAAAAAAGAATGAAGCACTGACCCATGCTAAACATGGATGAACATTGATAACTTGCTAAGTGAAGGAAGCCAGTCACAAAGGACGTGTGTACTGTATGGTTCCATTTATATGAATGTCCAGAATAAGCTAACCCATAGAGATAGAAGGTTGATTAGTGGTTGCCATGGGGCCGGAAGAAATGGGGAGGGACCGCTAGTGGCTATGGAGTTCCTTCTGGGGCTGATGAAAATGTTCTAAAGTTTATAGGGGTGACGGTGGCACAACTATATGAATGTACTAAAAGCTATTGAATTGTACTTTAAATTGGTGAAGTCTATGTTATGTGAATTACATCTCAATAAAGCGATTACATATTTAGAGAAAAAAGCAAAGCGCCTGAGAGCAGCACCTTAACCAGATTGGCATTTATTCAGCACTAATTCATTGAGCGCCCTTGGGTGCCGCACACGTGGTTCGGCATCAGCCTGCTGGACGTTTTATTTTGGGGGCCAAGCGAACAGTAAGGGTGAGGGCTGTGGGGCGGGCGCTCCGCTTTGTCGCCAGCACCCCCTGGCACTTACCAAAGGAATCTGAAGATTGCCTTGGGGCAGTGATGACGAACATCTTTTCCTTATATTTCCAGACATCCTCCGGGAATTCAACCCTTCCCTGAAGGGTTTCTCTGTTGGCACTGGAAAAGAAAACAGTCCTGGGGCCTTCCTAAACCAGGCCGTGGCAGGAGCCCGAGCTGAGTGAGCAGTGGAGCCTTGCGGGTGAACCACACGGGTCTCCGGGAACCTGGTCGGGGGCTTAGCCTAGACCAGGGTGTATGGCTAAAGGCTCCGGATTTGGTCCAGGGGGAGGACCTGAGGGTCAAAGGCTGGACTGGGCGGGCTCTCTTGGGAGTGTTCTCTACCGTGGGACGCGGAAGCCTGCTGGCTCACCCACCGACCGCGCCCCCGGGAGCTGGTCACAGTTGATTCTGATGCCAGGTACATGCTTTGCGCAAATTACTTTGCCTCGTCTGTAAACCTCACGTGCACATGAGACAGCAGCTATAGGAGGGCTCGCTGAGCCCCAAGTCTCACCACTCTGTTAATGCTCCGTCTTTCGTGTCACCTTCTCCCTCTCCTCCTCAGACTTGCTCTTCAGGAGGCTTTTTCAGGCTCCATGCTTTGCATCCCTCCTGGTTCATGGGAAGAGCACCAGTCCTGGGGCCAGCGGGAGTGGGGGAGTGTCTGAGTCTGAGCCCTGGTTTCTCCCCTGGCCTCTCTAAGCCTTAGCCTCTAAGAGATGGGGCTGAACCTCTCCCATGGGCCGGCGGGGAGGCTCAATGCCGTGTTTTTCGGTGTGTTTTTTTAAACATCTTTTATTTCTTTAATGTTGTATCTATCTATTTATTTATTGGCTGCGTTGGGTCTTCGTTGCTGTGCACGGGCTTTCTCTAGTTGAGGCGAGCGGGAGCTACTCTTGGTTGCAGTGTGCGGGCTTCTCATTGCGGTGGCTTCTCTTGTCGTGGAGCATGGGCTCTAGGCCCGCAGGCTTCAGTAGTTGTGGCACAAGGGCTCAGTAGTTGTGGCTCACGGGCTCTAGAGCGCAGGCTCCGTAGTGGTGGCGCATGGGCTTAGTTGCTCCGCGGCATGTGGGATCCTCCCGGACCAGGGCTCGAACCCGTGTCCCCTGCATTGGCAGGCAGATTCTTAACCACTGCGCCACCAGGGAAGCCCTCAGTGCCATGTTGAAAGTGAAAGTTCTGGTGAGCTGTAAATAGCACAGACAGGGTGGTGGTCCCAGCAACAGTGCAGCAGGGCTGCAGGACCCACCTGGGGTAAACTGTTAGCGAGCAACAGGACCACTGAGTCGTGGTCCAGGGGCACTGGATGGAGGGTTCCAGAGAGCGGGGTCAGCTTTCCTGGGTCCTACAGCTCCATTTCTCCCCACCATCCCAGAACCCTGAGTACTTCTTTGGGTTTGCTGCCAGTCAGAGAACCAGTGAGAGCCACATCCAATGTAGGAAAAATAAATGGAAAGATCCTTTTTGTTTCTTAGTCCTCTATTTCTTCCAGAATAATCACGAACTTTACTATGTATTTCCTAGGGATTCCTATGTTTAGGTTCCTAGATCCCCGACATCATTCTCCCAGCTCTCAACACCATCCTGAATCTACGAGTCCCCGACTAGAGTAACTCTTATTTATTCAGGACAGGAAAGGTGACAGATTATCTGAAGCAGAGATCATACAAAACCTAATAGGTTTTATAATGAATTCGGTGGCTTCATTTTCCTTGTGGGGTGGGGGTGAAAGGCTACAGATTTACTGCTTAAAATTTTAGGCTTACATTAATATTACCTTAATCTTGCTTTTTTCCAAGCATATTTCAGCTGATGGTGTAAGAGGAGAGGCAGTTCTAAGCATGATTAGGTCAGGAAGGCATCCAAGAATGAAAGCTTAGCTGAAAGCGTAAATGTAATGAAAAATGGAGTGTGATTCATATGGCCCCGGATTTCTTCCCTGATTTCCCCAAGGCCTTGGGGCTCGTTCGTGTGAGTCATTTATTTGTCCAAGCATGTCCTGTGTTGTAGGGAAGAGTTGGGGATGATTATTCCAGATTATTATTACTATTCCCATTACAGATGAAGAAACTGTAGCCCAGAGAGATGAAGTGGCCTGAACAAATGCCTTATCTCGACCACATGGTCTGTCATCTTTGTGCCCCCAGGCTTTACCACAGGTCCACTAATGACCCTTTATGTGTATATAGCAGTGTGCAATTACATAGTACCCTCACGTTTGTTATCTCTTGTGTTCTGAACAGTAACTGTGAGATGGACAGAGCAGAGGCTCAGATGCCCATGTTTTCTTAATGATGATCTTGAGGCTCAGAGTGGCCAAGTAATCATCCAAAACTCTGGTCCATAGAAAGAACAGCAGCCCTGCTAACTTCAGAGCAATAGATGAGGAAACTGAGGCTCAAAGAGGTGAAGTGGTTTACCCAAAGTCTCCACCCAGGTGATCTGATACCTAGCCTATTATGACTAAGAGCAGGCCAGTTGGGCTAATAATTAAGAGAGGAAGAGGGTGACAACTAATGTTTCCTGCTAAGTCCTGTGCCAGGGACTTTATTGATGGTGATGATGGTGGTGGTGACGATGGTAGAAATAATTCAATGGATTGTTTCTAATATGGATATTTACCGTGTGCTCTTTTAAGTTCTTTATGGGCACCTTATTTAATTCACCCAACATCTCTGTGAAGAAGGTGTGCTTGTCATCCCCATCTTCCAAAGGAAGAAACTGAGGGTTTGCAAGGTTAAGTACTTTGCCGAGGTCTCACAGCTGGTCAGGGGTGGAAGCAGGATTCAAACCCGTATGCTGCCTGGCACCAAGAGTGGCTCTTACCCCATGGGGCTGCTTTGCTCGTCTCTACTAAGACCCATTAAGATGGGGGGGGGGCGGTTACCTCCTATCATTTGGATGAGAATTTAAGTCACATTCCCACAGTTAGCAAGAGGCAACTAAATGTCACACCCAGGTGTGTCTGACTCAACCATGTCACGTTGAAAGTGAGGGCACCCTTGCGGCTGAGGTCTTGGCACCCGCAGAGATAGCCATGTGTGGCATGAAACACTCAGATGCAGCCCTCTGTTTGTCTTGAATGAGCCTGGCTTGGAAGAGAAAGAAAACTATGAACCCAAATACGCCAATCAGAAAACAGTCCCGCTAACAGTCACCCCCTCATATGTAGGGAGCTCTGCCCTTCCCAAGGCACACTCATGACTCCCACCCCCAGCAGAGACCGAGTGGGGAAGGAGCTGTGTGACAGGGCATGGCCTTCAGTCCAGTTTTCCTGCTACATATTCCCGATTTCTCTGCTAAGTCCCCTCCCGACCCCGGCTTCACAGCCCCCGCTGGTCACATGACTTCTTCCTGTGTGTGCCTGCAGGGATTTACCTGTTCAGGCCAGGAGGCTGGTGGATCTGATGAAGAATTACATGGTAAGTCTAGGGGAGGTGGCACCTGAGACCACTTGAGGTAGGATGCCCAGAGGAGGGAGCGGGTGGGAGGATCATAGAGACAGAGAGGGTCAGCTCTGGGGTGGGGGTGGGGGGCACAAGGCCACATGGGAATCCAGAGAGGCCACCTTTAAAACAACAACAAATGATTTAGCACCTGTGACCTCTGACCTCAGGACCCACAAACCAAAGAACAGAAATTATTAATGTCCCCACTAAACCCTCCTGTGTGTGAGGACCCATCCCTACAGCATTCAGCACTTTGTATTTTCCTGGACTTGACTCTGGAGCAAGGCTTTTACTTGTTTGTTTCCTATTCATTTCAGGATATAAACTTTCAGGAAGATTGGAAGATAATAACCCTGTTTATAGGAGGCAACGACCTCTGTAATGTCTGCAATGACCCGGTAGGTCTCCAGGCCCTCACCCAAGACTCCTCTGGGAAGGATTTCCACCCCAGGTCGCTGGAGCAGTGCAGCTGGGTTGGGACTCGGCTGGTAGTCGGGCATGGATCCAGCCTGGGCAATGTATCCGGGGCCACACAGACACTGAAACACAGGCTCTGTTTGTGATGAACTCACACTGCCAGGGCAGGGAGATACAGACAACTCACCATCCTGATGTGTTTCTAGAGCTGCACACAGAAGAGAGGTCTGGGGTCAGAACTGCTGTGGGATTTGGGGGGCTGGGGGAGGGAGGGGTGGTGTCAGAGGTTTACAGAGAGCAGGAGACTTTCCAGCTGGGCCAGAAACATGAGAAGCTTTGTCAGGAAGAAAGGAGACCAGCAGAGCAAAGTGGTGGGTCTAGCTGTGGCCTGGGAGCACCTGTCCCAAGGGGTGACCCTGCCCGCCAGACCCCTCAAGGCCTGTTTTCCTGGCATCAAAGTCACCAGGGTCTGGGGGTTTCAAGCTACAATGCGAAGGGCCCACGGTGGGGCCTGGGGGCTGCTGGCTGCCAGGGTGGGGCGGGGCGGGAGGTGGGACCATGGGTCCCTCCCCCACTTCCCTTGAGGCTTTGATCCATTTGGTAGAGCAGGGCTCTTGGCTAAATTTCATTCAGACACAGGGTTCCACTGCTTTTTTTAAAAAGTTTGAAGACCACAAGTATCGAGATCAGGGGAAATCACCATTAAAATGTATTTGTGCTTGGTGGGGGGTTTGCAGGACCCTCTTCCCCTCTGATAATCTCCTTAAGTGATTTGATTGAGCTTTCGCTTCCCAGGCACTTGAGGTTCCATCAGAAGTGATCAGCCCCTAGGACCAAACAGTGTTCAAGCTGTAGGAGATCTTAGAGGTCCCCTGCTCCGACACCCCAGTTTAGAGGGGCCCAGAGGTGTGATGTGCTGTGGCGAAGGCCCTACATCCAGTTGACGTGAAGTGGATCCAGAGCTTTCCGTAGCTCCATGCAGAAGAAAGAGTGTTTCCCTGAGGGTCACAGCCTTCACCTCAAGCCTGAGGACCATGGGGTGAGGGTGGAGGCTAGGGCCCCAAAAGATAGCCTGTGTTTCAGTGTTGCCCATTCTGCCTGAAATACAGGGAGGAGGGGACTCAGGAGAGGAAGTGGTCCCGGCCTACCGAGAGGTGGGGTGATGAATGGGCTTAGAGACATTTCCTCTTCCTGCAGGTCCGCTATTCTCCACAGAACTTCGTGGACAACATCGGGAAGGCTCTGGATATCCTCCATGCCGAGGTACAAAGGCCAGGCCACACGGCGTCTGGGCAGCTCAGCCGCAGGCCTCCTCCTTGGGCCTCGGTCTTAGCCTGGAGGCAGCTCTGGCTTCCTGCTGAGACCTCCCTGCCAGGTCCCCTTCTCCTGGAGACCAGCACAGACCATGCTGTCAGTCCTGGCCCCAGCAGCCTGAACATATGCGTCAACAGGGAGCAGAGGGGAGAGAGGGGGAGGGGTGAAGGCTGTGGCTGGGGCCAGATGAAAGGCCACAGACCTGAAACCCAGCAGGAGACGCCAGCCCCAGCCCCGGGTGAGAGGCTGGAGCAGCCTGGCCTCGATCCTCTTGGGGACGGACCTTGCCTTTGCTCAGGTGCCTCGGGCGTTTGTGAACCTGGTAAAGATCCTGGAGATCATCAGCCTGAGGGAGCTGTACCAGGAGAAGAATGTCAGCTGCCCGCGGCTGGTCCTCCGGTGAGTTGGAAGTTCTCCACCTATTCCTGAAAAAGCCATGGGACCCTCAGCAGAGAGTGGCTCTGGTTAGTTAGAAAAACCAAGGGCAGGAGTGTGAGGAGTGCTAAGACCCCGTGGTCTAGCCTGGAGGAGACACCCCAGGACAGGCTTCCTGTACCCTCGGAGTTCATGAGTTTGCAACCCAACGTGTGCTTCTATTGCCAGACAGCTCAGGACACCCTTCGGTCCTCCAGGGAGGGAAGAATAAAACATGACGGATGGAACGAGCCTCTGCGGGCCAGTCTCACTGGCCACTGATAGGGCCTCCTTCTAAGTGTGCCCTGCCCCCTCCCAGAGGCCCAGCTCCAGGACAGAAGGGGCCTCTGTTCAGCATGGGTGCTCCAGGCTGGGCATTCACAAAGACAGGGCTATTGTCACTTTCTAAAAGACAGGGTGGTCAAGTCAGAATCAGCATGGTCTAGAGGACGGTCTTATCCCCCGCCAGCAAGAGCCCGAGCCCTGGCCCCGAGAGGCCGCCTTCATGCCCAGCCTTCGGAGCCAAAGATGGCTCCCCTGCTAATGTTACACATGAGCCTCAGGAATAAGATGTCCTTCTACCCCAAGCGTGAACCGTTCCTTCCTGCAAGGTCCCCTCCGGACCATTAGCCCAGATCACAGTGGCTGTGCCCCCCACCCCCTTTCTCCCTTCCCCAGCTCTGTAGAGGCCTCCACCACTTCCCTGAGCGCATCATGTGATAATGGCCCGTGTGCCTCTCCCCCCAAGCCCTGAACTCTGTGTCTGAGTCACTGCCAGCACGGTGTAGGGGCTCCGTGGCTGTTTGCTGAATGACTGAATGAATAATTCACAAGGGCCAGATTTGCTCTGGGAAGTGAAGGGGTATCTTGGCTGTTCCCTGGAGATCCATGCCAAACCACCCCTGGGGGCCTTGACTGACAGGTCACCTGCGGAAGGCCTGGGGATGCTGTGGGCAGCGGGAGGATGGCTGCAGGGTGACACATGCCTGTTAGCACAGCTGGTGTCAGGCATGCTATTTTCGGCTGCTGACTCATCCCCTGCTCCCACTCTCTCCAGTCACTGGGCCCCACGGGGGGTTCAGCTTGTTCATTCCGTGTCAGAGCAGCTCACCCAAAAGTCTCTGGCTGCCCATCACTGCAAGGTCTTTAGACAATTAAAGCTAAAGGTTCAGAGTCCAACCTGGAATGGCCAAGTCCCTGGCTGGGGGGTTAGGAAGACTCAGGGTCACCTTGTCCTGCCACCTCTCCAGTGCCCTGCACTCCCTGTCTCTCAGCTGTCCTGCCTCAGTGGCTGTGCTTTCCTTGGTGGCACTGAGTCTACACTGAGCCATCCTCACTATTATCACCTCCTCCCCCTGGACCAAAAGCCCAGATCTGCAAGTTGGCTAGTCAGGGCAGATGTACGGACTGGACAGAAGCAGCTCAACTAGGGATTAAGAGCTCAGGTTCAGACCAGGCAGACTTGAGTTCAAGTCCTGGCTCCCACACTCAGCATCCATGTGACCTTGAGAAACTACTTAACCATGCTGAACCTCAGTTTTCTCATCTATAAGATGGGGATAATGAAAATACATCTTCTAGAATTGCTAAGAGGATTAACCAAGTTAATACCCATAAAGCTCTTCGCACAGTAAACATTCAGTATGTGTTAGCATTGTTATTATTGTTGTCACTACTATTTAAAAGGAGGCATGCCTCATCTGTACCACACTGTTATCGAGCATTCATAAGGTAACGCAGCTCCGTAAAAGTCACTCCTGCGGATGTCAGACGATGTAACTACTTCATTTTCGTGGGCAAATCCAGGTCTGGGAAATTTTCTTCACTTCCATCTGGTACAGTTGACAGGTTAGCCAGCCAAGGCCCTGTTAGCACAGGCTTCTGGTACCTCCGAGTTAAATATATTCTGAATCTCAAGCCAACGCTTCTGCGTCATGCACTCAGCCAGGGGTCCTGGTGGATGGGGCATCTCTTTGGTTTGGCCTGCAGGAAACTGTGTCCCTGTGTCTTGAAGTTTGATGATAACTCAGCAGAACTTGCCTCCCTCATCAAAGTGAATAAGAAGTATCAGGTAAGCCGGGAGAGGGTTCCGAGACTGCACAGCGACTGCTGTGTGGTTTCACCGCTCTGCTTAGAAAACCAGCAGACACTTAGATTATGTCGACCCCGACTGTGTGTGATGTTACCGCTGACCAGTTTGCAGATTTTAATACTCCCCCTGCCCCCCGCCGCAAGACAGCAGGTTCAATGTATTTGATTCAAGTTATAGAGCCGAGTCACTGAACACACGTCACCAAATCTCAGTTCCCGGCCTTACACGAAAATGAGCGTTTCCAATTGTCCATGGAGAATGAGTATGAGGTTCTGACTCCTGGGGACGGGGTTGGGGGAACTCTTGCCGCCCAAGAGAGTCTGGAGGATTCAGTGAGAGAACATGCATTCCCTCTGCCCTCCCCTTCGGGGGGGAACAGGTGTTATTGGGGTGCACAGGGAGAAAGAAAGTCAGCAGATGCTCTCCCAACATCCTGTGGGTTGTTCCTTTTAGGCCTTCCTCCATCAAATCTTTGACCAGAGCAGCTGACTCCCTTGACTCTCTTGAGTTTTCCCCCAAATAATCATCCAGTCACTCGAGAGAACAGTGGTAGTCTCCCAGCTCTTCTGAAGGGGGCTGCAGACAGCTTCCAGGGTGGATCCATCCTTCAAGTCCATGGACTCCTTGGAGCAGAACCCTTCCCTGCAGCCTCTTTCAAGGCAGTCGTATCTGCCAGCAGTGTCAGGGCTCAGGGGAATGAACCTCTGTTTATCATCCTCTGAGGCCATCCCCCAGCCCTGTGGGTGACTCCCCAGCTGCACTTCCTTCTGCCGTGAGCAGGTGCCTCTGTCTCAGGTGAGGAAGCCCATGCCTCACCAGGAGAGGGAAGGCAGCCGAGGTTATGGCCATGAAAGCAGACCTTTTCCAGGTGCGGTTTGGGTGCAAGCAACAAGCGCTTATGCAATTCTGGTTAAGTTATTATTTATTATTAATTCAGATGTATTATTTAAGCAGAATGCCTGGAAGAGCTAAGGTCAGAGGCCAAGCCACCAGAAATTGCGAGTCTTGGAATTCTAGGAGCCAAGCCATGAGAATAAAAATCAGGGCAAGGAACTAGTCCAGTGGAGACACCCTGGACACCACTGTCACTGCTCTTCTAGGAACTGGATGCAGCTGCCACCCCCAGCAGAATGGATTCTGTGCTGTCCCTCCATCTTTCTAGCGCTAGCTTCCAAACCAAAGCCTGAAGCAGGAGCATCTACTGGGGGACACGTGGGCATGTGTGAGGGGCATTGGGAAAGCCAGCATCTGGGTTTCTCACCTTCTGCAGTGCAAGTCAGGCTGGTCTTCACACAGTGGAGTTTGTTGTTTTTTTTTAATATAGGAAGTGGGTCCAGATGCTGGGCAACTAAAGAGAAGGAGAACTATTCACAAAAATGGCCTTCACTGACCTCTCTAGATTGGCCAGCTGTTGTTCCCAGGTCTGATCTTGGTTACCACGGAGACCCTGATCTAGCATCCTGGACAAGCTCACAGCTCAGCCACATGAGGCCATCATGCCCTCTCTCTGAATCCTCTGACTCTCTACTTCCTGCTGAAGCTATCATTCCATCCTTCTCCTTGGAGGTGCTCATTGCTGTTAATAACCACCATGTGCTAGGCATTCTCCACACTATTTCCTTTATTTCTCAAGAGGTGCAAGGCTCCACTGTGAGCCATTATGGCTGACCCATGGAGGAACTAGCAGCCCTGAAAGGGACTTAGGGATGGCCCAGGCCTCGGTGAACATCCTCCACTTACAGATGAGGAAATAGAGGTCCAGAGAGGGAAAGCATCTTGCTGAAAGTCACAGAACTAGTTAGCGGTATTGCACCTGCCTTCCTCAAGGCTCTGCGTGTAACTGGAAGAGACTCCCCCCAGGAGGTCAGAGGTGAGGTACCCCCAGCACGTGGACTCTTTTTCTGGCTGACCCTGGAAAAAGACGGTGTTCTTGATGTCATGATGTCTTCTGAAGTGACTGCTGTAATGTTCTGGGTGTGGAAGCCTGACTTCCCCCTCTAGCCAAGGTCCTGGTCCAAATGATAGAAACCCGGCAAGCAGTGAAATGGCCGAGTCTGGGAGAAGTGGGTGCCAGAACTGGGGTAACTCGTCATTCTGGAACTGATCCCAGGCGGAAGCTATGAAAGTAACAGCTGTGTTACCTCCTAGACAGATCTGAGAATCTCAAGTGTGCACACACAGGAGCACACGTGCTCACACTCACTTCATGCATGAGTGATATAAATAGGCATTAAATGTCATTGTTGATTCACCTTTGATTTTCTGAACACATGTAGGACAGCAATAAATGTAAGGGTTATCCAAAAAAGTCATTTAATCAAATTTGTACTCACCCCACTTCCACCCTAGTCTTTAATCAGAGGCTTTAAAAGAAGATCAAACTGATGGACTTGGATTTTTCTTTTTTCCCAGCCTAGGTCAAACGGATGCAAAGGCAGCCCAGGTTAGGGGCAGGGGTTGAGATAAAGCCTGATCTGAAAAGTCACTAGCTGGCTCCTGCCTGATCAGTTGGGATTTTGCTGCAGACTGATTTCACTCAAAAGTCAGACTGTTTAATTCTGCAGTGGAGAAAGAGTTCCCAAAGACCGGGCAGATGCAGAGAGAGTCTCCTGACCTCTGTCCCCCTTCCTCCTGCAGGAGGGGACTCACCAGCTGGTCGAGAGTGGGCGATATGACACAAGGGAAGATTTTACAGTGGTCGTGCAGCCGTTCTTTGAAAACGTGGAGATGCCAAAGACCCCGGTAGAGCCTCATGGATAAGTGGGAGCCACAGGTGTGCCCAGCTGTTTGAGCATCATTTGTGTTATCCAACATCCCTATAACACAGCCCCTCTATTCTGTCCTGTGACCAGGAGGGGTTGCCTGACAGCTCTTTCTTCGCTCCTGACTGTTTCCACTTCAGTAGCAAGGCTCATGCCCGTGCAGCCCAGGCCCTGTGGAACAACATGGTAAGAGGACCGAGGTAGGAAAAATTATTCTCCTTCTGATAGGAAAAAGATTCCAGGAAGCTTTCAGAGGACTTCAGAGGCCCATCACTCAGGCTGTGTGATTCCCTGCACAGCGATGACGATAAACCCCATTTCCTCCGTCCCGCCCTCCCGTCTCCGGCCTCACCCTGCATCCTGACTTTTCCATTCTTGCCACCCCTTTCTCACTCTGCATCCTCCTGCTTCTTGGTTTAGCTGGAACCTGTCGGCCAGAAGACGAGAAGGCATAGGTTTGAAGACAAGATCAATATCACATGTCCAGACCAGGTACAGTGAAGAGCGCAGCCTTGCCAGGGGTCTACCTAAAGCCTCTTTCCCAGCCTTTCGAAGCCTCTCATTAACGTTTCTCAGTTCCTTCCATCCCAAGTTCTCACTCCCACCCCCAGCTCTGTTCACCTACCCACCCATTCCAGACTCCAGTTAGCCATCCACAATGCCCCATCTGATTGGACCGTGAAGGGTGACAGCCAGTGGCCGGGAGACCCTAGAGCTCGCCTCTGTCTCTCCATGTCCCAGCAAGCCCGGCATAAGTCTGCACACGGCTCTCTCCAGCTGGGCAGAGGGACATGGCAGGACCAGCCAGATCTCATTTTGAAGGCCAGGGGTGGGGAGGACCTCAAGGGCGGGAAGGGACAGAGGATACCCCATCTCCACAGAGCCACTGTCCCCATGGTAGGATGGAAAGAGTGAGGGGCTGAGACCTAGAAGAATATCTTCTAGGATGGAGGTGGGGTTTGGGGGTGGGAGGTCCATTGGAAGCCGGAGCTAAGAAAGCAGACATTCACCAGAAAGGCAAAGCAGATCTCCGAGTTCATTCACAAATGATCAGAGAGATTCTTGGACCTTTGCAGCTGCTCCCTCACCTCTGTCAGTTCCCCTAGATTCCCAGAGGGGTCCCAGGCCCGGGACAGGAACCCACTGATCTGGGGCTTGCAGGGGGCAGGACCTCAAAAGCGCCTGGCTTTTCTTGTCTGGGCGGGAGACGCCCAGGCTGCTGCAGGGCGGGAGTGGCATGGGGTGGGAAGGGGTCCTGTGAGTAGGGGGCATGCTCTTGTATTAGCAGAAAGTGGGGCTCTGCTGGGAAGGGGCAGCGCGGGGAAAGAGAGGTGACCCAGCCACCTCAGCCAGTTGGGTGGGAGGCAAAGAGCAGAGGTGCTCATTCCTGGGAGCCGTGCAGGGTTTATTCCGGTTGTTCAAGAGGTTTGCAGAGACGGCCGGGTACGTCCTGGGAGGGAGCCCAGCGGTCAGCCTGGCGGCAGGGGGCTTGGGAATGTGGAAAGTGTTTCTGCGCACCGGAGCAGAGCAAGAAGCAAGTCAGCTTGCTGCGGTGGCTCACCACCCCCCTTCCCCTCACAGGTTTGGCCATTTCTGAGCACCTACAAGAACGCTGTGCAGGTATCCGCTTGTTGCTTCCTTTCGGCTCAGCCGCCAATGCAGTGGGCGGCCCCCGAGCTGGGACCAGCCCTGCAAGGCAGGGTGGGAATGTGGGCAGGTGTTCCCGATGGGCCGTCGGGGGGGGATTCACACTCTTCTGTGAAGTCCATCCACCTACACCTTCAGACAGCGGGGAGGGCAGAGGAGGAGCCATTGATAACAGCACAGATAGGGGGCCAGCCAGTCAACTCTCAGCCTCTCCAGATGTAAGTCAAGAGAACCATCCCTCTCATAAAGCTGCTGCAGAAGCAGGGCTGGCATGCGGTGGGCTGGGTCGTTTTGTTGATGCCCTGATTTTTACACTGGATGGTGGGGGCCGTGTGTGGGGGTCTGAACTAGGTTAGCAGATGGAGCCCAGCCAGATTCTCAGAATCACCCAGGGAGCCTTTTTCAGATGTCCTGCTAGGCCGTCCCCAGGGTAGGGCCCAGGGATCTGTGTTTGTTAAAGCTCTCTGGTGAGTCTGATGCCAAGCCAGCCTCTCTGGCCCCTGGCAACCCTGAGATTCTGGGATTCATTCTACACCCCTAGGGTCACGGGAGCCAGCTGCTGTGCAGTGACAGAGCCCCTTCTGCCTCACCGCCCACCTCAGGTAAGCCCCCTGTGGCACAGCAGGACCCAGTGCCCCTCCACAAGAACTCACTTATGGCCGGGGCTTGCTTCCTGTCTGGCTGGTCGCCTGGGACGAGTCCCTGCTTTGTCCCTGTCTTCTGTAGTGAAGTCTGACCCAGCAGGACCCAAGGCGGCCAGGGTCCTTCCGATTCAGCCCGCCATCGGGAGCACATGCGGAGTAGCCACAGGAGCGCTGCCCTCAGTGGCCCAGCCTGGGGTGTGACCTTGCCCGGGCCGGGAGGCGGGGTGTGTGGTGCCCAGGAAGGCCCCAGAGGGAGCCAGCTCTGCGGGTTGCCCTGCGGCCCCAGGCTCTGCAATCACTGCTGCTGCCTGCCGTAGGGCTGGAAAGTTCTCTGGAGTCTTCGGAAGAGACTTGAGGGCAGGGAAAGACCCAACATGATTATTCCTCAGATTCTTGGTGGAAATCCGGAACGCAGCTCTAAATGGTCCGTGTGTCGGGCTCTGCACCGCATCTCGGATGGGCCAGCGGCCATTTGGTCACGCACTCAGGTCACAGCTGGTGTCCCACGTGACTGCTGGCACCAAGGTGGTGGGATCCCACTGTGCCCTAGCATCCCCTTTCCTCCTCCCCCTCTCTCTCAGCACCTCTCCCTTCCCATAGGCCCAGGATCGTTTATTGTGCCTCTGATGGGGAAACTGTTTTCATCTAAGCTCTGCCTCTATGGCGCCATGGACGCTCAGTCCTGCACAGCCAAACACACACGCGGGTCACGTTTCTGGTCTTGCTTAAAGCAAGAAGCACTGGACTCTGACTGCAGCTTCCTTCGCACAGACTCAAGTGTGTCTGTTTGTCTTTCCAGTGCACACCCTGAGACCTGCAGACATCCAAGTTGTGGCCGCTCTGGGGGACTCTCTGACCGTAAGGACGTGTGGGCCCCACGTGGCTGGGGATGGCTGTGTCAGCTCCGGGTCCCCGTCCTCCTGACCCCAGGGCCTGTGCTCCTGGCCTCTGCATTATCCCACCCCTCCTTCCTGACTCTGTCAGTCTGAGTGCAGGACAGTGGTTTGATTTTGCAGCCACTTTCTCCATCAGGTGTGCGAGGGGGACTCTTTTTCGGGAGCGAACTGAATTGTCTCAGGCAGTAGAGGTTTTGAACACCTAATGTCACCTTTTGAACCATTGCAAAAATATGTCATTTTGACTCAAAAACTCTCCTAAACCTAATGTGGCTGCTCTTTTCCCTTTGGATTATACTTTACGAGCAGCTCCAACCTTCACATCCATTCCCTCTTTGCCTCTGCCCCAAAGCAGGAAAGGCTCCACAGCTGTGGCAAAGGCTCTGCTCTTAAGTTCCAAGAAGTAGGGCCATTGTACCATCCCCAAACAGCACTTTGTGGCAGCACGGCTAAGGCCGTGAGATTGTCCTACAGAATGTCCCAGAGGGAAAGAGGAGAAATGTGAAGTGTATGAGAAATCCGTCCACTGGGGCCCACTCAGTCTATGGGCTCTTTCTTCATGCATGTAAAGGACCTAGGAGCAGAATGCTGCTAATAATATTGTAAGTGTCTCACATTTGTAAAGCACTTTAGAGGCTTCAAAACTGTTTTTGCAGCTATGATCCAATTTGGTCATCAAAACAATCCTGTGAGATGAGCAGGGCATGGCCTCAGCTCCGTAAGGAGGCAGCTGAGATTCGAGGAAGCCACGCAGCCAGGGAAGCAGCAAGTCCGGGCGTTCTGGCTCCCAGGGCAGCATTCTGCTCACGCTACGTTGCGTGCATGGAGAACACCTTGGGAAGCCCTGCATATACACAGCCTCCCTTTTCTCTTGACTTGCTGATTTTCCTGTGGATTTTGATATGTTTTCAAAGGCTGGCAATGGGATTGGCTCCAAACCGAATGACCTATCTGATGTCACTACTCAGTACCGGGGGCTGTCATATAGGTAATGTTAACCCATGACCCCCTCCCACCCCATGCTCACCCACAGAGATCGGCCGGGGGTTTGTCTCCTGTAAATGCATAAATACCAAAGAGCAAGGACCAGGTCTGGAGGGGGCTTTCAGAAGGAAAACCTATATATTTCTGCCAAATGTAACAATTTGGTGAGTAGAGAGGATATGTTACTGCTAATAACCCTTTTCTTTTAGTTGTGCAGAAAGAGCACATCAGGGTACTTATCAGACTTCTGGGTCAACAGATCCAACATGAAATGCACCAACATGAAAAGCACCGAATCTCTGAGTCTTCACCTGCCCGTTTGCATGTATATGTGCACACGTAGATTCTCCCATGTCTCTTGTTTACTGTCTGTATGTATCGATTCATGTTGTTCATTCATGTTCTGTAGCCACACCTCTGCCTTTATGTATGTGCACACATCTGTACAGAAAACTCCGAAACGCAGCACCCGCTTCAGGCAGAAACAACCGAGACAAAAACCACAACCAATAGGCGTTGCCGAGCCCCTCCCACGTGCCTGTATGATGGAGGCGGGTGGGTGAGAGGAATATATGGGAAGCCCAGGCAAATGCTTATGCCCAGTTGGCAAGTGTCATTTAAAAATAAAAGATGCCCGAGTGCCACAGGACTATAGAAGAGGGAATACCCAGCCCTGCCAGTTGGGATAGGAGGGCTTCCCAGAGAAGGTGGTAGCCAGTTACGCCTTGACAGGTTAGCAATTTGGTAGGCGAGAAAGGGCATTCCAGGCAGGAGGTAAGAAAGCTTAAGACGTGTCAGGAAAGTGGTTGGATGTGGGTATTCTAAAGTTTCTTTCTTTCCTAATAAAGTTCTTGTTTACGAACCCTTCACAGTCATTGGCGATTAGCTCAGGGTTCAAAACCACTAGAACACGGCCTACCACAAGAGGGCAGAGCGCTGATGAGAGGCAGGACAGCTCAGTGCCGGCCCCCTCCCTTTCCTTCGGAGAGGTTCAAATGAAAGGTTTCTTCTAAGAAAGCGAGAGGGAACGGAGTGGGGACGACGAGGACAGTGCCAGAGAGAAAGTTTTTCCCGGGTGAGAGAAAGGCATCCTCACTCAGCCAGGAGCCACCCACAGAGAGGATCCAGGGCGTGGGTAGCGAGCGTGAGGACATCACCCCGCCTAGAGCTGAGCCAAAGGCCTCGCAGCTCCCGAGGTCCCACACACCCTCCGCCAGGTGGGGGGGGTCTCTACCGGGCTGCCGAGGGACAGAGTGGAGGTTGCCTCCTGACCACTGGGCCCCAGGCTTTACTGAGGCTGCAGCAGAGAGAAAAGCCAGAGGGAGAGCAGGAAAGCAGAGCTTATTACAGTCGAAAAAGCATGAGGTTGTGGCCGCTTTACTTAGCCTGAGCTGAAGAAGGCCGTGGCCTCACATCCTAGTGTGGGAAAACAGAAAATAAAGCAGACAAGCCAGCCAGCGATGACAGGCAAGCTGTCCTGGTGTAGTCAGGGGAGTGAGGTGATCTGCCCAGCTCCACAAACAGTCCAACTGCTCGGATTCCTGGGATTCCGATAGAGACAATCTTCTGCTAAAGGTCTGTCTCTGCAGCTGTGGAAAAATTCAGCCATTGCTCTTTGTTTCTTCCTACGAGTGAGGTCCAATAAGGCCTGATGTTTCAATCTTCTGGTTCCAATCCCAAGGCCTTGTGTGCTCAATGGCTGCTGTCCCTTTAAACCCTTTATTCTAAATGTTTCAAAGACCTGCCCCAAGACCCACGTGCGTTAAAGATAGGAGCTCTTCTTGGTCAGAGTCTGAGACACAGTCTGACACTTGATAAAGTGGGTAGACTAGGGTTTCTCAAAGTGTGTTCCACAGAACACTAGCCCCAGTCTTTTATTTTGGGGAAAATATTTCCTACTATATCCTTCCTCGGGGGAATTCACATACATGTTAGCATACTGAAGGCTCTGAGAAGCCGCCCTGCGTTGAAGAAATCTGTTTAAATTGTGTCTGTTGAATCCAGTGTTTCCCTTAATCCCAGAACTCTTTCTTTGTTCATAACTCTTTCTCTGTAAATGCCCATTAGCATCCCCTGGGAAATGTCCATGCAGTAGACTGATCTGAGAAAAAGCCATTTTCTGAAGCCATTAAAACTTCCGGATGGGAAATAATGAGGCAATTAATTGATTATAGGTAAATTAAGAATGCAAATCGAGCCTCTTCCTCCAAGGAAAGAAAGTGGAGAGAGTGGACCTCACAGAGTCAGACAGGGGAGAAGAATTTTTGGTAGGTGGGCGGCTGTGAGCAGGGCCTGCAAGAAGAGGTTTGGCTGTGAATATTTCCAAGGCCCCTTGACCTGTAAGAATCACACAGCAGTGAAAGGCCCCAGCTCTGGGTAGCTTAACGGTGTGGTAGGCCCAGAGGTCTTTAGAGAATTGCCTTTCCAACTGAAATGTTTGCTTGGTTGGACTCATTCAAAGGACAAAAATAATATTTATCAAAAAATGCATTTCTTTGTCTTTTTAATTAGGAGGTCAGTCTCATGTTATTGAAACTCCTCCAATAGATGTTATCAAGCATCTTCTCTGCATTTCTCTGCACGCTATGGGTGACTAGGGAACAAAGCCCAGCCTTTGAGCTCATGGTGTCATACAAATTACATTAATCTGAAGGGTCTCGTGTAAACTAGCTGTTTCATATGGGTCTGTTTTCTTTCATGTTTCACACAGTTCTGATCAGAACGAGGGCTTTCATATTTTTGTTCCTCCATATTTATTTGTATAATTCTCTCTTTTCTCCTGGAAACGGGCTCAGAGAGATTTCTGTAGCCTGTTGGTCTTGATCAGCTACCTCACTTGTTTTAGAACAAAGATAGTTTTAGACAAGAAATTACAATAGAATGTACTTGGTGTGTGTGTGTTTACGTGTATCTCTGTGTTCATATGTTGACTGAAGGAGAAAAGGAGGCAGAGTTAGAACACAGTGACTGGAGGAGGTATGTGGCTTTGTAAGTTCCTGCCAAGTGAAAAGTGTTCTGATTAAGTGCTTTTAGTCCAGAGAAGGAAGGATCAGGAAGCAGCTAAAGTAGTAGCTTCATACAGAGTTGGGAAAGGATCCGAAGCTTAAAAAAAAAATGCCCAACCAAAGGCCAAGTTAAGTTCAGACATTGGATGGAGGTAGGAGAGAGATTCCTGAGTGAGATAGAAAGGTAGGGCTTACCTGGTTTCTTTTTCTCTCCACCACTTGAGGCTATTGAACCTTTGACTTAAGCCCCTGACCACCATAGTGTGAAATAGTCAACTTCATTCCAAGCCTTCCCTTGAATGAAGAATAGCCAAGACTTTGATTCGTGGCCTGTCCTTTGGAAGGTTCTACTGGTGGGCTGAATGCTAACACTGTGTTCTCAAAATCTCTTGGCCTGGGATGATATGCTGGGACTGAGGAGGGAAGAAAGAAGGAGACACAGAAGAAAAATAACAGTAAATACAATACATCTGAACATTGGACTTTTTTCAAATAGAAATACTTTTCTCCTTGCCTCCCCCATGGATTCAATTTAAATGCATGAAAGGCAATGAAACTTTGTGTCTCTTGAAGTTAGACTGAGGGCCATAAAACTAGATGAGATGAGATGAGATGAAATGAGATCGGGCATTGGAAGGCAGTGAGAGGCCATCCCCCGAACCTTCCAGCGGGATTTACCTGACCACTGGGCAAAGAAGAGCTTATCCATTTTCTAAAGGTTTCCAGCTCAAGCTGGTTTTTAGTTACCTTTACGGTTTTGAGTTTCCTTTAGAAAGTTGATTAACCCCTGTGTGCCTCAGCTTCCTACTCTGTAAACCGGAGATAGTTCATGCTCATCACAAGCTTGTCTGTAGATTTGAGATAACAAATGTAGAGCATCTGGTTCATGGCTGAGCTCATAGTATATACTCAGCTAAGTGCGTTCCCTCCTGATTTGCTGAAGAAAAGAAGCAGCCATCTTTCAGCTTCAAATCCTGAATTTGGGGGAACCAACTCCTCGGGGAATTCAAATATTCTCAGAATCCCTCAAACACAAAGAGATGTCTCTGGCACATCCGACAGGTACCGATGGCATGGGCATTGTTAAAAGCTGGGGGCACTTTTTTGTAAAGCCTATGTATTGATTCAATCTCTCTCATTGGCTTTGTTCACTCTACAGTTCAGGAGGGGACAGCTGCCTGGAGAATGTGACCACCTTACCGAGTAAGTAACCACCAGTGGCTTGAGGTTGTCCTCTGGGTCCATCTGACCCCCAGGCTTCCTGAAAGTGCCTCTCAGCTAAGAAAGGAGGGAATAACATCTTCCTTATGGACTGTCATTGAAATGAGAGGAGAGGCCTGTGGACAGGTGGCTGAAGGGGATGGAATAAACTCTGTGTTTGGATTCCGGAGACCTGGGTTCGAGCCCTGACCCTTCTGTGTGCTGGCCGGGTGACCTGGGCCAAGTTATTAAACATTCTGAGCCTCAGATCTCCTCAACTGGCCCAGAGAGTGTGGAGATAGTCAAATGGGACAGTGAGTATTTGCTGCACTGTAAACTATAAAAAAAGAAAGAAAGAGGGCTTCCCTGGTGGCGCAGTGGTTGAGAGTCCGCCTGCTGATGCAGGGGACACGGGTTCGTGCCCCGGTCTGGGAAGATCCCACATGCCGCGGAGCGGCTGGGCCCGTGAGCCATGGCCACTGAGCCTGCGCGTCCGGAGCCTGTGCTCCGCAACGGGAGAGGTCTCAACAGCGAGAGACCCGCGCACCGCAAAAAAACAACAAAAAAAAAGAAAGAAAGAAAGAAAGAAAAGAAAAACTGAGAGGCTCTTGTTGTCTTGGCCCAGCCTGTCATCAAGTCGCTTGAGGCCCCAACTCCTCTCAGGAGCACACTCTGCCTTCCATCCTAAGCCCTCTGTGTCCTGTGCACCCTTCCCCTTCCAGATATCCTTCGGAAGTTTAACGGAAATCTCACAGGCTATGCGGTGGGCACAGGCAACGCCAGTGACACAAATGCCTTCCTCAATCAGGCTGTTCCTGGAACAAAGGCTAAGTATGGCATTTGGGGAGGGGAGGGGGCCTGTCAGGTAGGGAGTGGGAGGCCTGTAGTCCCCTTTAAGGTTGTAATTCTGACCTCTGAGTGCCAAGGGGACATTTATCCATTTGCAGCAATGATTTGAGAAGTTCTTGGCCACTCTCTTCTGTGGCTGCCCCGCGACCAAGGCCGCAGGGAGGCTGGAGGGCTGGATCTTGGACAGAGGCCATGCTCCTAGAGCCTGAACTCCTGGCCTTGCTTTCCTGTGCAGCATGTTCTAATCATTCAACTAACGACCCACCTTAGCCAATTTTTAAAACTTACCATGGCATAATGGTACTCTCTACAGCATCTCACAAGTGGTAATTCCCCCAAAAGATCAGGGAGTACCAACCAAATGGATGGGCAAGCCAGGATCTCCAGTCTTAGAGGCTACTTAGAGGGGCAGTAAGTCTTGTCCTGTCCCTGCTCCTGCTATGGAGCTACAGGAAATGCAGCTGAGAAGCCAGAGGCAGCTGGAGCCAACTGCTCAGCCTCCCGGGCTGATCGTCCAAGGAGGCCCCTCACCCTGCTCCTAGAAGCCTCAGCCACCCGGGTCTCCTTGCTCCTGGCCCAGCCTGGGAAGACCCTTCTTAGTAGTAGAAACGGCTGGGGACAGATGGACCCACCACCAGGTGCCAGGAGATGAGCATTCTGTGGATCCATCTCACACTATAACAGGGACCTAAACTAGTGAGGAGCTGGGGATGCCTGAGGTCTAGTCTTTCCATGAATTCTAAACCCAAGTGTTTGTACGGTGTATATCTATTCCCCCACCTCTTTCTAAAAGAAACATGTAGCTAAGTTTACCAAAAATGACACAACATATACATAAGAGAGAAAAATCACAGCCCCTGGTGGGGGGAGGAGGGGAAGAAGCAACTGTGTCAGTATGAGCCTTCTTACGATTCTTGTGTCTAAGCATCAAACTCTCAGCTTCCTGGCAGCCAGGGTAAAAAGAGGAAGCATGCCAAAACTTTCCTAGATCTAATTTCAGAATCTACACCAGTCCTTCAAAGGAGATGAACGGTTTCCTAGCATGGAAGCCTTAAAGACCCTTTGCATGTGGAGTCCTAGAAAAGAGACCATGCGTAACAAATATAATTGTCAGTACCCTTGCCTGTTGCTTTAGGACAAACACACGACTGGCTTTGCAAATGGTTATTTGTTGTAAGAACTCTCCAGGAGAGGCAAGTAGCTTCTTGTCCTGAGCCTCAGGGTCTCTGCCAGCTCGTGGGGGGGGGGGGGGGGGGTTAATGCCATAGAAACCTCCAGTTCAAGCCCTTTAGGATGAAAGGCCTGGGCGCTGTTCCTCAACAGGACTGATTTCCTTTCCTCCTCAGGGAACTTTCAAGCCAAGTCCAGACTCTGATACAGAAGATGAAAGATGACCATGTGAGTCAGATTTTTGGTTACTTTTACATTGCTTTTTCTTCTTTTTTCTTTTTGGCTGCCTCGGGTCTTCGTTGCTGTGCGCCCGCTCTCTCTAGTTGTGGTGAGCGGCGGGGGCTACTCTTCTCCGCGGTGCGTGGGATTCTCATGGTGGTGGCTTCTCTTGTTGCAGAGCACAGGCTCTAGGCACGTGGGCTTCAGTAGTTGTGGCTCGCGGGCTCTAGAGAGCAGGCTCAGTAGTTGTGGCGTGAGGGCTTTGTTGCTCCACAGCATGTGGGATCTTCCTGGACCAGGGCTCGAACCCGTGTCCCCTGCACTGGCAGGCAGATTCTTAACCACTGTGTCACCAACGAAGCCCTATGGTTATTTTTAAACACTAACTTTCTGACCCACTAAAGTCCCCAAATGGAATTGTCTGCCATGAAACCAGTGAGCCTCCTGTCACTAGAGGCATTCAAGCAGCAGTAGGGCAGCCCCTGTCGAAGGCCCTCAGGAGATTACGTCAGCTAGGGGGGAGGTTTGTTGCTGATCACAATGACCTTGAAAATCCCTCCTGATGCTAAGAGTCTGTGGTCTATAAACAAACCTCTGAAGTTCTGTCAGCTCTGAGATTCTGATGCTGTTATTTCAAGAGGGCAAGAAAGTTTTAGAGGGTTGAATGGATTTCCTAGAGCTGTGGTGTTTTTATTTGTTGGAAATCATCAGGCATTTTCCTCCCTCTGTATAGAGAGTAAATTTCCACGAGGACTGGAAGGTCATCACGGTGTTGATTGGAGGCAGTGACTTATGTGACTACTGCACGGATTCGGTAATGGGGGCGGGCCAGGCCTACTCATCGCCCTTGATTTGACCTGTAAGCCTTGGAGATCCTATCTGAGAACAGTCCCTAGAATCAACCCTAGGATTGTCCACCTACACCTGTGTGTGTGTGCACGCACACACGCACATGCACACGCAATTCACACACGTGCACACACACACTTCTTGCCCCCCGAACCCTCGCATTTCTGGCTCCCCCCCCATGTCCCAGCTGGCATGAGGCAGCAAGTGACAGATATACAGTGCTTCTATTCCCGTTTCTTACAACTCCTGAGAATTCAGAAAGAGAAGAAGCAGTAAAGCCCAAGCCCGTGAAAGGGGTACTAGACACATTCTGCTCCTGAGCTAAAGCTCTGGCTGAAGGTTCCAGTCTTCTGTCTGGCCCATCTTTGGCAACAGCGAGTAGCCAACTGTTCATCTCAGATTCTGACATGACGAGCTGGTCACAGTTGGATGCCGAGGGAGAACGAGGCCTTGGGGCTGGAGCCGGCTGGGGAGACTGCCCTCTCCCCCTAACCAGCTCCTCCTCTCCATCCTGTCTCTTCCCAGAGTCTGTATTCTGCAGCCAACTTTTTTGACCATCTCCGAAATGCCCTGGACATCCTGCACAGAGAGGTGAGTGGCGGGCTCCCACAAGCTGGACACAGCTCAAGCGTGTTGGGGGCAAGAGGGTGAAATGCCCCCTCCCCTGAAGGAGACAGACAAGGACGTAGGCTCCTGCCCTTTCCAGAGTTTGGGGCTTCCCCCCAAGGAAGCCTCATTCTATTTGGAATCAGCCCCGAGGGTCTCAGGCTTGAAGAAGGGAAGGCAGTCCCCCCACCTCTACCTGGGACATTCCCTGGTGGAGGCAGCTGGGCGGCTCCCAGGCTGGGCACCGCTCTCTGAGTGGCAGGCAGTGTCTACAGTAGGCCCCTCTCTGGTCTCCCCACCCCCTGGCATGGACAAGCCTTTCCAGCTGCCCAGGAGGGGGCGCTCTGACTACCAGATGCTTCTATGGGTTGCCAAGACTCTGGGCCTGCTCAGCAGAGTTAGCCCAGGTCGGGCTGGAAGGAGACAGTCAAGGGCTAATGTCCTGGCAAACGGGGCACCTACCTCACCAAATTGAAAGCTAACGGGCTTCCCTGGTGGCGCAGTGGTTAAGAATCCACCTGCCAGTGCGGGAGACACAGGTTCAAGCCCTGGTCTGGGAAGATCCCACATGCCGCGGAGCAGCTAAGCCCATGCGCCACGACTACTGAGCCCACGTGCCACAGCTACTGAAGCCCGCGCAGGTAGAGCCCGTGCTCCGCAACAAGAGAAGCCACCACAATGAGAAGCCTGTGCACTGCAACGAAGAGTAGCCCCCGCTCGCCGCAACTAGAGAAAGCCCACACGCAGCAACGAAGGCCCAACGCAGCCAAAAATAAATAAAATTTTTAAAAAGATTTAAAAAAAAAATAACAAATTTAAAAAAAGAAGGCTAACGGATTTGGGTTCACTAACGGATGGCTGAACGAGCTGAGCCCTCCGCATTTAGACTCGGGTCTGCCATGTTGTCCCACTCCAGGAGGCCCATTCACGCTGCTGCCAACGTGGGTGGCACAGCCTGCAGGGCCCTAGGTGGTCACCTTGTGTCGACACCTCCCAGAACCCAACTCAAGGACTCCGGAGCCAGATCCCACTTCTTGGGGCCCTAAGGCAGCTTGTGAAAGAAGCCCCTCAGCCCCTCTCTCATCTGAAGCCTCTCCCGTAGGTACCCCGGGCGCTGGTCAACCTCGTGGACTTCATGAGCCCCCGCGTCATGCGGCGCGTGTTCCTGGGGAACCCTGACAAGTGCCCGGTGCAGCAGGCCAGGTAGGCGGGTACTTGCTGGTCTGGCTCATGCGGTGGGGACTCCTCGGGGTCTCTGTGACTTGGTCCGTCCATGTGTGCAAGTCTGTAACAGGGTCTGTGCCAGGACCACCTCCTTCTGGGAAGTTGGAGCCAGGGCCCCCGCTTACCAGCCTCAGGGTACCAGCGAGAACCTCTGTGATACGGGGAAGCCACGGGGAAGAGGTTAGGGCTGGGACAAACACTAGTTCTCAGAGACGGTGCAGCCCAGCCTGTGAGAAGGAGAAACATATAGGGACGTGTCCACAGGTGGTGGAAGCGTAATGGAAAGCAAGGGAATGGTCCCCAAGATTCCCTTACCTTTGTGGGGAAGAAGCGAATTGGGGAAGGACACAGGGAGCTTCTAGCTGGGAGTGTTTTGTTTCTTAAGCTGCGTGAGAGGTGCAAGGTGTGTGTTTTATTATTCTTCCTACATTATATATCCATATACTCATTTAACAAATACTTTTTAAAATTTTGCTGTGCACCAGGTACTATTCTGAGTGCTCTAGAGATATCTTTTTTAACATTAAGTGTATTTTATGGATGTGAAATAATCCATAATAAAACAAAAGGGGACACAGTGGGGCACTAGTGTGAACTCAGGAGGTGTCTGAGGCATGAGCATCAGAGGCCCCGAAATACCAGCTCCAGTGCCAGAGCACGCACTTGTACTTTATTTCTAAACACTGAACGTTGGCTTTTCATTGTCCAAATTCACGTGTTCAGCGTAATTTGCTGCAGGCCCAGGGCCTGTGGTCCAACACTTGTACTCTGTTAACATGAGAGGCTGCCCATCCATACACCCTTGGGGCTTTGTCCATTCCCCTGTCAGGCCTGAAACCTGCCCTGAGCACACGCGGCAGAGCCTCCTAAGCCAGGGCTCCGGTGAGCGCCTCACCCCGCCCCACGCAGCAGAGTCAGTCTCTGACCTAAGCTTCTGCTCTGGGTCCCCCTGCCTCCCCCTCTCTGTGCAGCATTTTGTGTAACTGCGTTCTGACCCTGCGGGAGAGCTCCCAAGAGCTGGCCAGGTTGGAGGCCGTCACCCGAGCCTACCAGGTAAGACCAAGAAAGTCTCTCCTCCCCCTCGATGAACACGCCAGTCCAGAGCCCCCCGGGGGAGGCACACGGGGAAAGGAAGAGCTGTTCAGGCTTTGAGGGGTAACATCACCCTCCAGGCCACTTCCTGGCTGAGGTGTCTCAGGCAGCCCAGTTGGAGTCATCCCAAAGGAACCCAGGTGGCAGAGTCCTCATGGCTGAGCTGTCCTTGGTGGCTCAGCCCTGACACTTGGCCTGAAGAGGGAGGCAGCCCTAGGTGCCCCATCGGACTACCTTTCCCTCCACTGCACCCTGGAGGCCCAGCTGTCCCCCCAACCTCCCACCTCCCCAACAGGCAGGCCACGCACGAATGGGGAGTTGCAGGTCCCGAGCCTGGGGGCCCTTTGGAGACTCTCCCTAGGTTTTTCTGTTCCTTGTGGGACTTCCTGCCCGGCCCTTCAGAACTTGCGGTCCACTTAAAACCAAAACCAAAAGGTGGCACAACCCATATCCAATACTCTGGAAAGAGATTTACCATCAGGTGTGTCTGTGTTCTCAAGGGAAGAACTGAGTCAGCCCACCTGTTGAGGGAGATGGGGACAAGGACACTACCCACCTACCCCCACCCCTGCCCTAATGGGCACCTGGAGCCCCAGGGTCTGTGCAGAAGGCACCCATGTGTGTGTCCCCAGAGCAGCATGCGTGAGCTGGTGGAGTCAGGTCGCTACGACACACGGGAGGACTTCTCCGTGGTGCTGCAGCCCTTCTTCTACAACATCCAGCTCCCCATCCTGGCGGTAGGCTCCCTGCCCTCCCTGACAGGGATGCCAAAGGGAGGAGAAAATTCAAGGCAGAAATGCCAAGTGCTTCCGTGAGAGTGAAAATAAATGGGGCAGACCCGGGCAGCTCTCCAGCTGCTGGTCTGGTGGGTACAGCTTCCCCGAACATCAGAGCTGCATTCCCAGAGGCAGTCCCACGTGAGATGTTCTCATTACTACTCATCACAGCCTCCATTTTATTGAGCACCTACTATGTGCCAGGCACTGTGCGCACCACGCATCAAATCTTCACAACTGCCTTTTGAGGTGAGTTTTATCATCCCCACATAACAGAGGCTCAGAGACTTGAAGTATCTTCCCTAAAATCATACAGGAAATAAGGCACAGAGGTGAGATTTGAACACGTCCAATTCCAGACTATTTACTTTCTGCCCCACAGCCAACACTGCAGTTATAACGGAGGGTACCGTTTCCGTCCCTGGCTCTGCTCTCCACTTGACACTTCCACTCTGAGCAGAAGAGCTCTGTGAATGGACCAGGGTGGGGACTCAGTTCTCTCTACCTGGGCCTCCATCCCAAGGGCCTGGCCTACCTGGAGGGAAGCCAGAGGAAGCTTTGAGCACCTAGGCTTTGCCCAGGCCTGCCCCAAGGCTTGGCCTCTTCTCCCCACCAAGGTCACTGGGACCAGCTGGCCAAGGGCTGGGAAGTAGCTCTTCCCAGCTGGCTGACCAAGACTTCCTCAGGGACTAGTATCTCATTCCCTCAACCATGGCATGGGTTACATACACGTGCCTAAAAATACATATAGCGCTTTTTAAACTAACTAAGGGGAATTGTGGGGCCAGAAAACAGATTAGGAGTTTGGGGTCACTCAAGGCTGTTGATCTGTGGGACTGCTCTGACCTCCCTCTCGAGGTGAGCAGGGCCTTAGGAAGCCACAGGCGGGGAGCACCCTCGGGGGAGGAGGGCATTGAGAGGTCAACCCCAGGGGTCAGGCCCACCAGCTGTGGCCCACTAGCCACCCTCTGCACCAACGGGATCTTAAGGACGTCTGTTTCTCTCCTTCAGGATGGGCGCCCGGATGTGTCCTTCTTCGCCCCAGACTGCCTCCATCCAAATCAGAAATTCCACTCCCAGCTCTCCAGAGCCCTTTGGGTCAATATGGTAAAATAAGTGGGATGTCCCTGGTTCTCTGGGGTTCTAGCCTAGAGCAAAGCCCCCTAGAATGGAGCTTGTTCCTGGCCTCCCTTTGCAAGCAAGATACAGAGGAGCAGTGGCCAACGCATCTGTGGAAGTCTGTATAGAACTGAAAATACGGAGTCCTTATGATTCCGGGATCAACTGCCCCCCCTCTTATGGGCTTTGAACTGCGGTTCGGGACTCTACATGAATGCAAGGCAGAACCCTCACGTTTATTCAGTATTTTCTATGTGTCAGCAGCTGTTCTAGGCAGTTTAAGCCGTGTTATCTCATTTAAGCTTCTCAACAGCCCTGCAAGAAAAGTCTTAGGAGTTTATGAGGAAGCTGAATCCTACAGAAGCTAAGAAACTTGCCCAGTATCCCACAGCTGGCAACTGGCAGTGCCAGGAGTAGAAGCCAGACCCCCTGAAATCAAATCTGAGCTCTCCCCACTGCAGGATGCCCTGCCAGGGAATGTTCACTTCAGTGGAAACAAATTAGTACATGCATGTCTCTCTTTCCTTCCTCAATCAGCTTGAACCACTAGGAAAGAAAACGGATACCCTGGACCTGACGGCAGATATACCCCTCCCCTGCCCTGCTCAGGTAATGAGGGAGGGCCTGCTGTGCTGCTCTCCAGAAACCCAGAGCTCAGACCCCACCCATCCCCTTCACCCCACACCACAGCTTCCCCTTTGCCCATCTTGCCCCCTGACTGGGAGAGGATGGACTTCGGAGGATGGAGGGAGGGAAGTGGAGGAGAACAGAGAGGGGTAGAAGAAGGTACAGAAGCACCTGTGTCTTTAGGAGAGGCAGGTGGGAGAGGAGGCCTGGCCCCAGTAGAGGGAGACGAGCAGGGTGACGGATGTGGATTCTTGAGAAGTGGCATTAATAAGCCAGAAGGTGGCAAGACCACTCATTTCAGCAGCGGTACGTGGGGCAGTTGGGAAGGTCTGGCTGCAGGTTGGAGGCCTAGCAAGAAGCCAGCTGGGCTCAGAAGCTGTGGTTAGTGGTCGTCGAGCCTGGATCGGGAATGTCCGGCAGGGAGAGGGTCAGAGAGGAGAGCCCTGGAGCTGCGTTGGGGAGGGACAAGCAGGCCCGGCCTTGCCATGACTGGGGTGAGGCTGGCTGGGCTCCTTTTAAGGAGGAAGATCTAAGTGGTTGTTAAACCTGATTTCAGGCCCAGGAGTGGGGCAGGTACATGTGCCCATTGCCTTCAACCCCCTCTTCTAGCCCCTGTCTTATGGCTCTTTAACCAAATAAGGCTGAGGCCAGAGAGCCCTCAGAGGCAATGAAAGCAGGAGAGCCTGACCCGGTCTGGGAGGCTGGGTTTCCCACCTGGGTTGGGCTGCTTCGCCCTCTCCCACCCTCCCAGCTGAGCAGGGAGAGGACCTGCAGCTCCCCCGTGTGTCTGCCAGGGCTCCAGAGACAGTGGGCAGCCCTGCCTGGTATACCCCTCCCTGTCTGCTGCCTTCCCCACCCCAGTCTCAGGCCCAGGCTCAGCCTTGTGTACCATCAGCTTCATCAGGAGGGTGGGAAGAAGGGATGCAGGAGTGAAGGCAGTGGTAGCAGAGGGCTCAGATGCCGGGTCCAGGGCTTGGAGCGAAGGAGGTGGTCAAAATATGTAATAATCAGTGCAATGTGGGCAAGGTCCTAGAGGGCCCTTCTGTGCCAGGGCTAAACCCTTTAATTGCTAGATCCATGCACAGCAGGTTCTAGGGGAGGGACCAGGCAACCTGGGTAGTGGGGGCATTCGGGGACTCAGAGCAGTGGCTGTAAGCCATACGGGGGTAAGTATTTCAATATTTTCAGAACCCATATGGCCATTCTGAACATCAGCCATGGAAAACCCTCTCCAACCTGCCAATTCCCCTTCCATTAAATAGTAAAAGTAATAACAACCCATTCCAGGGAGCCGTCATTTGCTCTCCTCCTCACAAATATCTGTTAAGTACCAGCTTGGAGCCTAGGCACTGGGGCAGGTAGAGCCCTGTCACCATAGGCTTCAAAGTCCCAGATCAGGCAAGGAGCCCCAAAAGGCTGCTGCTTCACCCAGAATCTCAAGCCACATCGGGCTCCGCTTCTGCTCCTGGACAGAACCTGAATGAGCCATTGGTGAGCAGAGGAGAGCAAATCCAGCCTCCTGGAACCGTAGAAGCCCAGCCTGGAGAAGCGGTTGCCAGGCAACCCCAGAGCACATTCCAAAAGGATCCATCTGTTGGCCAGCCCAACTTCAGAGCACCAGGCAACGTAGAATTCTGCATTCCTCAGGTCCCATCTGCTCCCTCCCATGTGCCTTGGAGCTATATAAAAGTCCACCAGCAACTCAGTGTGAGCTGACAGGGGCCAGGCATCACATATCTTAATCCTAGCTGAGTCTAAACATAGAGGCCACAGGCAGGACCCAGCAGGGAGGAGGGGGCAGGGACGGATGCAAGCACTGGGGAGCTCTCTCAGCTTCCTGCCTGCACCTCCCCCAGCCCCGATCAACTGCAAGTGCATTCTGCCCAGCCAGGTCGGGCACTTAACAGTATTCCATGGATTTCTGTTAGACTTTAAGGTTGCACACAGGATTTTATGGCCAACTTTTTTTTTTTTGCGGTACGCGGGCCTCTCACTGTCGTGGCCTCTCCCGTTGCGGAGCACAGGCTCCGGATGCGCAGGCTCAGCGGCCATGGCTCACGGGCCCAGCCGCTCCGCGGCATGTGGGATCTTCCCGGACCGGGGCACGAACCCGCGTTCCCTGCATCGGCAGGCGGACTCTCAACCACTGCGCCACCAGGGAAGCCCTATGGCCAACTTTTGATCAGTTGCTCTGCGGACTGTGACTGTTGTCCCCTTCCTGCCTTCATGGCCTCTGCCCACTCCTTCCCTAACCCAGGGCTGCTGGCTGTGGCTCCTCCTCAAGCTTTGAAGAAATCGGCCAAAGGTGAGCAGAGTCCTTTTTCAGGTCTTTTTCTTGCCCTCTCTAGAAGCGTTTGTCAGAGTTAGCCGCCTCCTCCGTGAATTCATTCCTCCCTGCATTCGTGGATGTAAAACCACCTTGATTGTTCTGTTTTTCTAGCCTCTGCCCCTCCTCATCTCTTTTAATGACCCTCCTTCCTTTCTCCCAGCATCGAAAATGTGGACATTCTCCAACTTCCATGTCTCAGCCCTATTCTCTTTCTTTAGGTCCCCTCACTCTGAGATCTGTCCATTACCAGGGTTTCCCGTTAAATGTCTTTGCCTAGGATCCCCCAACCTGTGTAGTCATTTCTTACTTTTTTTCCCCAAACTTGAGCTCTATTTCTAACCCTTAAGAGATCTTTCCCCCTTGGTTGCCCTCTATGGTGTAAGCTTACCCAGAAGGCAGATTAAATATATGACCAGGGTACCCACAGAATGGGGGAACCAGGGGGAAACACGGAGAGACAAAGTGAAATAATTTCAAGTGCTATTTCATCCAGTCTTTCATCTTGAGAAAAAGCCGAGGTTTGTTGGATTCCCTTATACTTCCTTTATTGTTTAGCAGTGTTTCTCTTTTGAATTACGTATGGGGTCTATTGCCTTTTGAATGCTTTGGACTTCTAAATCTCCCATTCCTGCCCGGACCTCCTCATCATCTCAAACTCATATTCATTCAAAAAATGATGTTTGAGTAACAACGTCCATAGGAACAAAATAGCTGTCTTCCCAAACTCTCTGATCCTTAGGACTTCCTATTTCTGTCCACGTTGTTGTGGCTGTCACAGTTCTGCAGGTGTGAAACGTCAGGCACGCTATCTGATAGGATCCTTCCTAGTGTTTTTCCTGCAGGCGCCCTTTCCGTTCCCACTGCCACCACCCCAGTTCAGGTCCTCAACACTTTGTGTGTTAAAGGTCACCTGACGCTTCCCATCATAGAGCAACAGAGAATTTTATAACCTTAGGATCTCAGTGCAGAGGGCCTTGGAGTCCTGTTGAGGCAATCTCTCATATAATAATTGAATTATTCTACCACATCCCTCCCAAGGTAACTAGAGGCTATGGCTTCTACTTAAACTTCCACACTCTCAAGGCAGTGCTTTTCTAACAGCCAAGTGGCTACCTGTTAATATGTTGTAAAATCAGCCTAGTAGGTCGCGTTTGGGATGGGATGATGGGATGGGATAGGATGAGAGGTTGGGATGAGGTGGGACAGAAATGTCAGAGGGTGTTCCATGCACCGCTGTTATGTCCTCCTCTCTTCTACCACTACCACCCTCCCCTGGGTCTTCTCCCCAGTTTCCTCAACTATTTATCGCAGACAAGTGTCCCAAACCCTGCCTCACGTAGTAGGTATGTCTCCTTGGAACGTGGCCCCCCCTTAAATTGGTGCCCGGCCCTGACAGTACACACCTGGTTTGGTCCGAGCAGCACAGAAGAAAACCAGCTCTCCTTCACAGAACTTTACACCCAGTAACACTGCCAAGATGAACAAGACCTTTTCCCGAAACCACTGGCTCACGTTGCTGACTCACATCAGGTGGGCGGTCCGGGCTGTGCCCACCGGCAGGCCACACCGTCTTAGCACAGCTCTAACTAGAACATTTCCTCGTGCTGGCCTCCAGTAGGCTTAGCTTTCTACTTACTGGTGTTAGCAACCTAGCCTAGGAGAGCCAGCGGACTAAATGGGCTCCCTCTTCCCTCTGCTCAGCGCCAGGCCTTTAACCCAGTCTGACTCATGCAGACACAGTGCGGTCAACGGGCAGTAAAACAGGCCCAGGGCACCCAGGCCGCCTGTCTGCCACTGTCCTGGACCTGTTCTCATTTTTCCCGTTCTGGCCTCACTCCCCACCGCGTTCCAGTGTCTCCCTGACGCCTTAGTTCAGTCTCCCCTCTCTGGCCCCTCCCTCTACCGTTGGATCATGTGATGGAATAGACTCTCCAGTTTGATTTTAAGCATGTCTGGAAGGGCAGGGAGCGTCTTTGCTCTCCGGTTCTTCCTGTGGTAGCCACTCTGAGACTAGCTCCAGCCCCCAGGCCCTGTGCCCCATCGGGGCTCCCGTGAAGTGGGGAGAGAACGATAACGAGTGACCCCCCTCCCAGTGAGTCTCGTCTTTGAGGACCACACATTCCCAGATCTTGCAGCTGTTCCTCAGCAATTACTGCACTTACTGGACGCGCTATCCTCTGATGCTTCGCTACCTGATGCTTCTCGTGTTCTCTGTCTGACTGGGTTGTAAGCCTCTGTATCCTCCCCTCATTCTGCCACCTAGAACAGAGCTCTGAACACATGGTGCTCTACAAAGGTGGGTCATTTATTTATAGGATGCTCCCAGAGTGCCCTCGTCTGACGGTGAAGCTCAGGGGACACAATAGCATTGGCCAGAGACAAGTCTCGTTAGCCGGGGCGACGTGCCATTGTAAGCTCTGTCTCCTTGCAGTGTTGCAGATGGTCCAGGGCACACTTCCTGCCCTTGGCCCCGAGTGCCCCCTCTGAATCGTGTTGCAGCTAGGAATGCCGAGACTCGGAGGTTAGGAGGGACGTGCACTGCCCAGGGAGCCAAGGTCTGTGCTGAGGGCTAGGGCTTTCATGTACCTAGATTTCATCCTCCAAGGTGACTGCTGAGACCTTCTCTTCCTCATCCCTCTGTCTGACCAGCAGGGTCTTTCTCGGACCTGACCCCCGTGATCAGGAGGGATTCCCCGTGAGGAATGGAAGGAGGCCACTGCTGGTCAGGAGGCTTGGCGGGTCGGGCCCGGCTCTGCATTCACTGCCTGCTCTCCACCTGGAGCAGGTCCCTCCTCCACTCTGCCCCCCAGTTGCTCCTCATCTGTAGAGCGGGGGCATTCAGGGGTTGCAAACTCAGATGCAGTGCCAGGCAGGAACACGACTGTGTGGATGGGATCAGGTCTGGGACAAGAGGAGGTGGTAGGGCCAGAACTGAAGGGCACACACCCCTTCTGGAAGCATTCAGGGTTGGTCTTCTCTCCTCTCCCTTCCTTTCCTCCTTTTCCTTTTTAAGCACCTTTCAGGCCAAAATAGAGCAGATGGGCAGTCAGCTTTCAACCCCTGGTTTGGATCTCCAATGACCTCTTCTCCAACATTCCGGTTCTTCCTACCTACTCCCATGTTATTCCCAAATTTTCAGACCATGCCCCTTCTACCCCACTCAGCACGTCTTGTGAAGGTGTTGACAGCCCTGGGCTGTTTGGCCTGATCTCTGGCTTATGAACTTCTTATTGCTTCACTGTCATTTTCACATTTTCTCGTTACCTGCTTTCCCCCGTTTCTCCTTTGTCTACTTCCTTCTTCGACTAACTTATCACCCACAACTGAATAGACCTGGATTCTTGACTGGGCATGTGTGAAACTGATTGTAAAATAAATAGGCGAGCAGGGAAAGAAGAGGCTGTTTCACGAGAAAAAAAACACAACCAGAGTATGTGAAGCCAACCCGAAGGGGGTAAGACACATAATTCAAAGCAGGCAAAATAATAATAATAGCAACAGATATTAAAATACATTGATGATCATAACACTTGTTGGTGAAGAAAAAAGTGCTATAATATGAATCTCTTGCCAGAGAAATGACAAAGGAAAGAAAATCATTCTGAGGATTAGGGAGATGTTCAATTGTCAGGGTGAAAACAAAAGCGCAGAACCCTGAATAGAACATGTATGGAACCCTTTTTAGGCCTTTTATTGTGCACCCCTTGTCAAAGCTGTTATGTAAAACCCTCTAGGGAATGAATGAAACTATGTTTGTACGGTTCTTTCTATTTAAATGCAGAAGATCACGTTAAATAAATCTACAGGACAGGATTGTTAGTACTTAATGTTTCCTAAGCAATCTTCCAGACTGTTGGATAACCTCTCCCTGTGGTTTCTTTTCTCTCTTAGAATGAACCCTTCCTGAGAACCCCCCGGAACAGTAACTACACATACCCCACGAAGCCATCCATTGAGGTAACCCCTGACGCACGTCTGCCTCTCTCAGGGACAAACCATTTCCACCTCCCGGCGACTCGGGGCGTGGTGTGGGTTTCCGAGAGTTAGCTTCATCAGAAACGTACCCCTCTTACATACTGGAAATTGGAATGTGAAGAAAAGGCTCCTGAGCCACATAGTCCCAGGATTGTCCTAACATGTTCTCAAGTGTTTACCTGATGTCAGCAACCAACTAGAGGAAGTGCCTGTGGATCAGTTGTCTTTGACCTTTGCACAAACATCATCTCTGATCAGGCAGCTCAGCCTTTCAAGAAGAGATGAGGGGGAGGCAGTGGGTATGATGCACTGTCAATTTCCTGTAGTTGAGTGGGAAGAACCTCAATTCCGGGGGCTGGGCCCAACAGGAAGCTGACACATATGCAGGTGGGCCTCCAGGGCTTGTTTGGTTCAAGTCGATCATTCTGGTTCAAGTCAATCATTCTAGCTCTGAGGATTCAGGGCCCGTGGCTTTAGGGGCAGCTACTGCAAAGATGGCCTGAAGGATCCTGAACCACACCCGGCCTTGCAGGACCGGCCTGGTCCAGACCACATGTGTCGGCCACCAGATCGAGGGATCAACCACCAGTATCGGATGAGCACCTATGGTTTGTCCAGTCTTGCGCGAGGGGCCGGAGGCCATTCAGAGAAGTGTCCGCGTGGTCCTGCCCTCAGGAGTTAGAGGTCATTCCAGGCTGGGCACCTACTGTGTGTCAGACACTGAGTCAGGAAGATAGAGCAGTGGACCAGACAGATGGGTCCCAGCCCTCATGGAGCTTACAGCCTACCAGAGGAGGCATCCAGCAGACAGCTAAGCACAGTCACCTCACAGAGCGAAGACAGCTCTGAGGAAGGTGACGCAGGAAAGTGAGGCGGGGCAGGGAGGGTGGCGCGCTCTGATGAGCCACGCAGACCACGTCAGGCCTCTCTGAGGAGGAGAGATTTGAGCTGGGATGTGTATGATGAAAAGATGCCGGCTATCTGGAGAGCCAGAGCCAGAGTCCCAGGCAGGACCAGGGAGTGCAAAGGCTCAGAAGTGGGGCTGAGTCGGGTGTACTTGATGAGAGAAAGAAGTCAGTGTGGCTGTGGGTGTGTGAATGAGGTAGAGAGTAGGTCATGAGACCAGAGGGTTTATTGAGGGACCGATCACACAGAATCTGAATCCCTAAGAAAGAAGGTTGGACTTCAGGTGGAGCGCTGTGGGAAACTGTCGGAGGTTCTAGGAGAAGGTGATGTAATCTATTTCACCTTTTTAAAGACCCCCTGACTAGTGTGGAAAATGGATTCGGGAGCAGCAGGAATGATTGAGGAAAGACCTTTTATAAGCCAGCTGAAGCACTGAGACTAACTCACCTGAAATTATTGAAGAACCGTTAGGTGCTAAGCTCTGGGATACAAGCCTTGTGGTAATGCCACCATCCAGCCTCTCTGAATTCTCTTAGGCTCATGTTAGCCCAACAGAGGTGTGTCCCAGGCCAACCACTGACAAAATCCATTAGAATTGAAATGTCAGCTACATCTTGTCACTTGGGCATTGATTGATTTATCTAACATGCGTATATTTATTGGATACCTAAATGGCACAGGCACTGTGCAAAGTGCTGGGTATACACTGGTGAAAACAGTGGTTCTGGTTGTGTCCTCTTGGATCTTAGTCTCATGTGTCTTTGCTTCTGTTGCTGGAAGAGTTAAAAACCCAGGCCTAGAAAGTGGTGGGATTTGTTTCTTTTTTTAAAATACCTTGCTACTTAAATTAGCCACAGACAGGCAACAGCAACATTACTTGAGAACTTGTTAGAAATGCAGAGTCTTAGGCAGCACACCAGTCCTGCTGTCTCAGGATCTGCATTTAACAAGACCCGCAGGGGATCCAGGTGCCCTGGCGTAGGGTGCCAAGTACAGTTCTTCCCTTGGGACAGACGAGAGCGCTCCGTTTCCAACCTGGGTCTGCTCATCCGCATGGGATGGGCTTGTCCCTGGCTCACCAGTTCTCCGAGATGTTTCTAAAGTGCTCACGGCTATAGAATATTTTTTAATTGCATCTTCCCCAGATATTTGTCATCTGCGCACAAACGTGTTCTTGATTTCAGTAGAACTCCCACACAGAAGAAGGACTCCATCCGTGTGATGAATTGAGCAGTTCCTTGGAATAAACTAAATTACATCAGATTAAGCAACTACTATTTAAAGGAAGTTTCGTTTTTGCTCCCTTGTGAGAGGAGTGTTTCAACAAGGCATGTCTGCTTCATCATCTGACCAAATGAAAGAGACAAGCTTCCAAAGCCTTTGGCGACCACACGCCTAGAGAATCAGTCAACCGGACAACACCTGTGTGTGGAGCCCTACTGTGCACTCAGCCCTACTGGGCTTGTCCCTCAGGCCCCTCTGGGCACGCGCAAGCGTCTGCACTAGGGAAGGGACTCTATCTTTCCCCCAACTTCTGCGCCCTCTGCTTCCCTCCCCATCCCCTCCTCCAGCGCCTGGCAAGTGTGCCCTATATTCCAGAGACAAGAGAATTGGACTGAAGGTATCCAGGTTATAGACGTTAATTTATATACATACAAGGAGTTGTTTGGCTATTAAGTTAAATACACCAAAAGAAATGATATGCACATATTCAGAAATGATATGCAGAAACCAGAAACTTTGCAGTTGTAAAAATTTCACGTTACTGTCCTAAATATATTGTAATTATTGTTTTGGTCCTAGCATTGTAATTAGTGTCCATTAGTTTCATGTTAAACGACACCACCAAAACCCACATGGAACCTCTTATTAGGCATCCAAGTCTGTGTTCCTTTGGGAGACCACCTGTTGCACACCTTCACTGTTTTCTCCCCTACTTTGGATGACTGTGGGCTCCATTTAAGGGTGTAGATAAGTTGAGGTGGGAAAGACTGTGGGTGTGCATGAGTGTGTCCACACATCATGTGTTTTGTGCATGGCAGGTGGGGAGAGACCTATTTTCTCCTCTCTGATTCCCCTCTCACTCCATCCACAACTCGCAGCTCTAGCCTCACATGATCCCCTGCAGTAACATAATTCCAGCCTCCACCAAGAATTCCTTAGCTAGTTCTTCCTGGGCTGAAGCTAACCTTCCTGCACAGTGAGTGTCGGGTGTTGTGTCTTTCCTCCTGTTGATTTAGAACTGGGGCAGTGACTTCCTGTGTGAGGAGTGGAATCCTTCCAACAGTGTCCCCACGTCAGGTTAGTATAAACGTCATCACCCCCTTCGGTCGAGGGCCTGGCTAAGCGTCAGGTTGTTGGGAGAACCTACAAACACACCTTGGAGCCTTGAGCAGGTCTTGCTGATTCCCATGCAGTGCAGACCTTGATCCTGGGTAGCCCATGACAAGCTAGGCTGCAGCACTGCTGGGCTCCCAGGCTCTCCACAAACCGCACTTCTCCTCTCGGCTTAGTCCCAACGGCAGCCTTTCTGACCTCCCTGCCCAGTGAGGTAGGTATAGTCAGGGATTGGGGTCCTCTCTACCTGTGCTCATGACCCACCCATCCCCCACCCAGCTGGAACTTTCCTGGACCACTCCAGTGTGAATTGGGCTCCTCTCAGGATGGATGAGAGCCATCAAGCCCATTACCTTCAGTGCCTTAGTTGCTCTGAGTAGATGGAAAATACAAATTTTCTAAAGCCTTGGGCTGGAAATAAGTTTAATGGGAACCTGTGGCATAAGAACAGAATCTCAGACTCCTAGCCAAGTTAATAGTTTCAAAGGAAGACCTCCACTGACCATCCATCTTTTTTCCTGTCTCCCTAGTCCATGAGCTCCGACCAGCGGATATCAAAGTGGTGGCTGCCCTGGGTGACTCGCTGACTGTGAGTACTGAGCTGGGCCAGGCCCTGTGCGGGATCACCTCTTCCTCCACATCAGCTCTGTGTTCAGCATTTAGCTGAGAACATACCTGTGTCCGGCAATGAAACATAGCCAGGCAGCCGCAAAACACCAGCAGGCAATCGAGAATGCCCTCCCCTCCTCCCTTCCACAGCCTGGCTCAATACCACCTCTTCCACGGGGCCTCCCCTCCATCCCCTGATAGAAGCCGTCCATCCCCCTTCCCCACTGTTCCCAAGCATTTCATCTGTGTGTGTTAAGGCAGCGGTCCCCAACCTTTCTGGCACCAGGGACAGGTTTCGTGGAAGACAGTTTTTCCACGGACAGGGGAGGGGGGCAGGGGTTGGGTTCAGGTGGTAAAGTGAGCAATGAGTAGCGGTGGGGAATCGCAGGTGAAGCTTTGCTCACTTGCCCGCCACTCACCTCCTGCCGTGCGGCCCAGCTCCTAACAGGCTTCGGACCAGTACTGGTCTGAGGCCCGGGGGTTGGGGACCCCTGTGTTAAGGTACTTATTCAAGTCTGCCTGCCTTTACCAGGGAACTCATCTCCTTCACCCAGACTCCTAGGGTGGTGGGTCTTACCCACACACTGCCCAGCACCCGCTCACCCCATTTAAAGATGTGTTTGTGGGGGCAGAGGGGGCCCAATACCTGCACGTAGCACAGTTTCACTAAAGGAATTGTATTGGCCAACTATTTAGCTATTGTCTGTGTGTGAGACACTCTGCTAGCAATTCAGAGGGAAAATAAGTATGAGATGTAGTCTTAACCCTCTGGAAACTTGTCCAGCTGGGGAAATAAAAAACACACAGAAGGAGATACGTAATCATATAAGGGAAGAACCGGACTTGTGAAATCAGGTATTCATTTCAGTAAGGAACAACTTCTCCAGATGGGTTTGGGTGTGTTTTAATTTTGGTATGAACGTGGGGAAAGCTGTGGAAGGAAGGATACACACCAGGCTCTTAACCATTAATTGATTCTGGTAGTGTGTATGTGAGGGTAAGGGGTGAGGAGGGAGGGGATGTAGAACCTGGAGCAGGGGGCAGGTTATTAAAGTAGGGGTAAATTAGTAATTAAAACATCTTTGTATCATTTCATTGGTCATAGTGAACGCGTATTACTTTTGTAATTTTCAAAGAGGAATACTCTCTTTTTTTAAGATAGGGCCTTTAGAAAGCAACTATACTCCAATAAACATTAATTTTAAAAATAGGGCCTTTAGAAAAAGCATTATGGAGGAGGCAGAAATTGACAAAGGTGTTAGAGAATGAACTGGAGACATAATGGCTGGAAAGGAGGAGCTTTAGCATTCCCAGAAAGGATGGAGTGGCTGGTAGTAGGCCGGTCCAAGGCCCTCATGCTTCAGATCAACTTGTTTAGACCTGAAGGTTTGTGTGGACAGGAAAGGGGGCGGTGAACAAGGAAAGGAAAGTGGAAACCAGGTCATGGTGAGCTCTGAATGTTGGTGAAGGGGTTTGGCTCTGACCCTGTGAGTAAGAGGCACCCACTGAAAGGTCAGAGTCCGGGGGAGGCGTGAAGGAACAGGTGTGCTTGGCAGAGCAGGTGGGCAGCCCCGTGAGATGGGAAGAGACACTGGAGACCGTGGGGTCAGGTGGAGGCCAGAGCTGTCCATGGTGAGGAGATGAGAGTCTCACCTGGAAATATGGCAAAGGGAACACGAAGAAAGGGATGGAAGCCAGAGAGGTTGGGGAGGAAGAATCTTGCTTCTTCCACAACTTGGTTACTGGTTGTGTGTGGAAGATGGGGAAGTCAGGACTCCGAGATTAAGTGGCCTGGGGAAAAGCTGGTACCATTTTCAGAAAAGGTAAATCCAGGTCCCAGCTGCTACACCAGAGCAAGAGGGCCCCTCCCCAGTGCCCCCAGCCTGCACCCGACCCAGCCCAGCTCTAGAGCCTTCTCTTTGCCTTTCAGACAGCGGTGGGAGCCCGACCCAGCAACTCCAGTGACCTCCCCACAGCCTGGAGGGGACTGTCCTGGAGGTGAGGGTGTTCTCCACTCATCTCTGTTGATGACGCTCCCCACAGAAGCATGGGTGGTGTGTTTCCCTGTCACCCCTCCAGAGATGAGGCCGGGTACTCGATGCCCGGTGCTGGGATGCAAGGCGAACCCCCGATGCTTCTGTTATTCCTAAGGGGGATGGGAATCCTGCCCCAGGGCAGACTGTCTGGTTCTGACTCAGAAATATGATGACCTGTGATTTTAACAAATGTGCTTTCTCTTCCCCAGCATTGGAGGGGATGGCGACTTGGGGACCCATACCACACTGCCCAGTAAGTAGCAACACGGAGAGGCACCATCACTGTGGCCGTAGCAACCCCTCCCTGAGACCGGGGCCCTTCCCCTGAGCGAGGGAAGAGAAGGTTGTCTGTAAGGAGAGAAGTCAGCCTGCCCTGAAAAGACCCAGAAGCGTTCTGCCCACACCTGTGCCCCAACACTGCACGTCCATCTCCCTCTCACCTGTGCTCTCTGCTCCTTCCCTCTTCAAAGACATTCTGAAGAAGTTCAACCCCAAAATCTTCGGCTTCTCCACCGGCACCCGGGAGGAGACCGCCGGGCTGAATGCAGCAGTGGGAGGGGCCAGAGCTCGGTGAGTAGACGTGGGTACTGGTGGGACAGAGGAGGGCAAGGCCGAGAGATCGGGGATGAGAGAAGGGTGATGTCTGGGACCCGGGCCCACAGACGGGCCGTAAGAGCCGTGGTGCACGGAGCACTTCTGCTGCCCGGCCCTGAGCTGCCCCCTCACGTGGATTATCTCCTGTAATCCTTACACCCTTCAAGATGGGTACTAGCGTGAGGACACAGAGGCTTAGACCGTTTCCTGAATGGCCCAAGGTTATCAGAGCGAGGGACCAGAGGAGCCAGGATCAGACCAGGCTGAATCAGAGCCTTCGCTCTGCCCACTGAGCTGTTAGCACCTCTCAGGGCAGTGGGGAGAAGCCCTTGAGGGTGGCCGGACAGGAAGCACGCGGCCAGGGCGCAGGGTGCCCTCCTGCTGACTCCAGCTGGTCTCCCAGCCCAGAGGAGGCTGGGGTCGAATGTGCAGGTGACAACTCTCAGCACCTTGGGGACACAGAGCAGGACCTCACGGCTGGCCGCCCTTCCCTCCTCCCTTCTCTCGCCTCTGAACCTCCAGCCCTTGACTCTGAAAAAACCGTATATCGCCACTAGGGAGTTAGATGGTAGGCCCTCAAAACAACATAGCAGTTGTTTGTTTTCACTTGGATTTCTGTGGTTGACAACAACCCAGATAATTAAAGTTGAAATGCCTGACGGAGTTCATTGATTTTCTGCACAGAGCGTGCTGGGTCTTTGCTTTGTAGAAGGGTTGCTGCACTCAGATCACCAGGGAAACAGAACCCGCTTGACTCACCCCGTTTGCAGGGAAAGTTCCTTTCAGACGCAGTAAGGAGGGCCCCACGCTCGCTTTGAGCCTCTGAGCCACAGGAAGCGATGTCAGGTCCTCAACATCATAAGCAGGAAGAATTATTTTCTGCAAAAAGATTGGGCTTCGTGGGGCCATAATGTCAACCTCTAGTTGCTGGTATCACCGTTATTATTATTACCTTTTTATTATTTTTTTTTTAGAGCCCAGGCTTCATTAACCAGGAATTGATTCCTTAGTCTGTTGACATTCAAGCCCCTTTCCCCGTTCCTGCTTCACTTCTCTTAAACTGCCTTTTCTATTTCACTGCTGCTTGGTGTCTCCATCAGGCACCAAGACTGCCTGGGGAAGAGTGGCAGGGGAAGTAGCCGAGATATGCAGCTTCTTGTTAGTATCTCTGCGGTCCCGTGTTAGGGGAAAGGAGAGCGAGCCATTAGTCAGCTTAAGTAAGCAAGTTTGGAGAACTGTTCTGTGAGTCTCCCTTATCTGCACCGTGCCATTTAGCACAGTGTGGGTAAGGATGAGTTCACCTAAAGAGAAAGACAAATACCACAGCAGAGCAGCCAGGATAATGAGACCTGAGGTCAGACCGTCTATGTCTATATCCCAGCCCCCAGACTTGCTGGCTGTGTGACCTTGGGCAAGTCACTTAGTATCTCTGAGTTTCCCCATCTATAAATGAGAATAATAATAGTACCTATTTCTCAGAGTCGTCGCAAGGATTAAATGAGACCAATAACCCATGGAAAGCACTTAGTACAGTATATAATAGGTATGCAAAAAAAGTTTGTCATTATTAGAGTATTTTGTTTCAAAGTTTTATTCAAGATCGAACTTCCTTTCCATCCATCAATAAGCAAGAATTCACTGAACAGCTGGGAAGGACTGAGCCCCAAGATGGTTACTAAAAGATACAAAAGAATCAAAAAGTGAACTGCCTGCCTATAAAGAGCTTGCTTTCTAGTTAAGAAGCCTAAACCTACAGGACATAATTTTTGGAAAAAAAAACAACAACAGTGCTGTGCAATGGCAACGTTGCAGACTGAAATGATTTTGTTCTTTGGAGCACAACTAAGAGAAGAGAAGGGTACAAAATGTGAACCGGGCAGGCTGAATACAGACAGATGCAGACCCGGAAGGGACCCCAGAAGTCATCTAGTCTTGGCTGTTTGTTTAAAAGATGAAAAAATTCAAGGCTAGCAGGACCCAGTAACTTGGGTGAGCTCCACAGCACGTTGGTAGCAGAGCTGGAAGGGGACTCCTGGTCCTGTAACTCCCAGAGCATGGCTCTTCACATCAAGACTGAAGAAGGAAACAGAGGAGGTGTGGATAAACAAGCCCGGAGAGAAGGCCCATGGGGGAGGTAGGGCTTGCGCTGAGCCTGACGCATGGGAAGAACCATGGCTGGGAAGAGGGGAGGAGAGGCCATTCCTGACTTCCCCTGGTGCCCTTGAGGGCTTATCACCCGTGGATTCCCCTATTCATATCTTGAACCTATTAAAAGGTTACAGGGATTTCTGTGGTCACCTTTAACCAGGACAGGCTTTCTTTATAGCTTTCTGACACACGCATCAGTAGCAGTAGCATATGAGATGCGGTCCTGAATGTATTAATGAGAAACATGGCAGGGATGGTACCATGTATGCTTGGCCACATGCCCAGCTCACTGTGGACCTGCAAAGATTTAAAATGCCCATTCTGTACCAGTTACTGCTTTTATGATTTCTTCCATGGAAGCCTCCATTGGCTGTGTCCCTTCTCACATACATATCTTTTTTTAAGTAACAGTTTATTGAGGTGTGATTGACGAGTACACTGTACATATTAAAAGTGTACAATTTGATCAGTTTGTTATATGCATATACCTGTGAAACCATTACCACAATCAAGATGATAAATATATCCATCACCTCCAAAAGTTTCCCTGTATTTCTTTGTAATCAATCTCTCCCTCCCGCCCCTTCCTGTCTCTACCCCACTCCCTGGGCCCCAGGTAACCACTGACCTGCTTTCTTGTCACTATAGATTAGTTTTAATTTTCTAGAACTTTACAGAAACAGAACCATAGACTATGTACTCTTTTCTTGTCTAACTTCTTCCACCCAGCAAAGTTATTTTGAGATACATCCCCATTGTTTTGTGTATCACTAGTTCATTCCCCTTTATTGCTGGGTAAGCTTCCGTTGACATACCTGTCTCTTATCCAGAAGCATTCAATTCCTCGTTCGTGGCAGGTATCCAGGAGGTGAAGGAAGAACTAGTCCTGTCCATATTTGTCTCCCCCGTCCTGTTTTGTTGCAAGTGGGAGAAGTGAGGAGATGGGGAATGGTGTGGAAATCCAAAGGAACTACAGAAAAGAATAACAAAAGGATTAAAGGAACAGAGAGCGGGACTTAGAGGTAAAGGTTAAAGGAGTCGTGAAGCTTGGAAAGGAGAAAGCTGAGGGATCATTTGGGACGATGAATTTTTTCAAATATACAAAAGGTTATTTTTAAAACAGACAGCCAAATAAGAACTGGACAGGCTCAGTTCAGTTTCATCCTGCAGCGAAAGAGCTGGATGAAGTATAAGGGAATGTCCCTGATGGGAAGGTCGAGCAGATCCCCCTGAAGTGGCTTCAGAGGACCAGGCCTGCAGAAGGGGGTGGGGAGATGCGGATTAGCCCTTGGCAGGGTCAGGATCAACTACGGCTTCAAGGTCCATGGCAGATCTTTGATTTTTAAACAGGTTGAGATTTCTTGAGAATTGAAAGCCTTGCAATGCGTTCTGAAGGAGTGAACTTTATATAACATTTTTCTTCCTGAAACATCTCCTTGCCAGGCCCAAATCCTACAGCTTGAGCCCTCCCTCGTGAGCCAGCCCTAATGTCCCCTTCTCTTCCCCCCCCTTCCAGTGACATGCCGGCCCAGGCCCGGGACCTCATGGAGCGAATGAAGAACAGCCCTGTGAGTACAGGACCCCTGGCCACCCCTGGAAGGCACTCTGCCCGTAGCTGGGGTGGGTGCAAGCCGCCCTAAAAGAACCCCCTCTGTATCACTGCAGCTCAGGCTCTTGGCTGGTCCTTAAGAGGGGCCAAACGAGCCACGAGTAGCAGGCCTTGCCACCAAGATGCCGCCCGTCTCTGCCGCCCCCCTCCCCCCAGGGCCGGCTGCAGGAGGTGAGAGGGGCAGAGGGTGGCCGGAGGTGGCAGGCCTCGGCCTCTGGCAGCTTTCCACTTTACCCAGGAGCTGGCTTCCAGAGCCCTATTATGTAAACTTTGGCTTCTAAAAATAGGCAGCTCATTCCAACCCTTCCTCCTTCCCGCTAACCCGGCCCCTCTAAACCTCCCCACCAGCACTTTTTTAAACACTCTGTGTTTATGCCTTGGAACTCAGCGTCTGGGAGGACTCCTATTATGGCGGCGCTGAGTGGAAAGCAGGCTCCCCCGGGGGCCGCCCCGTCCCCCTCCCAACTCTCAGTCCACGAGGGGCTCCTCCTCCGCCCGCCTCCCTGGACACAGGCCTGAAGAGAGGCCAGCTCTGGGCTTTTGCTTCTAGATGTGTCTTGTGCCCTCGGCTCCTTTGAAGGCCTTTCGATCCCATTTTAGGGGCGGGTTAATACACACCACCTCCTCCTGGACTGCAACTTTCTTAAGAGGACCTCAAAGGGAAAAAGGTCCTCTGTACTGAGTGAGCACGCACGTGCGCGCGTACACACACACACACACACTCTCTCACTCTCTCCCCCCCCCCCCCCCTCTCCCCCCCCCCCCCCCCCCCCCCCCCCCCGGCGGAGTCCTTGCCCCAGCACCAAGGTGAGGGCAGGAGAGCCTGCACTCGGCATCTTCTCTCCACTGTGATACAAAGAGAGGAAAAGGCACTTGGGGGGCCGTCTGGCACATGCACGTGCCCCCCACCAAGGCCTAAATGGGATCTTCTGTCCCCTCAGGAAATCAACCTACAGAAAGACTGGAAGCTCATCACCCTGTTCATTGGGAGCAACGATTTGTGCCATTACTGCGAGAATCCGGTAGGCCCCTGCGCAGCCCCCTGGGGGCCCTGAGAGGGGAGCTGCTGGCCAAGGTCACCATCCAGGCCCAGGGCCGGGACCTCCCTCACGGGAGGCACACGGGCCGGCTCTCCTAGGCACCTGAGTCTGCCCAGGAAGCCCCAGCTCACACATGCCAGGAGAGGCCTGCCTTTCCCACTGCTGAGTGGCGGCTGCATTGGTCCCCTGATTCCAGAAGTGTCTGGATGTCCCCACTCTTCAGGCACTGCCAAGGCGGCCTCTCTTATGCACACAAATACTGTTCTCTGGTATCCAGTGGATAACTAGGGAGCCCCACCCTCACCTGCTTAGAGTCCCTGCCCACTTTTTTGGGCGTCTCTTGGTGGTGGGGAAGGTTGCAGGGGGAGGATGAAACAATGCCATAAATAGGGTTGATTCAGTTGAACTATTCCTGATCGATGGCTTACTGCTCCTTCAAGGACAACACGCGTTAACAAACTCTGCCGGCCCGGGAACCCAGCCCACTCCTAATGTCGTTTCTAAGGGGAAATATGTCCAGACTTACAAACTGTGGGAAGTAATAACTTTTGGGATACATCTTATTCTAAGTTGAGGATGTGCTATATTTTATTTGGCCGGAAGAAAAAAAAAAAAGCAGCTTCCATAATTCAGAGGTTGTGGTAGAATATTTGACAGTCACAGGCAGCGAGGAGAAGGCATTTATCATTCCTTTGGCTCACAGACAGTGACCAAATTCTGGATGAGAACCGGCCTCCCCCGACCCAGGGGCTTTCTCCCTCCCTGCCCAGACTCCAGAGGCAGAAGCGACCTAGTCCCGTGGGGTTTTAAATGCTATTGTGTCCTGCACTCGTTGGGGTCCAGGGAGCCAGAAGTGACCCCAGAATATCTGTCCTCGTGCAAGCAGTCAGGTTTATGATCCTGAGAGCAGCTTTTTGTGGAAAGACCTGGGGCCTCCATCAGGATTAACTCCAGCTATGTTTTAGGAAGGGGCTAAATCAGCTTCCAGTTGGGAGATGGGCCAGAGGAGGAGACCCTTGACCTGAGTTACAGGGATGGGAGTGAGGGGGAGGCAGTGCAGAGGGTCCCAGGCAGTGGGGCCAGCACGAACCAAAGCCCAGAGGAAAGAGACAGCATGGCCACCAGGGGCTCTGTCCTGGTTGGAGAAGGAGAGGCGGGGGAACGGATGGGACTGGAGCGGCAGTGGGGTCCAGCACTGACAGGCTCTGGGTTAGAGGAGCCGGGAGCAGGGTGGGGTGGGGATTGTTCATGGTACCTAGTAGGGGTCAAGGGATGACTTCTTACAAGAGACTGTGTCCACCAGCAGTAAGGGCTGGGCTTCCCAGCCCATGCAGTGCCCTCCTGTGCTGGCCTCAGGCCACTCTCCTCAGCTCCTGCCAGGAGCTGAGGAGAGCCCCTTGCTTCTTCACAGGAGGCCCACTCAGCCAGCGAGTATGTTCGGCACATCCAGCAGGCCCTGGGCATCTTCTATGAGGAGGTAAGACAGCACAGGGGCAGCACGATCCTGGGTCCCAGTTCCTGGTGGCAACCAGGCTGCTCCCCAGGGGCTGTGACCCGTGTGCATCTAGATGTGTTCAGTGAGATGCATGCCAAGCAGAGCGCCCCCCCCCCCGGTGAGCAGGTCCCTGGATGGGATGGGCGGGGTGGCGGGGGGAGGCAGCTTCTCTGCGGGGAAGATTCTAACTGGATCCGACTGCATCTGTTTGGTGGCAAAGAAAGAGCTGGCTTCTGGAGCCAGTCGGCCTGATTTGTAGCCAGGTACTGTGGCTTGGGCAAGTGCCTTGTGTCTCGGTTTCCCAGTCTATAAAGCAGGGCCAATAAAGGAGATTCCATGGGATAATATAAGGCACGTTCCCTCTCTGGGCCTCAGTTTATTGGTAAAGTTGGGGAGGAGGAAGTAGATTGTAGATGATCCCCCAAGCTCTTTCCAGCAGTAACCAGTGCCCCGCCCCCCCAACAAGTGCCTGGGGACTACTGAAGCCCACCCTTCTGCCCACAGCTTCCAAGGGCTTTCATCAACGTGGTAGAGGTCATGGAGCTGGCTGGCCTGCACCAGGGCCAAGGTGGGAAATGTGTCATGCCACTGGCAGCCCAGTAAGTAGACGTACGTGGGCCCAGGGGGAGGGCACCTGGGGAGAGCAGGGCTTAGATGTCAGTGGGTGAGACTGATACAGGCGGAGCCAGACATTCTTGTCTGGGGAGCAGACATCAGCAATTAGCCAGGGGCTTGGAAAACTATTCAGAAATGCTGCTACCTTATTGACTGCCTACTGTACGCAAGTCGCTTTATTTCCCTGGACCCCAGTTTGCTTTTCTGGAAAGTGAGGCAGACAGTCAGATGACCCGTGAGGGCCCCTGACATTGTCTGTGATGCCAAACCCCAACTTCAGCAAGTTGTTTGTTCCTGTTTGAGAGGCAACACAAGGCAATGCGCTTTCAAGGCAGCTCTATCAGGCCTCAAATCCTGGCTCTGCCATCTTAGGAGCTGTGGGACCCTGTACAAACCACGCAACCTCTCTGGGCCTCTTACTCCTCACTTGGGAGGTAGAGGTGAGGTCTTGCAAGAATTTCTGCTGGGGCTGGAATTTATTAAAGCTCAGCTGTGACCCTGCAGGAAGTTGCCATCTTCTGAGGCCAGAGGTTCGCCCAGAGTTCCTGTGACCATTGTTAGGGGGGAGCAGATTCTACAGGGAGCTGAGGAGCCCTGTCCTATCTGGGGTCAAATGGATTCGCTGGGAAGGTGACCAGCTGGTTCCTACTCTCGGAGTGGCCAAAAGACCCCTCACTCCGGAGCCCTGTGGGAAAGTCCCAAGCAGCCAAAGGTAGAGAAGGGAGGCCTCAGGAGCATGAGGAAGAAAGGCTGGGCCACCTTGGCAGTCTTCCCCAAACCCCAGCCCTCGTGGAGAAACCCCAGGCAGGAGCTGCACGCTTGGAAAGGAGCAGTCAGGTGGCCAGGGGAACAGGCAGCCCGTCCACAGGAGACCCGGGCATTGGTGCCAGGCCTTCCACCTTCTCTCCCAACAAGCACCTTCTAGACCTCCTGCCCCTGAGCTATAGTTCTGTGATCCGGGCCCAAGAGGAAGCAAGGCTGTGTTTTGGGGACACCTCCATGGGGGGGGGGGTGGCACCGAGCCTCAGGCCTCCTTGTCTCACAGGAACAACTGCGCCTGCCTCCGAGGCTCCCAGGAGAACTCCCCGGAGATGCTGCAAGAACTGAAGACAGTGAACTGGGACTTCCAGGTGACCCTACCACCCCCCTCATCTTTACTCCTGGAATGAGGGCTCTACTGAGATCACAGCCCCTGAAATATGTGTCCAGGTGAATCAGACACCAAGGCAGGGGCGGGGAGTGAGAAGCTCAGAAGGGAAGCTGGGGAGAACGCCCACGTCTCAGCTCCCAGAGGGGAGAGGGGCTGTGCTCACTGCCCTCAGGCTCCTCCCTCCTTTAGCTTCTCACGTCTGTCTGTGCCTTCCCTTGACCTGCCGTGCCCTGGGCCTTTCCGCAGTGTATCCATCTCAAGCACAGGGCTTGTCTTCTTACCTCTTCTGAGAAGCTTCCCCCCACGAAGCACCCCCGGCAATTCCAGTCAGCACTTCACTGCCCCTAAAGCCCTACATGGTTTTGATTTTTCCATCTCCCAGATGAATAAGTTTCTGGAGGACGAGCACAGCTAGTCTATCCCTTTTATAGTCCACCTTTTGGCACTTAAGAAATGCAAAGACCATGGATACTCATCCCCCAACGTCACAGGCATTTTGAGGAGCTGGTGTTGAAATTCTCCCCGTTTGAACTGAGGCCCCGTGTTCTAATTCACCCCTTCATGAAGTGAGAGCAGAGGCGGCCTTGGGCCCAAGCAGACGTCAGGGCAGAGCCGGGTGGCGCCCCCACCTGGTGCAGACTAAATGGATGCTCAGGCACTAGAGCGGCTCCTTTGAGTCCCTTGCCCCTGACGTGACCCACCCAAGCCCACAGGAACAGACCATCTGCCCAGCCTTGCGGGCGGTTAAGCAGCCTCTCTCCCCATCCCCAGAGTGGCCTCTCCAGGCTCTCCTACCAGTACCTGCAGCGTGAGGACTTCGCCGTGGTTGTGCAGCCTTTCTTCCAAAACACTCCTGTCCCCCTGAACGACGTAAGTTGCGGGTGTGTCTGGGAGGTGCGTGTGCAGAGGCCGTATCTTAGGCAATGTATTTCCTTTTCTACATGGGCTTTTTTGGACCATCTCTCTCCAAGCGTGCTCCCAAAGGGTTGCTGTTTCTGCTTTTCCTCCTTTCCCCTGCACCCACCTTTTCTGAGTATAACTTGAACTTAGATGTACTTGGAAAGAAAAGGTGAAAATTAACAGTGACCAAGCTCCCCTGGCCCTGCTATTTGCTGGGTTGGGATAAAATGGAAAGCTTCCTAAAAATATTATTATTCTCTTTTCAACCATTAGAGCAGGGATGCTGAAGGAAAAGGGATGTGGACTGTAGGTGGCTATAATTTTTAAAAAATAAAAATTCCAAAACCAGGGAATTTCTCCATCAACATCTGAGCCAACTGGCAGCAGAGTTGAAAGGATGAAAGTTGAAATGCCCAGGATGCCGCGGGATGGGGGGTAGCAGTGCCCTCGTCCCAGGAAGATAATCCCCTTGCCTTTGGTCACAGAGAGGAGGCGCTGACCTCACCTTCTTCTCCGAGGACTGTTTCCACTTCTCAGAACGCGGGCATGCTGAGATGGCCATCGCTCTCTGGAATAACATGGTCAGTGCCTGAGGGTCGAGTGGGTTTGGGTCAAGGGGAAACCCGAGGAAGCTGACTCTTTCCCACAACGAAAAACCTACTGGCTGATGTGGCTCCCTTCTCCCCAGAGCTCCAAATGGCAGCTCACGTATTTGTCCAGACAGATTCTATTCTTTCGGGAATGCCCCAGTGCTGTCGGGGGATAATTTTGTCATCAGATAGACTGGATGAAAATATCAGCATGAACCCCTTACTGTGTGACCTTGGGCCAATGATCTCTCTGGCCATTTGTATCAATATCTACAAAAACAACAAAGATGACACAGGTCTTAGAAGACTGAGATAATGTGTGTACCGCACCCAGCACAATAATCCACACGGTCCCAACTATTATTCCGACTATTATTTCTTTAAACATCAAAAAGAGCCACTCAGCCTGTTTTCCCAGGCTGCCACCTATTCTAGCCCTAATGGGGGAAAAGGGGACCTTACGAAATGAACGTACAGCCCAGAGGCCACAGGGACAACCCGGCCTTGTGGCTTGCTCTGCCCTTTACAACTGGCCACTCATGACTGGACAGTCAGCTATGTTTGCACAGAGCTCGACCAGTAACCCTGAGCGCTGTATCCTCTTGCACGGAGCAAGTGAATGCCTTTCCAACCCCTCTTGCACGGAGCAAGTGAATGCCTTTCCAACCCACTGGCTTCTTTTGATCTAGGCTCTGCGGGTAACCCAATCCCCACGCCAACCTGCCTGCTCCCTCATTTCTCCCATGGTGACTAAACAATCCACACGCCTGCTCCTTTCATTGCAGTTTCAGGCCTGCGGCGGCTCTGCCAGGCACCACTGTGCAAATATTCCCACACCTGTCAGCTCCGCCCGCGTGGCCAGTATCTTACTCGGCTGACTCATAATATTGTCTTTCTCCTTAGCTACACCACCTCCTCCTCTTCTCAGAACAGCATGTAAGGAGGTTTTCTCCTTGGCCTACTTAATTGCAGACTCAGCCTTCCTCTGCTTTTGTTTTCCTGGTGTTTTCCCCCTGTTGACACCACATTCTGCCCCCTCCTGGAACTTTCATCATCTCCCATCAGTCCAGGACTCAGAATTGCAATCAGAATACCTTTGAGTTCCCTCCCAACCCTACCTCCACGGTAGTTTTTTAAATCAAAGTTAAAACAATTCCTGAGAGCAGTTATGTTTCTTTTGAAGACTCTTTTGCTTTGAAGTCCAGGTGTCTTTCAGTGGCTGAGTCACTCAATTTCATTCCTTTTAAAATCCCCTCCCCACAAAGACTGGATCTCTCTGCCTGGTCCATTTCTCCCCCTGTGACCTCGGGGGAATCCACAGACTCCAAGGAGGGGCAGGAATGCTGAGCCCTAGCCTTTCCACTCCAAGGAGGGGCAGGAATGCTGAGCCCTAGCCTTTCCCTCCCAGCATCCCCATCAGGGCATAGTCTTCCTACCTCAGGGCATTCTGAGCCTGCTCAGTGCCAGGACCCTCCACAAGTCTCCTGGGGGTCGATGGCCGTATTGATGACTTTGAACATTACAGGGCCCATTTGTCGCATTCTGCATGATTTAATGTAGTTCTGGCCTTTCTCTTCCGAAACAGCTCGGTAGGTCTTCCCATTCACACAGGTGAGAGGCTTCTATTTCATAAAAGTGAGTAGAAGGGATTTAGATCTGAAAACAAAAGATGAACACTGTCATGGAGCCATATTATTAATACTACAAGACTGTCCACGGCCCCCCAACCACTCTGTCCCAGCCATAACCCAAATTTAAAAAACAAAGCAACGCAAAGCAAAACAAACCTAAAATCATCTATGAGTATGTTATCCTGTGCTATATGATTTGTGGAAATAATTACAGGGTCCAGTGTTTTCCTCCAAAACCGTCTCAGATATAAAGCTATAGCATCATGCCAACTTTTCAGGTCGTCTTCTTCCTGGAATTTCACCCCTAAAGTGACATAAAATAAATGACGAACCAATAGACCTGGAAAGGCTCTTAGAGATCATCTAGCCAGAATGCTCTGTAACTAAAATACAGAGACATGGAACAATTTGCCCAAGATCACACAGCCAGCTAGTTGCAGAACAAGGATTAGAACACGGGTCTAACTGCCAAGCGTCCTGGCCACAGCACCACCCTGCCTCCCTGCTCCCAGCCTGATAAGCACATGTGTAACCAGTGAATTCATGTCTCATAATTAGAGTCCTATGACACAGTGTCTGCAGGCTTTGGCTCACACCCTGAGTACCCCACTGTGGCAACAAACACACTTGAAACTGTTGCATCTCCTGCCCCTCCTCTCTGAACAGTTTATGCATCCTTCTCCAGAGGCTTCCGCAAAGCCTGCATCTCCTGCCCCTCCTCTCTGAACAGTTTATGCATCCTTCTCCAGAGGCTTCCGCAAAGCCTGCATCTCCTGCCCCTCCTCTCTAATTTTTCTCTTCCTTTTTCTCTTTTCTTTTCTTCAAATATTTATTTACCTATCTATCCATCTATCTATCTGGCTGTGCCGGGCCTTAGTTGCGGCACGCGGGATCTTTAGTTGCAGCATGTGGGATCTAGTTCCCTGACCAGGGATTGAACCCGGGCCCCCTGCATTGGGAGCTCAGGGTCTTAGCCACTGGACCACCAGGGAAGTCCACTCTTCCTTTTTCTTTTGTCTTCTTATGAACAGTTTTTTCTCCTCTTTTCTGATGCCTATTCCTCTACTGCTGCCCGCTCCCTCTTCTGTGGAAATCTTACTCTCAGCTAACATTAGCATCTCCCTGGGCGCTGAGTAACAACGCTAGCCTCCTAGCTGGTTTCCCTGTCTCCAGGCTTACAGCCATTAGAATAGCTCTGGCTGTGTATTACAGTTATCTGGGGACTCTTAAAAACAATTAATACCTACAACCACTTTGGGAAACCTTGGTATATCTACTAAAGCTGAACACATGTATTCCCTATGGCCCCAAAATTCTACTCCTACGTATATCTCCCCAACAGAAAGGTATACACAAGGTTCACCAAAAGATGGATACAAGAATTTTCATAGCAGCACTATTCATAGCCCCCAAACAGGAAACTCCCCAAATGTCTACCAAAAGCAGAAGGGACAAACAAACAGCACATTCATAAAATAGAATACCTCACAGCAATGAGAATAAAATTTCAACAACATGCAACTATATATATAAATTTCAAAAACAAGCAAATAAATCCATGGTCTTATTGGGGAGTGGATAGTACTGGAAGAGGGTAGGAGGGAGCCTCTGAGTATTGATTATATTCTGTTCCTTATCTGGATGCTATGTGGGTATGCTCATTTTGTCATAATTTATCAGCAGCTCACTTATGATTTGTACTTGTTTCTAGATGTATGTGAGCTTCGATTAAAAAATCATTTAAAAGAAAAACCAGAAAAAATAACCCAAAAACAAAACAAAAACCCAGTGCCTGGGCCTCATGCCCAGAAATTCTGACTTTGTCTGGGGTAGCACCTGGGTTCAATACGTTTTAGACACTCCCCAGGTGATATTACTGCATAGGGCTTGCAAAGCACTGCCTTAGATCTCCTCACCCCAGGGCAACCGCATAGTCTGCATAAATGAAATCTGACCAAGTCGTGCCCCTGCTCTCAAACTCCCAAGGCTGGCCCCTCCTTGAGGAAGAAAGGCCAGGCCCCTTAGCGCAGCATACCACGCCTTCCGGACTTGGCCCCAATTAACCTCTCGGCAGCCGCTCCCATCTCCCTGATTTGCATTTAGCAATCCAGCAAGGAGTGAAGTTTCCTGCACCACCCATGCTGTCTCCTGCCTCTGTGTGTTTGCCCTCGCTCCTCCCCTTATCTCGGGCTGCCCTTTCAGCCTCCTTCCCCGGCTAACTCTGACCCACCTCAACAGTCAACTCAGGTGCCAGCTTCCACAAGAAGCCTTCTCCGAGTCCCCAGAGCTGGCCCCATGGCACCCTACCTTGTCTCAGTCCTGTCATTTGCCACATCGTTGGTATCCACAGTGTCTGTCTTAGGAAAGGCAGGTTCTAGGAAAAACAATTGCCTTTCCTGTGGCCAGCCTCAGGCGTTTACGAGTCCAGTTCTTCCATCCATCCCCTCAACCACTATTTCCTGAGCTCCATTATGTGGTGGGGACTGCCCCAGGTGCTGGGGAAAAGAGCGTCCCTGCTCTTGGGGAGCTGCCAGTCTAATGGGAAAAAGAGATAAAAAGTAAATGAATCGGGCTTCCCCGGTGGCGCAGTGGTCGGGAGTCCGCCTGCCGATGCAGAGGACACGGGTTTGTGCCCCGGTCTGGGAAGATCCCACATGCCGTGGAGCGGCTGGGCCCCTGAGCCATGGCCGCTGAGCCTGCACATCCGGAGCCTGTGCTCCGCAACGGGAGAGGCCACAACAGTGAGAGGCCCGCGTACCGCAAAAAAAAAAAAAAAAAAAAAAAAAAAAGTGAATAAATCAATGAGGTAATTTCTGACCACATTCATGGCTTAAAAAAAAAAAATAAGGCAGAGTCATGTGACAGAGAGTAACAGTGGAGAGATGGAGGGCTCACCGGAGAGTGACGTGTGAACTGAGAACCGAACGTCGAGAGGCTGCCGGGCACGCAGAGGTCTGGGGCCACAGTGTTGCAGGAAGAGGAAACGACCTGTGCGGGCCAGAGTCAGGAAGGAGCTTGAAGCGTGTGAGGAGCGTAAAGGCCAGTGTGCCTGGAGGGAGGGGAGCAAGGTCAGAGGTGGGCGAGAGCAGGGGCCGGGTCCTTGGATGGCTTTCGGCGGGAGAGCCACGTGATCTGGTTTGCCCTCCGGCTGCTGCATAGAGACAGACTAGAAGGAAGCAAGAGAGGAGTTGGAAAGACCATTAGGAAGCTGCTGGAAGTCCAAGTGAGAGGTGAAGGTGGCCGGGACCAGGGGATGGCAGTGGGGGTGGAGGGAAGTGGTCAGATTTGGGATGTGTTTTGGACTGGCTGGTGGATGAGGCAGAAGAGGAACAGGGGTGATTCTTCAGTTTGAGGTCAAGGAAACTGGGTGGACAGTTGAGGTGTGTAGAGAGAAATAGAGTTGGGAGGGGAAAATCAAAAGTTCTTATTTTGGACATGGTCAGTGTAAGCTGCCTTCCAGAAATCCACCCAGAGGCATCAGGTACGGTGTTAAATGTATGATTCTGGAGCTCAGAGAGAGTCAGAAACGGAGATTTAGGGGAAAAAATGTGCGGGTTATTAGCATAGAAGTGGTATTCAAGACCATGGGGTTTTCTGAGATCTCCTAGAGAAAGAATAGGTGGAAAAGAGGAAAGGACCAACCACCAAGCCTGGGGCTTTCTTCCAACTTTTGACCCAACGACTGATAAGGAGAGAAGGGGGAGGTGGGAGGGAAACGAGAAGTGTTGTGAAAGGGAGGCATCAACTTTGACAAATTCTGCGGAAAAGTCAAGCAAGATGAATCCAAAATAAGTGACCACTGAATCTGGCAAGGTCCTTGGTGACCTTGACCAGAGCTGAGTCAAGTGGTAGAGACTGAAGACCTACTGAATGGGTGTTAGAGAGAACGGGACGTTGGGAAGTGCAACCAGGGGCTACAAACAACTCTTCTAGAGTTATGAGGAGTAATGGTGAAGGCAGCTGGAGGGGAGGGGGGATGGGGATGGGGCTTCAAGGCTGGGAAATACAGTAGGCTGTGCACCGATGCCGAGGAACCAGTAGAAAGGGAGAAACTGATACAGTCATCAAATCCATATGATCATTACCTTCCTTGACACCAGTTAGTTCCTGGGTTCCTGGAGTATCACTGGGGCTCAGCCAACTGATCTGTAGCATTTGTTCTGTCACTAGGTGGTTCTGCTACGCAGGAAAAATGCTAGGGGCAGTTCAGGAGCCCACCTAGCACCACACAGCTCATTATCAGCAGAGCCAGGACCCCAGTGGATGTGCCCACCATGCTCTGTCCAGTCACCGTGGTGACTCTCCCAAGCCCAGAGCAGCCCTTCCTCCTCTAATTGTTACTAACAGACAGGTGGAAACGGCTTTAAGACAACAAAAAGCAAGGTCACGGGCCAGGTGTGGTCATTAGCCGGCATAGTGGACTTTCCCTTCCCTCCTGGGCAGTACCTGGGGGTCAGGAGCTGATGAGCTCAGGAACAGGCAGGGAAGCAGATCATATGATGGGTGGACGCTAGACATTCAGGACAGAGTCTGGATAAGTGAGTGCCAGGGATCCATTCTCCTTGGTGCTGGCCACATGCTGCCAGGGGGCAGGCTACTGGCTTTAGATTCTGGGGAGGGAGTCACAGCAGCTTCCAGCTCATTCTCAGAGGGTCCCAGGATCAAAAGCATGAAGCAGAACCTCCCTGAACCACAGCTGCTCCCCGGGAGGTTTCAAGTAAATCTTTTCATCTATGCGGAAAACACACGAAAGTAGCTCAAGTGAGAAAATGCCAATTTCTTAAGGTTGACAAGCCAAGCGTAATAACGACGTCATAGTAACCAGTATGTTTTCAAAATTTTCCTGAAATTGACTATCCCCAGACACTTCAAGGAGTTGGTAAATATGATTATCACCATTTTATAAAGTTGAAAATGCAGTGTCTGCAGTCACAACCACCCACCGGGAAAGCAGGAGGTGGAGGTCCTGGGCTCTGCCCTTCCACGCTCGCTGCAGCCTCTGGACCGGTCAGTCTCTCCTGGGCCTCAGTGTCCTCAGTAAATCCAGGACACAGACTCAAGGTTGCCCCTCCTCTGATGGACTCCGACCTGTCAGTCTGAGAGTCAGAAGTCAGGTCCAGCTCCGGCCCCAGGGCCGCTAGTGTCTGCCACAGGTCTTGCCCCTTTGGCTGGTTTCAGCCTCGCAAAGGGAGGGAATCTGGTGTGAGATTCTCCTCCCTCGGACAGGGAGGTCTCTCCCAGCTTTGGAGGGAACCAAGGTTTCCTTTTCTCTTTTCAGCTGGAACCCGTGGGTCAAAAGACAACCTCCAACAACTTCACCTATAGCCGAACCAAACTCAAGTGCCCCTCCCCTGTGAGTAAGGTCCTGCCTGTCTAGAGTGGAACAGGTGCCTGGGTTGGGGGAGGGGGGAGGTCCTGGCCATCTGGAGGCACAAAAGTCCCCTGGGAGGCTTCACCATCATGCACGTTCATTCACGACCACCATTCTCAAATCTCACCTCCCCTGGCTGCCCCGACACTTCTCAGGTCCTCAGGGAGCCGCAGCCAGAAGTGAGGGGAGGGACAAAGGGATGGGTTCACCGAATCAGGAAGAGGCCCGGGGAGGCAGATGAGCGAGCACTGGCCAGAACCTCGTTACCCCCGTGACCCTGGAGGGTCTGTGGCATCCTCTGTCTTAAACATGCGTCGAGGAGCCCTCCCATGCCAGGCACGCTCCTGGGAGCTGGGGGTTGGGAGGAAAAGAGAAATAAGAGGCCGTGCCTGTTCTGGGTGCCCACATCGTCTTCCTGGCCTTCCAGCACCACCAGTGTCCAGGCCCGCACCGCCCTCGCCTGGACCAGGGACGAAGCCCCAACCTTGTCTCCCCAGCTCTCCTTTCTCCCTTCTCTGTCCGTCCTGTAATCGTGCCAGACCCAGAGTGGCCCACCTGGAAGGAATTCCAGTCTTGTCAAGGCTGTCAAAACCCTTCCCCGGTCCCCGCGCCCACGGAGGAGAGTCCAGATAAGAGGCCCACCTTCCTCTCTCACCTTAGGCACACACTCCGCTCCTGGAAAACGGAGCGGCTTCCCAGAGAAGCCCCACGACAGCCCCCGTCTGTGCATCTGCTTCTGCCATCTGCTCCTTCTGGAGGCTCATCCCCCATCTCCGCCTGTGGGAAATTTTCACATCCTGCAAGGCCCAGATGTTTCCCTCTCTGGGCTACTGTCCACCTTATCTCACCCTACCACTCCCACCCCAGACACACATCAGCATTGGTCTCTCTCTTCTGTGCGCACCTCTCACAAGCACTGACCCAGGCTCCTCTGTGATGTGATTGTTTCTGAACATGTCTTATCTCCCACTGGACCACGAGCACTGATGTCACACCTGAACCCTCAGGCCCTCTCCCAGTTCCTAGCACAGGGCTCCACACAGCCACCATGCCACCAGCATTCACCGGGGGGAAGGAAAGGATCCAGGGAGGCAGGCCCTTCACATTTGGGTTCTTAACCTACTACAGAACCAGCTGTCCTTCCACACCGACCTTCCCTGCTCGCGGGCACTCCTGGGATGGGAGGATGGGAATAGCTGTCCGGGGCGGCCTAGAGGAAACAGAGGTGGGCACTCTGCAAGCTCCTCAGGACTCTCTTCCACGGGTCACCTATCAGTTCCCGATCTTTGGAGGTTATAGCTGGGTGTTGACCACTTTGGATACCCCTCCTTATTCAGGGGGTTGGGGCACAGTGTGGATGAAGGAGCTTTACAAACAGGGATGAGCTGTGGAAACAAGGTTATTGCACCGTCTCTGGGATGGGGACTACACAAGCCTCAGATGGGTGGTTTTCAGGCCCTGAGCCCTGACCCTCTCCTCCTCCACAGGGGCGCCCCTACATCTGCACCCTGAGGAACAGTTGGCTGCTCCAAGACCAGGCTAAAGCAGACCCCCCAGTGCTCTCCTGGGCCGTGCCAGTGGCAGCAGGAGGCGGCCTTGCGGTTGGTGTCGGCACAGTGATGGCCTGGAGAGCCCTAAGGGGTCGCCAGAGGGAAAATCCTCCCATAAGTCTGAACACTGTGAGCTTGTAGGCCCGCCAGCCCTGTGCGGGCTCTCATCCTGAATTCCCCAGCCACGTTCCTCACCAGCCCTCTCCCTTGGCCACCCCTGGCCACTACGGAGGTCACTCGCTTCAACACCTGGTAATGTAGGAAGCCAAAGGGACAGTCACAACTTCTTGGGGCCTGAGACCTATGATCCTGGAATTGGCACATCTAAATAAAGGCCAAAGCCGTTCTATTCTTGGGTTTGCCTGCTTGAAGCTCTCGCCTTCCAACCTGTCGTGTGGCGCAGATGTGGGAGCTGGGACCTTGTCTCAGACAGGGATGGCCAACCTGAGCCCAGACTGGCACCCAACAGGCATATCCTCAGTCACCAAAACCACTATTTCAAATGTGGGAAAAACCTTGGTCACCAGGGTTTGGCTGGAATTTTGGAGCTTGCCTGCCATCACTCAGTACCATCCAACATCTTTTCTGTACCCAGGACAAGGTAGAGCATTGTGGTACCTCCAAGGTTGTGCATGTCACGGCCTGGCCAAGAGACGAACTCTTTCAAAAATACAAGATGCTCTGTGACAGCGTGTGGTTCAGTCCTGGGGCAGTGGCAGGTAAATGCGTCTGCTTTCAAGAATAGGAGTTCCTTGGGAAAGGGTTCCTGGAAGAGAGCAATTTTGAAATGTCATTTTAAAAAAAGGATTGGGACATGAATGCTTCACATATTCTCAACCTGATTTTCTCAAGGTGCTAAATTTAGAAAAGAATTCCTCTTTCTACATTACCAGGTTTATGAGAGAGCTAGAGAGAGTCTGATAACACAAGCTCCCTCCATTCAGCCCCTAGCAGGGGCAAGGCCCTGAGCTGGATGTCTTACACAGATAAGCTCTTTTATTCAGCACAAAAACCCAGGGCGGGGTTGATGGTCATTTCTGAAGACAGAAATAGTGGTTGTACAACACTGTGAATGTACTAAATGCCATGAATTGTTCACTTTCAAATGGCTAATTGTATGTCACGGGAATTTCACCTCAATAAAAAGCAAACAAAAATCCATTATCATCAGGATCTAAGTACCTCTCTGACCCCAAAGCCTGAGATGACAAAGAATGTGAGTTAGAATCCCAGATGTACCATTTGAATGTGTGGCTTTCACAGCAAACCCCATCACCAGCCTAGGTCCCAGTTTCTCAGACACCTCATCTATACAATTCGAATGAGAGTACCCATTTTGCCTGTCTCCCAGCACTGCTAAAAAACAAGATGCCGTAGAAAAGTGCTCTGTAACTCTAAAATACTGCACCCACGAAAGTGGGTTGTCTTCTCCTCTATGAAGAGTTGAGCTAGGGTCTAGGCTGCTGGGGATGCGGAGGGGTCCAGAGATGGGTTTAGGAACTGGGGGCAATGTATGGGTGAAGACTGCCCACCTTCCTCTCATGAAGGGTCATCATATTGTTTCTCTTTGGCAAAAACAGAGTCTGCAGAGGACCTACCCAGTCACAGGTTTCTGCTGGTTTCAATTTCTGCTTCTGTACAAAGGGAACAGCATACCTGCCCCACTTCTTCCTGTGGACGAAAAACAATATCACATACCCTAAAGAACCAGCAATCCCAGCTTGTGTTCCTGGCTTAACACAGTGTGACAACCAAGATAACTCATTAAGTCGAAGAGTTCGACTTTTTTTTTTTTTTAATAAGTTTCCCTTCCAGTAGCTCCTACTTCAAAGAACCATGGAATTCATAACCACAAGTCTCCCCTCACTTGGGTTGGGGGTTGCAATTTATACTACCTGAGTAATCCAGGAGCCCCCAGTCTGAAAAGTTAATGAAAGGTGTGGTTCCCAGACTGGTCACCAAGGAACACTTTGCAGAAATAAAGAGAAATCCTCTTTGGAGGGACACAACCGCAAACCAGGCCCCAAATTCCCACCAAATACACACTAAAAAGACAAAATTTAAAAATACATGAGAGCACTTACTTGAACCTGGTGGTATTATATATACACGAAAACATGTCCTTTTCCTATAGGAAAATGTTCAATTTAGTTAGGAAGCCAATCACAGCCACACCAGGAACAAAACCACCAAATCCTGAGAAAGCTACACTCTGAGATACTCTCCATAGAGGCTTTCGAGTTCAATAAAGATTAGTGTGGATTAAACTTGGTCAAAAGACTTCACAAAGGACATAGAACTCTAATTGAGCTCTGAAGAATGGAGAGGTGATTTGGTTTGAGGCTGAAAAGAATGGGGTCATGGAGACTGGGAAAACTCCATCTAAGTGGAGAGGTGAATGAGCATGGTGTGTATATAGGGACAACAAGAAAGATGTTGTCCAGAAACAATGAGGATGGATGAGCCAGATACAGTCAGATTAGGGACACACTATGGAAAGGACAAGGGATTAATAGTGATTATATTGTTACAATGGTTGTAATACCAGGCTGCATTTGATTTGGGACTAAAATGCTATTGGGAAAAGATTGGTACAAAGAAAAATAACATCAATAAGAGTTGACTTAGAGTGCTAACTCTATGACAGGCAGCATGGTACAGAATAATTAAGCTTCCACATCCCTGTTTATCATCCCCTTTTTACAGAAGAGAAAACCAAGACTCAGAAGAGTTAATTGGCCCAGAGTTATACTTTCATTACGTAATGGGACATTCATCAAAATGAATACTGGTTTCCAGGGTAGGGGAATAACCCCAAAATACAAAACAGATGATTCTAGCAGTAAATTGGGCTGAACTGCAAATAAACGTGATATAAAATAAAAATCTAGAAAAGAGGGATACACATTATCCTCACAAGGCTATGATGGCACCATGAGTTCCTGTGCCTCCAATTGGTCTGAAGAACTCAGCCATCTCTAGTTAGTAAGCTGTGATTTTAAAAATTAACTATAGGGGCTAAGATTTATTTTGCTAGAGTATATGTGGAGTTATATAGCAGCTAGCAAATCTTTTAATTAGGAAAAAAAAATGAAGAAACAATCCCAGTGAGAATTAGTAGACACAACAAATGACAGGATTAGACCCACATTTTACATAATAGTATTGAAGACAGACTATATGTAAGCAGATTTTGAAAGATTAAAGACAAAAGGGACTATTCTGTATGATGCTGTAGTACTGGATACATGACACTATGCACCCTTCAAAACCAAAAAAACTGTACAACACAAAGAATGAACCCTAAAGGCAACCATGGACTTTAATAGTGCATCAATATTGGTTCATCAATTGTAACAATGTACTCCACTAATGCGAGATGTTGATAATAGGAGAAACTGTACAGGGGTAGAGAGCGGGTATTTGGGAACTCTGTATTTTCTGTACAATTTTTCTGTAAACTTAAAACTGCTCTAAAAATAAAGTATATTAGTAAAAACAGGAACTTAAAACATGAGATAAGACTAAGGTAATTTTTTAATTAAGGCAGATATATATAAGAACCAAATGGAAATATATTATTAAAAATAATCTTCAGTAGATTTGTTCAAATAACAGATTTGACACTCAATGAAACAACATGTCTTGTGTATTTACTATGTATCAGGCACTGTTTTTAACAGTAAGTCTATATTACTCATTAATTCTCACAACAGCCCAATGAGATAGGTACTACTATTATCCCAATGTTACAGACAGAAAAACTAAAGCAGATTCGGGGTCTTTTCAGTCTTTTTGTAAGAATTAAATTAGATAAAAAAAATAGTTTAAAAAATAGGTATTCAATAATTCCCATATCCCTTCCCATATCCCATATTAAATCCAATAGATTATTTAGGAGGGCTTTGTGAAACAACCATAATAATGAAAATATATTTGGTACCTTACAGTTTACAAAGCACTTTTATATGTTCTCATTTGATCCTCACCACAAACTTGGAAGTGCAGTATTATTAAGAAAAAATATCCCAAACTTGGAAAGAAGGCAGGAGAGTGACCACGTGTCCTATTAATGTCACTGTTGAACAAAGCTCATCTAAGAAATATTTAGTTATCTAGAATACACTTGTGTTTGACTTTGCTATTTACTATTTGATTAGAGCTCAGATATTATGAAGTTATGTTGACTAATGGATTTCTGACTGGCAGAAAAGATAAAATCAAGGTTATGATTTTATCACCCTATAGAACATTAACTAGTTTTCTATTAGCAACATCATTTCAGTATTCCTTTGACCAGCTAACAACATAAATCTCCATTCCTCAAATTCTCCTTTGAATCAGACTTGACCATCTTAATAATTCCCTTATTAATCACTGAGTTAAAGTCTTGACATACATTCATCCTATATTTGTATGAGAATCATATTTTAAACTTTTTAGAAAGAAATGACTTTTTAAAAATACCTAAGGGGGGACTTCCCTGGTGGTCCAGTGGTTAAGAATCTACCTTCCAATGCAGGGGACGTGGGTTCGATCCCTGGTCGGGGAACTAAGATCCCACATGCTGTGGGGCAGCTGAGCCCGTGAGCCACAACTAAGATCCAACGCAGTCAAATAATAAAATTAAAAATACCTAAGGGGAAAACTAATTTTTAAAAATTATACAAAAGTATATAAAACCACAGGATATATTATAAAAACCTAGTAAATCTGAACAAGTGGAAACCGACAACCCAGTAATTCCATCCCTAGGTGATAGCTCTCAAAGAAACATTTGCAAATGTGTCTCTCTTGGGAGATGTGTAGGAGAATATTTATGGCAGTGTTGTTCATAAAAACAATAAAGCCAGAAACAATGAGGTCAATGTCCATCAATAATGGACTGGGAAAACAGCTCATGGTGTATTAATATAACGGAGTAATTATGCATCCGTGAAAATAACTACAGCTGCGTTCATCGGCTTGGGTGACTCTTACATATAACGTTGAGCGAAAAGAAGAAAGTATTACAAAGAACACATGTAAGACGACTCCCTTTAAACATGGAGACAGGCGGTAAAAGTAGAAAAGGAAATCAGTGTAACCATTATCAGAAAAACCATAATGCTACTTTTGAGAGGAGGAGGGGTTGGTGATTGAGGAGGGATATGCAGAAGGCTTCTCAGATACTGGAATGGCAATTTCTAAACGTGGGTGGTAGTTTCGCAAGATCTTGCTTGATAACTATTCTTATAATTGAATGTATATATATATATATTTCAGGCTTTTTCTGTATGTGTATTTCATATTTTTTAAGTTAAAAGAATGAAGGAGGAAGATGTTTTATAAAAGAACCAAGCTAAATTAAGCTGCTTATTCATTCAGTGACCAGTTGGAAGAGTTTCTTCTTTTTTTTTTTGCGGTACGCGGGCCTCTCACTGTTGTGGCCTCTCCCGTTGCGGAGCACAGGCTCCAGATGCGCAGGCTCAGCGGCCATGGCTCATGGGCCCAACCGCTCCATGGCATGTGGGATCCTCCCGGACTGGGGCACGAATCCGCGTCCCCTGCATCGGCAGGCGGACTCTCAACCACTGCGCCACTAGGGAAGCCCCTGGAGGAGTTTCTTTACCCAAGGGCCACCTACAGAAATTTGGTGAGTGTTCAAAGTCACTAAAGTGAAGTAAACATAAGCCAAAGTTGATCGGGCAAAGAAAGAGAGATCCCACATCCAGCTGGTGAGGAATCAGCCTCCCTGCAGCAGGCCAGTTTGGGCCCAGCTCCTGAGCAGCATGGCGATGTTGGGTGGCAGCCAGGGCTCACCAGGCTTCAGCAATAGGAGGCCACTCAGGTGTGTCCCCACTGTGTTCCATGCAAAGTCTAGAAGACTTGTCACTATAAGCTTGTCCCACTGTTCTGGCAGCTGGCACTGTGATACACCAAGGGCCAAGGGAACATGTGCCTTCCCAGAGGCCCAGAGTCCACCCCTCCTGGGCCCTGGCTACGCCATGCATTACCAAGAGTGCTGCCATCAGGACAGTGTCACACAGTGCTGGGTGAGCAGGAAGTGAGGACGATGGGAGAAGGAGGGGAGGAAACAGAGGCTTCTCCTAAATACATTCACCCAGATGGCGTTTCAGTCAGTTGAACTTCATTCTTTATGATTAAGTAAAGTCTCAAGCACAAGCAGGCTCCGGGAGCAGGGGAGCTGGGGATCAGATGGGAGCAAAAAGGGATTCCAGTCCTGAATGATCAGGAGTGACCTTATTTCTTCAACTGTAATAAAGCAGGGATAATGTCTACCTTAAAAGGCTGTCAGCAGATTAAACGAGAAAAAAATGTATGACAAGGGTCTGGCAGAGGAGGAGCTTGAAAACATGGCAGCTGTAGTTATTCTCCTCTCCTGTGTGCAAACTGGGCCGAAAGCGTGTCCATGAATCCTGCTCTCCCCACCCTCGGCAGTGCGTTGTCCACTCTGGTCCTCCAAACATTTTCAACCTAAGCCTAGAATAAAGTGATTGGCCTTCCAGCAGAAGCTCAGCCTCCCCCCGGTAATCTAAGAAGAGGCCTCTCCCTTGGATAGAACAATTGAGGCAGCAGCCCTGGGTCCCACACTCAGAGGTGAACAGGGTGGCCTCAGGTGCCTCTGACGGTTCCTTTCTGAGCATAAATGAATTCAATTCGGAATTGTCTGAATTGCTGAGATCCCAAAAGGACTATGAAAGAAGTTGACAGTACAGCCTTCCAAGTGTTATTATCATCTTGGTTCCTCTAACTGGGGGAATATCTCAGGATCCAGGATACAAAGGAGGGCAGGCTCTCACCTTCCAGTCCCCAAATCACCTGGGAGGCAGCCTTTTCCCGTGCTCACTCGGCCAGGGGACTCTGTAGTGTTACAAAGTCTGGTTTTAGTTGATTTCTAAACCTGTCTAGGTTTAGAAATAAAAAAGCTAGCCCTGCCTTAGACCATTATAGTGCTCTGCACTCTCAAAAGCCAGAGTGAGACAGGACCTCCCTGCACCCCTGTCCCGTCTGTGGGGAGAGGAAGGAGGAGGCCAAGGGGTGTCAACCCCCTAGAGAGGAAGTGCTGGACCCTGGGGCAGACCCGAGGTTGCCCTACCCACAGGGAGGCCTACAGGGCAGCTTGGTTTTTTCCACTTGCTGGAAAAATAGCTCAGAGCTTATCTCCTGTGCCCTGCAGATCGATGATAACATCATTATATATGGAGGCTCCATGTCGACCTTTCTTTTCCAGCTCTTTCTGTAACTCATTTTACACAGGAGAGCACATGATGGGGATCTCTTTGGGTCTGAAATCCCCTGAGGAGACAAGGAAACAGTTTCCAGAATTGTCCCCAGGGCAGCCCTCCTTCTAGAAGGCGGCACAGGTACCTGTGAAACCAGCCTGCTGCTGGCATATCTCACAAGGCTGTTGTGAGAGTTCGGGGAGGGTCCGAGGGCTGAATATGGAACACACCTAGCACAGAGTGAACGCTCAGTGAATTTAGCTCCTATTAGTGTTATTTATAGACGCACCTCAGGATTCACATTTGATGGGTTTTGTTCCTCTGCCAAATGCTTATTTATGTATTCAGTACCCCCGCCCCCCTCCACGAGTTGATGTTTATGTTGTTCCTATGATGGAAACATTTTTACCGATTGATGTCTTCATTCAGCCAGCCCTCCAGGCAGCCTATGGAACTGAGGCTCCTTATCACGTGCTCTGTGTGAGCGAGAAGTAAACTTGAATGAGGAAGACTCGGGTCACCTCCAAGGGATTTACATTCTGCTGTAGGGATTGCCACACTATTTCGATTATGTACCTGCAAAAAATGTCAGCACGTGAACCACAATATAGCGATGTTTATTTACAAACTATATAGGTATATAACTATACTAATATATCAATCACAAAACTCACAAAAATAGACATTTGTAAAGAACAAGATAAAGGTGAAGTAAAGGTTTTGCTCTTGCTAAAATAGTAATATTTGGGGGGGAGGACAGCGTTTTGATTGAAAATGTTTCACTATTTTTAGACTCTTGATTTAGAGCTTTGTGATATGACTATTCAAAGGCCTTGTTTCAGGTTAATTTTCTTTCTGAACTGGCTTTCAAAGATATTCATGGCTTGGGAATTCCCTGGCGGTCCAGTGGTTAGGACTTAGTGCTTTCAATGCTGGGGCCCGGGTTCAATCCGTGGTCAGGAACTAGGTTCCCACAAGCCACATGGCATGGCCAAAGGAAAAAAAAAAACAAAACCATGGCTGAAAAAAGATTCCTCACAAAGATGGATTGTTCCAAACAAAAGATGTACCTGGTTGGTTGTGCTAAGTCATGATTCTCATTCAATTGTACAGGTTTTTGTTGAACGTCACTCATGAAATACGCTTCTTCCTGATGTTAATCTTTATTTTTTAGCAAACTATCTGGAAGCTATCCAATTTGTCACAGATGGGTTCACACCCCACTGATGAAGTCATTTTGAAATTTTAAAAGCAGGTTTAAAAAGTTTACTTCCCAGATATTTTTAATGTACACAGATATGAGAGTTTATGGAGGGAGCTCATCATTGTCAGCAGCGGAATCACATAATAGTAGCAACATTTCCAAACATGTGTTTTCAAAGCCAGCTCCCAACACCACCTATTTTGTTTGTTTTGTTGTTGTCATTTTGTTGAATTTTATTTTTTTAATTTATTTTACTGAATTACAGTTGATTTTAAATGTTGTATTAATTGCTTCTGTACAGCAGTGATTCCGTTATACATATATGTACATTCTTTTTCATATTCTTTTCCATGATTTATCACAGGATATTGAATATAGTTCCCTGTGCTATACAGTAAGACCTTGTTGTTTATCCATTATCTATATAATAGTTTGCATCTTCTAATCCCAAATTCCCAGTGCATCCCTCTCCCACTCCCCTACCTTTGTTTTTAAAGAGTATTTTCACACACCACACTCTACAACTTACTTTCAGAAAGCAATTACTTCCTCTCCTTTTCCATGAAGTGAGGTGGGTGTTTCTGTTTGTTTGTTTTTAATATTTGCTAGGTGACATGTTACCAACAACCAGCTGTCATCAGAGAAAAGGTCAGCAAGTTTGAAACAGTTGTCTACTGATTTTAAAAATGCGTAATTCATCTTCAGGCTTGATGGCTTTTACGAGCACATTGCCAAAATATTTTCACGGTGACTCCCCATCTCATTACAAAATGTTACAAAGATTCTATTACACTTAAGATTCTGGCTCCAGTAACAATAACCACATTGATGATATCCTATCTCATTCTGTACGCTTTTGGCTTTGCTGCAATAGCTTGCCAATAAATGATACAGTGAAAGAATTTCATTGACGGTGCTGTGTTTGTACTCTTACCTGGAAATCTTTTTATCCTAGTCAATGGAGTAACTCTATTAGTGAAAATGCTTCCAGGGGGTTTTTTTTGTTGTTTTTTTTTGGTTTTTTTTTTTTTTTTTTTTTGGTTTTTTTTTTTTTTTTTGCGGTATGCGGGCCTCTCACTGTTGTGGCCTCTCCCGTCGCGGAGCACAGGCTCTGGATGCGCAGGTTCAGCGGTCATCGCTCACGGGTCCAGTCGCTCCGCGGCATGTGGGACCTTCCCGGACCGGGGCACGAACCCGTGTCCCCTGCATCGGCAGGCGGACTCTCAACCACTGTGCCACCAGGGAAGCCCCAGGGTTTTTTTTTTAAGAAGTAATTTTCTGTTGAGTATATGTCTTCACTGGTACGTATTCCTTTTTTTAATGGTACACACAGAAAGAGAAAGAGCAACTGTATGTATATTTCATAACTGAAACAATTCAACAAACACCATAGGCTAAGTTATATTGGGCTTTTTATCCAGATGCCCAAAGCTTCATAATCTGTTCTAACACTTGGCAATATTTTCTATGCATCTTCCAACAATGGACACAGACAAGCATGTACCTATTCTTTTTGCACTGTGTGGTTTCCCTTGTTTTATTTTAGTCATTATGGCATGTGGCTCTTTGCCTCTGCTAGTAAGAAAACTAAAAAAAAAAGGAAAAAAATTACCTCTAAACATTTATCAGTAAGTTTAGTGAATTTTGTGAGGTGTTGAATTCAAAACCCTATGATTTCAAACATTGCTTTTAAAAAATATAGTGGTTTACTGACATGTTACAAAATGCTTAGTTTTTAAATGTCTTGCGAATCATGTGGTTTCATTTCATTAGCTTAAATCTGAATGTACAATAATGCACTTAGGCAGGGGTTTACTAGTACTAGGAAGAGGTGCTTATAAATTCATATTCCAGATAGACTTCTTGATAACATCAATGTCAACGTTTTGGGGGTTTTGGTTGTAAGGTTGTGGGGTTTTTTTTGTTTCTTTGGTCTCCTTGTTAGGTCGGCTTAGATCATCGTTGTTTTACTTTCTCAATGTGGCTTTGAATGAGCCCTTACTCTCATGGCTGTCAGCTCTGCCATTTTTCTTGCTTTAATTTGTCTGACAGCTTGTTGTCAGACAGATTTCAACTCTGGATCTATTACTCTCTAACTCTATGACCTGGGAGGACAGTCATCACAGCATGTTGAAAGTAGACAATTCAGCAAAGGACCACTTTAAATCCCTCTGTGCTGGGTTCACACTGCCACACCCAGGAAACCACCCATATATGTTACACTTGCATGAGAATGCCAGGGTCAATCCACAAAGAAAATATTAGGAAGGCCAGCTTCTTCTTTATTTTTAGGTTAAAATGGCAAATAAGTAGAAAATGTAATATTTTCTTCCACATCCTAATGGGTCAACCTATATAATTTTCTTTGGGGACAGGTCCTCAACTGAAATCACAGTTATCACTACAACCCATCATTCTAACACTCTTGCAACCCAACGTGCTTTCCTAAGAGAGAGAGAATGGTCTGAAGATAAAGCTGGTCTCTGGACTCCTGCCTAATAGGACCTGAGCATGGAGTGATCCCTGAGGGGTGGGGTTGTGTTATCTGTCCTGGGTAGTGGGCGTGAACAATTAAGAACTACTGTGCTAGATGGAGAAACAGACAAGTAAACACATGTAGTGAATGTTGAGTAAAGTTGCACACAATACAAGGACCCTCATGAGACAGAATGAGGAGAAATTCAGGAAGATTTCAGACTAGAGGTAGTGGAACCTTTGAATAAGTTATAAAAGAAGGGTAGGATTTCAGTGGGAGGAAGGAAAAGCATCTGAGTTATGGGATGAGTGGCAAAATGTTTGGGGAACGTGGAAATACTCATAGCTGATCAGAAGAAACAGGTAGTGAAACTGGTTTCTGTTAAGGACCTAAGATGTGCCCTCCTCACATTAGCACTGTGCAGTGTTTTCTTAAAAGAGAATGGGAGATTTGTTTTCTTCCCTGACGAGAAACAGTGTCTCCTAGCATTATCCTCCTTAGTACCTGAGCCTGGGAAATTGTGAAGAAACTTGGAAGCCATGCTAAGGAGTTGGACTTTGTCCAGGATGCATTTGACAGTATGTTAGAGGCAGAAGGGAAGGATTTGTTTTAAGTAGAGGCATGGTATGATTAGATACCTTCCACAGCACTCTTGAAAACACGCTTAAATACAGGACAAGTTCCACTGATAAGAGAATCACCTGGAGAGCTTGTAAAAAAATGCAGATGACTGGGCCCTGCCCCAAATCATGAGAATCAGAATTTCCAGGGATGCATACAGACAGCAAGTTGTATTTCAAAACTCTCTAGCTAAATTTTTTCTTGCATTAATCTATCACCCTACTGCCTCACCTCCACCTACAGCGGTTCAGGTGCACATTAAAAATTGAGACCAAAAACTAACAGAAAAAAATTTTTTAAGAATTTTAAAAATTGAGAACAAATACGTTACTGATTTTAGGAGATAACTGTGTGGTTGGTTTCTGAGCTAGAATATGTCAGCAAGTTATTATGCTTCTATCTGATAGTTACCTAAGCTACTCTTAGGTTCAAACTTGAAATTCTATGTTCATTCCTTTTCAACTTTAAGTCTGTTGTTATTAAAGTGTCTAACTCTTCCCCCCTCCCAAACTTGTATCCCACTCCTTTTCCTGGTTCCCAAGTTTTACATAAATCATGTAGCCAAGGCCAGGTGCTTTACCTTTAAACATTTTATCCTTACAACAACTTCATGAAGAAGGTATTAGGATTCTCATTCTTAAAATGAGACTGGAAGCTGGACTCTATAAGAACAGATAACTCATCCACAGTTACAGGGTTAGCAAGTAACAGAACTAGAATCTGAAATCTGTCTGACTTCAAAACCTGTGCTGCTGAAATTTTAAACACTAACAACAAGTGTTGGAGAGGATGTGGAAGAACTGGAATTCCCCATACAGTGCAAAATCCTTCAACCACCTTGGAAAACAGTTTGACAGTTTCTCCTAAGGTTAAATGTACCCATATCACATGACCCAGTAATATATTCCTATATTTGCCCCCAAAGAAAAGAAACACACATCTATACAAAAAGTTGTACAAAAATGTTGACAGTAGGGCTTCCCTGGTGGCGCAGTGGTTGAGAATCTGCCTGCTAATGCAGGGGATACGGGTTCAAGCCCTGGTCCAGGAAGATCCCACACGCCACAGAGCAACTAAGCCCGTGCACCACAACTACTGAGCCTGCGCGTCTGGAGCCTGTGCTCCGCGACAAGAGAGGCCGCGATAGTGAGAGGCCCGCGCACCACGATGAAGAGTGGCTCCCGCTTGCCACAACTAGAGAAAGCCCTCGCACAGAAACGAAGACCCAACACAGCAAAAATAAATAAAAAATAAACCCCTACCCCCAACA